ATAAGGAATTTCTAAAACTAAGGAAATAAATCCTTGGATTTTTTGCCCTAACTATAAAAAATGGCTTGTTTTCAACAAAAACTTTCACCAGATCACATCGAACCTTGTTCGCTCCAAGGTACAAAATCACCTAACTTCAAACAACGAGTCCATTGAATAGCGAGAACAACGAAACAAGTCTATCGCACATTTTACATGATCTACAACCACATCATCAAATTTTGCTCCAGTTGTTTCGTGAACACAATTTATTTCCGGACCTTGTCAAAAAACAAAGTTGGTTGGGAAGCCTTTCACGCCTGAATAATTTGCTGTATTGACCGACCCACCCACTACAACCTTGCCTCAGTCGCAGTGAAAACCAGGAGAGTCTTGGCTACGGAGGCTGAAGTTCTGCTAAAACAACTGATGACATTGACATGGGTGAACGGGTCAGGCAGAGAAAGGCCATCAATTTATTCGCATATATTGGATTAGGTCCCACTGCTCCTGCTGCTCTTGTGTTTGCTCTTTGTTGCTGCTTTTATTCGCTCCATTCATTTTGGTTACAGTTGACACTTGCCTGATGGTCGACTTGCCTGCGTGCCAGGTTATTGCGTTTCACTCGCCCCACGTGCTACTGTCCAGGCAGATGGCAAAAGTTGGAATAATTTCCAGTTTTACATAAATAGTTTCCGAATTGTTTAGTCCATTTGTTGCGATTTATTCTCCAACTATTAACCATTGTGTTTAGTGAACCATTGTGCAATATTGGGCATTATTTGGGACAAAGTTATCCCAACAATGCTCATTGTACGGAGAGAAAGCAGCCTGGCAGGAATGTTAACACGGAGTGAAATGCACAAGGGAAAACAAGGAACCGTGTAAACGCTGATCCGCATTTCACTGCCATCCTGTGTGACTTTGCATCATCCCCGCAGCTAAAACCGAACCCAAATCCACATGCATTTCTCAGACTATTTGGTTACAGTGTCTCCCTGCATTCATTCTGTATACAATATTCCTCATTACTTACTGACTTGACAAAAGCATCGTACAATAGATTTCGACATGACAGATCATGATACAATTGGACTCAATCATATTCCACTAACTTATTCGTTAAGCTGGACGTTGACGCATAATGATGTTTGATTTCGTGTCATAATTTTGCTCCAATTGCGTAAAGTACTTTTCCCCTTCGTCTCAAATGACGTTTTCCAGGCTGATAAATAAAGATGAGACTTTGGCTGACAGAGAAAAAGGATATGGTGAAAGTAATGGAAATGAATACTTGGCAATTTGCGGTCAGAGCAATTATCGTGTTTTCTTTGTAATTACAACTAATGTGGAAAGGGCGTAAACGTGCATTAAAGGAAATTGGAAGAATAGCTCGAGAACGAAAAGGGCAACGGGGAAACTTTTCTTTTCGGTTTTTCATTCGTCCGGATGGTGGTTTTTGGATTCATCGGGAATTCTAAGAGAACATGGTTGGTCTTTGGTGAGCTAAGCTTGCTCCATTTGTAATCAGCTTATCAGTAACTAGACGAATGAACGAGTGAAGTACATGAAAGAAAGACAAGGATGCTTTAAGCCTCAGTTACTCCCACCATGCTCGACATTCGCATTATAAAAATAATAATTTTTCTTTATGTAATGGCCATTTCAAGGGATTATTTTTGCCCAAGTGTTGCTCAAATGAAATCTGTGCTTTCAGTTGCTCTAATTGATGCTTCAATGAAGAAATTACAAATACTTGTAGCTAACCTAACAATAATATATATTTAAATATGTAACGTCTCCAGAGCATACGCACCTGTTGCTGTATTTGTTGAACATGAGAACATGTAAGGCATTGCACAATTTTAATAAACCTAAACGAGCCCCACGATTACATTTATGAGTGACCTTCAACCTTCTGTGTGGAAAACTATAAAAACAATCCGTATAATTTACCATCCATTCTAGTTCCGGGGTGAAAATACTAATTAGTAAATTACATGTATGCATTATCTCATTCGGCCCAACAGAAGTGCAACGATATCATAAACAACTTACGACGATTCTTGTATCTGGTAATTGGCAAAGTCAATAGTATGCTTTCACTCGGGGCTGATGAAATTCAACATCTGCTGTCTTTGGCACACTCGACGAGTTTTGTTGTTTGGCTCGTGTTTGGTTACTTAAATCAACAACTGTGTTTGGTCGTGTTATCGCAAGATCACATCATCGACCTCACGTTATTTCTCTTTTTCACACCAACAACGACAATGCATTCATGATGCGAGGATGTACTCGCAGACGAGGAAAAAATGATAATATAGAAGATGCACAGAAAATCTGACAAGATCTGCAGTTAAGCCTCGAGAAATAATGACGATCAGAGGGAAAACCATTGCAAGGAACGCTCCCTCTGCTGAATTTTGCAAATTCGTGCTCCTGAGGAATCGGAATCCAAGCTCCGTCGAACGGACCGACTTGGAGCTGGCGAAGGAAGAAAAAAGTTAGTTTATTCCGGAGCCAGAAGTGGACGTCAACAACTTTCACCACTGCTGGGCAAACAAACCAAGAAGATCGGGATGAGCCTGTGCAAGTAATCAGTGACTTTCTCCAAAAGTACGCTAAAGCCACACTCTTTTATCAACGTCGCCAACGAAATCATCTCCAAAATGGTTCCTTATTTCCCTTGGTACACTTGATTTATTTTATGCAAACATAATCTTCTCTCTCTCGAAAGAAACAAATAAGAGATCTTCTTTCCCTGAGTTCCAATCTCGGCTATAGCAAAATGCAATAAACAGCACGAACCATATCTTATATCCTCTCGAATTCTAATCATTTTTCGTCGGTCGACGCATCCAGATGAAAATTGAAAGGAAACTGGATACGCTCAAGGAAAGAGCTACACACATAATACACAAGCTCAAATATTTCACTACATGTTTATCGAAAACACACATGAAGTCAAGAGTCAATATTTGAATATTACTCAACATTGCAAACAGATCAGCCTTGATAAGGGATGTGTAAGGACGCAGCATTATTAAATTCCACGCTCCATGAACCACAAGAAACATTTGGCCTTTGGTATGAGACTTATTACGAAACAGATCCTCAGTTTTAGCTCAATAAATAAGTAATTGATGGCAGAAGCCAAGCGTCTCTGCAATCTTTGAGAACAATGCTCTTTGATCATCTTTTTGATCATAGAGTTTGAGCCCTTGTGACTCTGACATCTGTGTCATCCAGGGGTTGACTCCTCCTTTGACGACGAAACTTAAATGCCAGTAATGAGGGAACTTTTGGATTAAACCTCGTAATTTAGTGCAATGTAATAACTTGCTGATATCCGTGTAATTGGACACTTATTGTAAGCAGTAATTTATATGCTACAATAAAAGGCCTAAATTTCGCTCATCTCTCTCGCTCGCTCGCTTGTCTGGTATTCTCCAGACGACGAGTGGCATATGTACATACCGGAAAATTTCCATTCGTATTCAGTCCACCCACTGCACTCGTGTCGATGAGCACATTCATCCACCGCAGCCGGACAACCAACAACCCTCTCATTATTCCGACTTGATGACATCGACTGAAGAGGAGGAGGACCCAGGATCTGTTCGTTGCTGAGTAATGAGAGCAACACAATTTGCAATCTCTTTTTCTGTGCAGCGAAGCATAATGTCTAAAACAACAGATCAATTACATACACAGCGGATCCGCTTCTGCTCAACATATTGCTTTCACTTGTAATTGCTTGCGGACACTTATTCTACTTTTCCTCCTTTGCCAACCCACCAATTGCAGGCAAAATCCAATAATTACGCTCTCACATTTTGCTGATTGAATGCATTTATTTCACGACTCGTTTGGGTTACAGCTGCAAAGTTTCGTAGGAAAAGTCTGATATCAATCCCATTTCGGTCCACACTGATTGCTTTGATGATAATGGATGCCACAATTAGCTTTATTCCTTTGGCATATCAACTATGTGAATATTTATGTGAATAGAATTTTGCTGAATGGAATTAAATAAGTCATTAGAGCCATAGACAAAATCTTGAATGATGCGTTTCATAGATTTCTGAACAGATTTCACCCTTGATAAAACTAAATGGAAGCAATTTTCTTAATGATACTTTCATTGAATGTTATATTTATATGATTTTTGCGATCTTTTGACACGTGCTCACGCGGAAAAGAAAGTCAGACTAATTATGTGTATTCACAGCATTTATTGCAAAGTCTGCTTATAGTCTTCAATGAGGGACCTGCACAGTTTTATATTGCACAGAATGCAAACAATTCGCATAAAATGGACCACTAACGAGTTGACCAACAAGTGCTGTAATTAGTCTCTTCATTTACAAACAAATGGGTTTCACACAGTAATGAGATCATCCGCTTTGTGACCACACCAGTTGACAGATGTTTGTCAATTTCACCACGTAATTGGATCCAAGCTGGTTCACTCTAATTGAGTACGTCACTCAACAATTGAATTAATCAACACGTCCCATGCATAGTTCACGTAATTGTTCTACGTGCAGTCGTAGCTCGTATTAAATATATGCATTAGTCGAAGAAGCCGAGCTTGTCTGTCAGTCTGGAGAAGGAGATCAAACTTCCAGCCTTGTTTCAGGCTAGAGACAACCTTGAGTGTGACCTCATCTCCACAATTCATGACGCCGAATGCGGTTAGTCGCGACTATGTACACCTGATTTTGATTTTATGTTCATAACATTATAAACTAATCCAATCTGCTTCTCTTCACGTCAGCGAACTGATGAGAACCTTGCAGCTCTTCAATTCAATTTATGCTTTCACTTGTTCCAGTGTGCAAAAGCATGGAGCTTTCTCCATTGGAATTTTGAAACGCTCTAAAAATACAAGGCTACCTGCACGGAAAAGCTGCATCATTGTGACACAATTCAGTCTCTTTGACGGCACCTTGATTCCACATGCATTAAGCGGATAATAATTGTGCACGTGCAAGTGAAGAATTAATTGTCGCACTCACCCTGGTTTTGCCAAGTAGTAGAGCGTCCATTTCTCCTTCGGGAACAGCGTTCCCCGATCTCATGGATCTAAGGCGATAACCACCTCCAGCATCGTACATTGCCATTTTGTTTCAATTTCGTTCCCGAGCTGCTACGTTCAGGGCGCTGGGTTAAAGTGGCATTTCGACAAAACATATGCGGGCAAACTGACAATGTGTAATGTTGTTTAAATAGTCGTGATATGTGACATGTCGGGTTTTGTGTAAAGTGTATCGTGCCCAGAACTTTTCCATTGTTACTTTTTCAGTAGTAGTTGTACCATCAAACATCTGTTGTTACCGAGGTTCTGCATTTTATAAGTTACATGTTTTTATCATAATGAAGCACCTTTCTCCTTGTTCAACAATTGGGGCACAAACTCAGCATCATTTCTGCATGCATATATATCTATTTGATCTGTTGAACGAAAAATATGACACAGCACCTTGCCACCAATAAATATTGGGCTAAATGTATATAAATACAACTTGTTAGTGAAAGAATATACTTATAATACAAAAAATCTATCGAGGATTTATGAATATAATCAGCAAATGGAACCACTTTAGGACGAACTGCAATCTAAATGGGTTGGATTTTTGTCTCGCACGTTCATACATCCATCGAATGGCAAGATATACGTGCATACGCTAAGGGTTCTTAAGTTCAGTTTTTGTTCTAAAAAGTCACAACTTCCCATATTTTTAGTTCCCCGTTTATTGGGGTAAACCATATTCCTCTGTTCCTTCGTACTAGAATATTTTATATAGTTTGCAAACGGATATCAGTAAAACGTTAGATTTTTCAGCGATTCTGCAGGTTCATCATTTGTAAAACTATAAATGTCACATTAATGTTTAGTCTGGTCATGTTGATTCCGATCTCATCTTCCACTTGTCGGCTCCAATTACATTCATTCGCTGAATCCACCCGGTAGCACAGAGGATTATACGTTTTTGATGAGATATTTCCTACTTTTTATTCTCACTGCTACGTCAACTGAGAGGTTTTTATTCGCAAAGTAAGTAAATTCCATCAACAAATATGTAAAGTGATTCAATTAGCTGGCTGCCAAGTTTATTCAAACGATTAAAAGTCGTGGGTTATTTAACGGGACAAGTGAAGGACCACTCAGTTAACGGGGAGGCACGGCGTAATGTTATTTCAAATAGCGGCAGTACTTTTCGGTTAGTTTAATGTGATGGATGTGGTTAGTTCGGGTCTGGGTGATTGAAGCTCTTTGGAAGCAAAGAGGGCACTTTAGGGCAGCAACATTCTAAATTTTGAGATAACGAGGAATTTCTCTTTCGCAGTGCTCGTCTCCATTCTACAGCACTTCCGCATGAATAAGACAAACAAGAGCTGACATTCCACTCAGAAAATCAGGATAGTGAAGTACACTCCGTCACTTGCAGAAAAAGAGCACGAGAGAGAAAGTCCACGAGAAAAATATCTCGTAGGGAAATTGTGACGGGAGAATGAAAGATTTATTTAGAACTGCAGCCCCACCGACGCACTGCCTCCAACGACCAAGGCCAAGACGATCTTGATGAGGTTGCATCCGACAACTCCGAGTACATGTGCACATGCAAAACGTGAGTCACCCTCCACGTTCTCAATTGCTGGTCATTGAAAAAACGACCAGAATCGGAATCAAAAGTTAATATATTTGGTCATTATTTTGTGTAGGGTCGCCCAGAGTGAGTTCCAGAGTGAGCACCTTGTTCTCACTTTTTCATCTTCAAGTTCTAATCTAACCTTGAGGAGGAGAAAGTCTGTAGCCAACCCCAAGCCAAGGTTTTGCTCGCCGACGTGACAGGCAGTTTCATTGAGTCAACATCGGCAGCCTCCTTTCCTTCCTTCCTTCCTGTCGGTGATGTAGGATGAGGTTGATGGTTGCTCAGTTCCTTCGAATACTGGGCGACGACTACTATTTTCTCGTTCTCTGCGTGGACGACGAAAGAGTCGGCAAGTTTAATTTCTTTGGCAACCAACTTTTCCTTTGCCTGCCTGCTTTCACTTCAGTTGCCGAAATGAAGAGGAGATAATGATCCAGAATGCAGCGAGTTTGAGGAATGATGCGTTAAAAATGCACGAGATCACTCAGACCTTGGGAGCAATGATTGAAGTATTAGCGGAGAAATCATCCCATTGAATAATCGCATACATATGCATAACAGTTCGTGACGATAAGCTTTGTTTTCTTCGTGTGCATGGTGTTTATCTGCACGTATTGAATCTTTCTTGGTGATGTGGAATTTGTAGCGACGTAATTTAAGAAGAAGAAGGAGAAGCGGTCGGATGGAAACGCATTCACTGAGAAAGTTTCAGCCGGAGCAAGGAAGCCGTATAAATACGAATGGCAACAGTACTCACTCACCCACCAACACTATTTGACTCGCCTCGACTGCTCAGACAAGTGCTGCTGCCAGCAACCGAGTTGAACAAGTTGAGCTGCTTTCTCTATTTGTGATGAGACGACTCTTCTCCGACCTTCGTGTTCATCATTCTGGGAGAATTGACTTTCAATTGAATCTGAATTAAGGTACATCCATCTTCATCTTGATCCGAGTTCAAATGCTCACAACTGACAGCAGTTATGTTATGAGGAAGAAGATGATGATGATGATGTTGACGATAAAGGGTTGTGGTGGATTATGACAAGTAGACGTTGCAGCAACGTTGTGAATGCCATTAAGAAAGTGGAAAGTTGAATTCCAAGTTGTGGTATATTCTCCAAGCAAAAACGAGAGATGTTTAGATTCAGAAAATCACAACCCCACTCACTGAGCAGAACGGAGTAATAGCTTCGCGTAATGGCAAAACTTTGCGAGGAAGGGCTCAGTCCAAAAATTCGAAAAGATTGAAAAAGATAACTTCATCCGCATGCTTTTCATGTAGCAACGATTTTGTCATTCTGGGTCTCCGAGTTGGTAGAAATAACAACAGAGGATGTCGACGTTAATGGCTGTGTGGGGGAAGGAGGAGGGTGACGTGAGGTATCCTGATCCCACGACATGTAACAACTGCGAGTCTCCTAGAAATTCAATAGCATGGAAAATGTTATCATCGTTTCACATTAGTACAAACTTTGTTGGATGGAAAGCATGCATGTGCAGAGTCAACGTGTTAAGCTTATGTTAACAAAAGGGCCAATCCCTATAAATAATTAGGTCAGCTTAAAGCGAAAATATTATTAGAAGGATTTTGGATACAATTTTGTTATGCAGGTTCGACATACACATAGTACAGATATATGTACGGGTAGATATATGTATGTATGTTATTTTGTTACTTGTTACTGTAAATTCCCTAAGCTACATTGCACACATAAGCTTTTTCATAAATTGGATTGGGTGAAAGTTGTCAAATATCACTTGATGGAGTCGCTCTATTCAATAAGTAATGAAGGCTGTACACAATGCGTCCGCGGAGCACATTCTGAACATATGGCAGGACTTACACGTCTAAATCTAATGCCTTGAAACTGCCTTTTGAAGAAAATTTGTTTAAATTGCTGAGTGAAATTCTGACATTTTAGCTGATGTCATATTCAGACGAATCTCCTTCCTGTCCACTCGATCAGTGTAATATTCAACTGATAACTCAAACTGGCGAAACAGGACCATCGCCTGTCGCCTAGAATACTTTTATTTTTTCGTTCTAAGAATTGATATCCCACGTACTATGGCAAACCTACACAATTTTTATGTTTTAAATGATATATCAATTTATGTACAAAAATCTGGTAAGAGTCCGAATGGTGATTTAGAACGCCTATCCGAATCAAGTAAAGGTTTTCCAAATCCACCTACATCGGATTTTTCATCTACTCCCCAAGCCAACTACGTTCATTTTACATTTTATTGATGTGTTTTATCGAACTAAAAATTCAACGACACTTTTTCCTAGATTTTCAAGTAATTAACGAGCTTCATTCAAGTAAAAATTAATTAGAGTTAAAGTTAGAACTGGTGCTTAGGCGTTCCCGTAGAGATCCATTTATTTTGAAGGTATGCACTAAACTATGGTAGTTACCAGTTAACGGGATAACTTTGTCAAAAACAAAGTGCAAACAATGTAATACTAACACGATTTATAATAGAAAGTAACATTCTACTAACATTTTTCATACCAATAAAGTGTGTCTTTCGAAAGTTTTTTGGTTCAACTTTTATGAAATTAATAAATTTCTGCACGGCATTTCCGCAACTTGAGTTTGCGTATTGGGATAATGTGAACATAAATCAAATCGCCACAAAAATCTGTGACCAAATTTGTGGAGTACAAAGGATGTATTGGGCCAACTTACACGAAACATTAGCTAACAATCTGTCATCTCCAGATTCTCATCTGGAGTTCAGACGACGCAGCAGCAGGTTTTGATAGACCCCACCACTTTCTCCCTTATATAAATACATGCAAATGTCAAGCCAAACATGCTCATTTACATATGTATAAAATGTAATGCTTGTGGAGAGCTAAAAAAAGGGAATGTATGCTTTCCTCACATTGTGGAGGGAGAAGCCTCAAAAAAATGTTGTAATGAGAACATGTTTTATGGAATTGTAACGAATAGTGGAGATTCCAATACAAAATCGTTAGCATTATGTAAGGCAGTAATTCAACTGAAATTGCCAAAACTAGCAGAATTTGCCATTTTCTTATAGAAATATGTGCATCTGCAATTTTCTGAAGCCATTTTTTCAATACTCGACATCCGAGAAACAGTTGTCGGTTTTTTTCAATTTATGATGCACAGTCTGCAATTTCGTCTTATTTGGAAATTCAATTTATCCATATACATAATTTATGATTTCCACAAGAATAATGATCTAAGCGGCAACTTAATTTTCAGTCTCCATTTGCATGCATTTGTTTAGCCGACTATTTGCGGGCAGGAGTGGTTGACGTAAACAGGTAATGAACTCCCAAGAGGGATTTGTCCCCTACTGCGGTATCCACGTGAATAGTGGGCCAAGACAATTGCCAATAAAACACGGGAGAGAGGAAGGAAGCCTTCCACCTTAAGACTTAAGACCCTCCAGCTTTCACCACCGTTTTGCATACGCATAATTCTATTTCTCGGTACATGCATATGAACTCTCCCCAATGATAAATACGTATACCATGAGCATGAGTAGCATCAAGAATTTACCACCAAAGTGAGAACCTTACGTGCGAAGTCAGTAATTCTTCGTGCATTCTATTTATGTTTGTGCCGAGCATAAACTTCTGGGAGGTGATGTTTGTCGGCTTGTGGTTTGGAAAGTGCCGCATGGACTCAAAAATGAGGCAATGTCATTGATCATTTGCAAACTTTCTCGAGGACCAAACCCAGTTGAGCGAAATCACACTTGAGCCAAGTTGTCCCAAGACACTTGTTGAATGCTCGGCGTCTCTCACTCCAACAGAACAATTGACTCTCCTCCTTGTGACGCGTGTGGCCGTGTCTCTCTCGTCGTCAGGAAGTGAGATATTTCCTGGAGAAAGTGGAGACACCGATAATCTATCTCCATTCTCTCCTAGAGAGAGACAACTTATCTTAAACCCTTTTTCCCCCTCGGCTCCTCATCCACCTTCAAATAAGCAACTATGAAAACAAGCTGCTCTCCTCATATTTATTTTTACATGGCGGAGATCTATTTATCTTCAACATAAGCACACACATACGTGCATGCATACAAGCAAGAGGGATGAGATATAATACCGAAAAAGGCCATTAAAGCGCAAAATAAATTACTCGACTTTTGAGCCACATGCAGCCTGTGTCCTTGAACTGCAGAGCAGTGGAATATGTGAGTATGCTTTTTCTTACCTCGTTTCAGAAATTTAAATGGGTACGAATGTTTCTGATGGTTATTGGCGAGACGGTTGTGGTACGTGCATACATTCACAAATTGGAGTAGGCAAGGTATTTACTTATTTAAATGGGCATTGGGGTGGGATTTTACATGACGTTTTGTATGTTACACATTATGCAGCACGTTGTCACTTTCGGAGGGCGAGCAATGCAATGTTTGTCATATTAAAAGGAACAGGGAGCACGGTGGAACACGAATGTGATGGTTTAAGCTCAGTCAGACTCGGTAATTTGATACTGCTTTCACTGCACACAACCGAGTCGCCGTTCTTCACACGGCGTTGGATGGAGAAAAGAGACGTTGGACTGGCTCGGCAGCGGATAAACGTTGTTTCTCGCAAAGAAATCTGCAGCTCGCCTCCTCGCTCCCACTTTTCTACTTGTTCTCTCGTGGAGGAAACAAACTGGTGGTTGAGGAGATGGATGAAATGTACGAAAGAGCGGCCGTACTGGTGCCGCGTGGTAAATCTAATGATGAATTTCAGTGTTCACTCGCTCACAGTTCAACTTTCGTCACAAAATACGCAAACTCGTCGAGGTGGAAGATGTGAGAGGATGAGAAGAAGAGTGAAACTCGAACAGGGAGAGAGAAAGCTAGAAATCACGTTATTTTGAGTTGTTGATGGAAAATCAACTCACATTTCTCTGCTCCTAGCATAACACATGCCATGCAAAAAGGCTTCCAGCCACCACGGCTCACTACTTATTTTGTGTAATGCAACCCCCAATAATCGGACGGAACCCAAATTTTCACGTGTAAAAACCTCAAGAAACTTGCTGTTGGTCGTGTGTTTGTTAGTGCGGCGGCATGAATGTAGTTATGGATGTGACAACCTCGACCGAAAGCTCAACTTTCACCGGCCAGTGTTCCTGGTGGTGGCTGCTCTTGATTCTCGGACAAAATTGTTACTGAGTCAGCTCCATTCCAGCTAAGCAAGCAGGCAAAGAGAGAAGTGAGTGCACATTATTCGATGATACTCACATCTCTAATAAGGTCGTCCCTGCTACTTGTCCAATAAGCCAACCAACCAACGAGGACTTTCCTTCCTTCCACCACCGGCTTGCACATTTGTCTTCACATGGAGTCCGACTATCTTGTTGACTCAGAAAGAAACACATCAACAGCTTTACCCTCCGTGAATGAACTAGCTTTTGCACTTATGCAGTCTGACAACAGGGAGTTTTTTGTGTTGGCAATTAAAGATTTCAATATTTTATTATCTATGTGGCTACTTATGTACATGAGGGAATGATAAATTATACGATTTACACGAAATTCTACTAAATTAGGTAAAGTAACAAATTGAAACATTTTGTGTCCAGATTCCGATTATTAAATTACTATTTATGAGACAAATTAACCCCCTTGTTTATTAGCGATTCCGTTTAAAACATACTATGTTATGTTACGCTGTGTTATGTGTGATATATGAAATATGTAAATTTCAATTCCGCATTGCTAGACTTGAATAAATAAAATAAAACATAAATATGGTCATATTTGTCACAAGAAACATGCGACATTATTGAATCTTGAGCTGTCGAATGCCACTTTGTATAAATATTTAATTCCTGACGAGACTCGGGAACGAAACGAACAACGTGAAACGATAGTCTCGATGGAATAGTTTCAAAACGCTTGACACACTGGCTGGATGGCACAAAACTTGTCTCATTGCTTGACACACTGATTACTAACTGGTGGCAAGAGGATTGCTTGTTCTGCACGAATATTTAGGATGATAAAAATGTATCCCAAATTTGATGCATCGGCTGATTAACCCAACCACTCAAGTCTGAAATCTAGTTATATTTACAATTCCACACTTTTTGTTAGAACCCAATAAAATTATATTTGCGAAAGCAAGTCCGTAAAAATGGGGAAAAGAGGAGCAACTTTTTTGCGTAATAATGATCAGAAAAACAGCGTTGATGAAAAAGTTGATCAGAACAAAGAGGAAATGGGAAGAGTTCCAGGTCAGGCTCCACTACTCACTGCATGCAAAGTAATAAAAGAGCCTGGATAAAATTTATTAAGTTCCAGAATTGGTTCTCTCCCTTCAAATGTCGGTTACCGAGCAATCTTGATGTCTCTCGAACAAACTCTGCCCCTGATTGCTCAGTTTATCTCGTCTTTTCTCATACATACATAGAAAGCGAGAAAAGGTTGCAGCGAAGTTGGAAGAATAGGAATTCTAAACTATAAAAGTCCATTCGATAGGGGAAAACGTGGATGTATTTATGTGCCCAGTACACAACCTGAGAGGCATTCGGTGTTCTGGATGTACGGTTGATTAGCGATGGGCCAGACAAGACAACTACCTCATGCCTCGAGTCCCTCCCTCATTTTCGAGTGTCTTATCGAGTAACGACTTTGGCCAAGCGGGAACCACTCGTTGATTCTTGAGAGGAATACTTCGTCGATATGAAGATGCTGGTTGTCAGCAAATGTGAAGCTGCTTGAACGACACTAAATTCGTTACGTAGTCTTCCTCAAGTCATGTCATCATCATACCCCACGGAGAAAGAGGCACAAAAGTGCTGTGTGCATCCACCATTGTGGTCTCCTCCATCTGAATTAGTTCAGCATGAATCTAATAATAAACCTTGGAGGGAAAGTTTCCTCTCTCATTGTTCATGTTGGAGCGAGCAATTCAGTATTTATGAAGAAGCCCTCAAATGACTTCTACCCAAAAACTTTTCCGTTGAAACGTTACCCTCGCATCACTGTGGACTTAATCAAAATGGACAGCTTCGAGTTAGCGAATGTCTTGAGAATAAATTTGCAATTCTTGGCGACCGTATATTCTGAAAGTAAACATGTTCTACCACCTGTTTTCCCTCCATTGAAAACAATTTTACGAGTCTAACAGCACATGACCATAAATAAATTCAACGTCAAAACTCTAAGTTGAAGTGACTTTCATAAAAGTCTACTTATAAATATAATCAGATTAATAAACTGCTTTAACGACTTGCTTCGCTTATCAATAATTGCAATTATCAAGAAAATTTGTCATCTCAAAGAGTGCCTTTTAGTTGTCATTTATCAATAAGTCAGTTCATACATATGATAATGTCCGTTAACTTGTCACATTGTAAACGGTTTGTCTTTTAATCAAACAAATGCGTCCCTGCTAACACTTTAAAAGGTTAATAGCTTTTTCGCTCGATTCAAAAGTGTTTAGGAAAACAGGTTCGCATCGGACCCAGTTAATCTTGAAACCTGAGAGTTGATGTTGATATACATATGAACACATAGTCAACTGCAACCCACGAACAACACAAACACAAGTGCAAAACACAAGTGCATAATGTGGTCGTGTTTGCACACGACGGATACAAACTGTCCTGAAGAAGGTTCTTCTTCTCGATTGACCAATTGAACATTGACAGCACACCAAATCTTAAAATCTACAGTCAATAAAATTTTTAATCTTGTCAGCAATGTACGCGTACTTGATTAACCACAGAGCCATTAAAAAATTGAGCTCAAGAGGACGTCAACTGTAACCACAGGAAAAGAATTTATCGGTATGCAGATTGAATATATCGTAAACTAGTTCTTCTTGTTGTGCATTTGTTTTCATGTCCATCCATGCGAGCCGTTTGTTTTTGCAAGGCAAGCGTGTCGTCAGCTCCTTTTGAAGAATCAGTTGAACATGTAAATACAAACTTGTACCATGCACTTCAACTTTGTATATTGGAACTGATACCGTTTTCAGTTCAACTCGGCTCAAACTCCATTATGTACATTACACGCATTTGTGGACTCTCATATTGTGATTTCACATTCATAAAGTGCCGACTCTGAATTAATTTACGGTAATGAACCGTGTAGATTAGAAAGAAACATGGGTTTAAGAAACCTGCACAAGTCTGACTTATCAATTAAGGCATCTCCAAAAGAAGAAATAGCGTGACGATGAGATTTCCACGGTACAAATGGGATATATTTAATGCCGATTATGGGTTTACAGTTAATTTGTTGGTTGTGAGACAGTGGGTGATACATTACTTTGCGTGTGCCCGTTGTTTGTGTGGCACAGAATGGCGACTCCATTACTCGACTATGTCACACAATGGGTGGAAATATTTATGAATGATCTGATTCGACATTTGAATTTACCAAGATTACGATGAGCCCTAAGAAGGAACTGGATAAAGGGGCGATAGTTGGAATTAGCCCAATCAGTTTATTGCGAATGAATAGTACTGAAACAGACGTGGTGTAATACCAGTCCAAATCGTGAATTTTTGCACGAATTGGCAGGTCCCAGACAGGACCTGCATCATTCCGAATGCGCAGCTCAAGAAATAACTACACGATTTCTGGAACCCCATGATCAAGATTAATGAGATTTTTCGTAAGACATGTAAATCCGTAATAAGAGACTACTACCTCAAACGCTCAGCTTTTTTATAGGAATTTTGGGAGGCGCAAGAAGGCAATTCAATTTTAGGTTTACATTCTATTACGACTTTATGCACCATGTGCGAGTGTACTTTGAGATGGGGTCATACGTTGCAGATGCTATTATTGTTTTGCATGAGAATATGAGGTGCTTGGCTTGGCTTTGCTTTGAACTTTACGATCTTCAATCATATATTTCAGCGGTTGGTGGAGAAATCCTGAGCCGTGGTAAGCAGGCAGGCAACGTGGAAGTGCTGGAACTGCACCAATAAACTGCATGCAGAATTGGATGAGACACTTGTGCAGCAGAGTGTATAGTTCGAAACTCCTTCGTCTGTCTCCACCTCAACAGGCAAGCAGATACGGCGACGTTCATATATGCGAGCAAATTGAACCTATTTGCGTATCCTTGACCTGGATGGCGAAAAATCAGCATCTACCACAAAAAGACGAGAGACCCATAACTTATGCAACGTACGAGGTTGTCATGTGTCTTTGTCGCAAGTCGCTTTAATGGTCGGAGGCCAGTTTGCGATTTAAATAATCAATAAATAACCATCGTGGCAGAGGTTTTCCTTAAATCATCCCAATATTTTATGAGCTACGTGCTTAGGTTTTATGGTCCCAATGGTTTGCAACTCCATCTTGGAGGTCCCATGTATGCATACGTGGGCCGAGTAAATAATTTATTGGCATTGAAACAACGGCAAATGGACGGTTGGAACGTACCTTGACTTTCTTAGATTTTGGATTAACGACAACTAGTGTTTCATCCGGTCCAGTCCTCCATTCATTTTTTCCAGGCCGTACATTCACCCTAAGGCTTCCTCCCTGCATCTTACCAGGTAATCATGAAGAATTCTGAGCGCAAGGCGTCTCTCTCCGCCGGAAAACAAGACCAATAATAACCACAACACTGATGTGCATCTTATATTTAACTCAATCAATACGTTTGTAGGATATTTTGCAAACAACGGCACGTTGAGACACACATAGGCTTGCAATTTGCATGCAATACGAAGCTGTGTCAACTTTTTTGTGTAAAAACAAACATACGATGTATGTAATCAAATGTGAGAATTCGAGTCGAGTTCACCCAACACTTTTTCACAAACAATGAGGATACCTGATTTACTAATTTATTTTCACATTTGCACAACACTCACGTCGCATTGTGGTCTTGATTTATGAACAAAGTAATCGTATCACATTCAAATTCAGTAGCCTGATTTGCCACACCACTCTGTTAATTAGAAAATGGTGGTTCACTCAAGTCGAGAAATTGAAACGGTTACATTGTTGCAAAACCCATTTGCCAGATTTGCTTCCTGACTTACGTCAAAATGGTCATTGTGCTGCTGGACAAAGGCTGTGCACAATGATGATGAGATATCAAAATTTTCAATCACAATTTCACAATTCCTTGGGCACAAAGTAGAATAAATAGGCTTATTTACACAATGGATAAGTTATAGAGGAAAATATCTAATTCCTATTAAGCCAGCGGGTTAGTAGTGAAAAGCAGGCTGAGGCTAAATAAAAGCGAGACTTTTGGCATACATCTTTTCATTCTGATGTTTTTGGCGTAAGATTAGTTGGTTCAGTTTGCAGTTGGAATTTGGAACCGTCCTGAGAGTAAAATCAGTGGGTTGTTGGCTAAAAATTGTAGATTTGCATTTGCCATTTATCCCTCCTGTCGTTGGGTAAGAAGGAGAGCGTAATCGTTATCATTCCATCTATTCCCTGTTCAATTCTTATTAAAGAGCAAAGTGGAACCTCCGGTACCGAAGCATACATACGAACAAGTCTGACTGACTCCCATTTGAGGTGTTGCAGCTCAAGAATCCGGGAGAGGAGGACAGGAAAACGTGCAACATAATGTGGCATGGCCGTCGTCGTGTAGCAGGAGTAACAAGAAGCAAATAGAGATTTTTTATGTGGATGTACATGGGGTTCAAACCACGATGTCTGACTCTGGGATCGAATTGAATGCCAAATCACTGTCAACCAACACTAACCACTCGAATATTATGTCAAGAAAGTTGACAATATTTACCGACTCTCAGTAACCAAGCCCTTGTTGCAAATTTGCCAGAATACTTGAGCATAAATGAAAATTGCCGGATTATTAGAAGGTTGAAAACGATTCAGCCTTTTATTATCAACTTTGATGACGACCCCTCCAATTAATTTTAAATCGTCCTGTCTCGCAATTATTTCTAGTTTACTTTTCTAATTACCTTTTGTGAACATGAAACAGAAATAGATCCAGTCCGACTGCCAATAAAACAGTTGTGCGTTGTATATTTTTATACGCTTATCTCAATGTAATTCAACTTAATTTGCCTCTCGTAATACTGTAACAAACCTTGAATATCAAGCGATATGGAAAAAATCGTAACTTTATTTTCGTAGGAATTAAAGTTTTCGCTCAAGTACAAAAATGACGATAAGTAATAAAAATACTTTCTTCAACTAGATAGACAACTTGTATGCATGCAAAGTACGTGAGTATTGGTCGACTGCATTTTTTAAGTTGTTTGCATTCACAGAGTTTATTTCTTGTTACTCTTGAAATCGGACACCTCGTTTGATCTTTACATTTTCTCAATGTGGAATTTACTACACGAACTCGGAGCAATTGTTGAGTGAAGTGGATCTGTGTTTTGATGCCAAAATTACGGATGCAACATAATGTGAGTCCTGTTCATGACATGGAACCGCATTTTTATTGGTACCATGCTATCCACGCAGACAGTAGTGCTTAATAAAACGCACCTTTTTGTATGCACGTGAAGTGAAATGCTTTTCCTTACCCCTAAAACATGTTTGTCCTCTTCATCCTCGTCGTCATCGTACGCTTTGTAATATCCTTGACGTCCAAGTCCCATCTTTCGATTTAGTTCTCTATGCAAACCGATACTGTAAACTTTTCAAACGGATTTTTATTTCTTCATTTGACAAGTGAAGGCTAAACGTCTCGCAATCTCACCTTATTCCTTGAATCAACTCCAAACTGATTGGACATCCAGCAAATGTGCAAAATGTTGTATAATAGCTCCACTTTTTATATCTTCTTCAATCTTGGCGGATTGGATACTGTCACTGATTTTTTCAAGGTAAGTGGAATAAAAATTGCAAGGAAAATGAACCGTCAAGAAACGAGAAGGATACCTGTGCAGTATTCCTATGCGCTCCTGTGTATGTATGTTTGAACTCATCAAAATGTGTTATTTTCTCTCAAACTTTGTTCATGAACAAGGAAATCACATGGAAATATGTGTGTATTCATATGCCAGAAAAGTGAGTGTCTTGTTTGCTTTCTAGGACACCACGTCAGTTCGAGATAAGTCCAGGATTTTTGCTAATAGTGTCTCAAAAGCACAGCAAGTTAGAGAAGAGGCTGACGGTAATTTGTCTGTGGCCACAAAAACCAAGTTTGCGGTCTATATGAGTGGCTTTATTTCTTGGGTCTTTAAATTTGGGACTTTGTTGTGGTTTGACGATCAGGTATATGCATACTCAAGCTATTGAAACATGTAGTTATTGAAAGTGCCAATTAGTAAACCTCAACCGTGCTGAGATGCCCTCAATGAATACACTTTGATGGATTCTATGAGTTATGCATAAGGCAAAGACGTCAATTCTTGTATCCGTAATCCTTGCCACATGCTAAGATTTGAATGTCTTCCAGCACTCCTTAGTTCTGTACATCACTGAATCCTTGTTTAATGCATACGATGGATGGATTTCGAGCGAGCCAAAAAATGGCACATCATGCTGAATGTATGACACAGATATGTATGAAAAATTGTTTACAAAATATTAAAATACACGAGAAATTCTTGTGGTCAAAATTTGCATTTTATTTTTTCATAATCTGACAATGCGATATATGAGATTTAAGTCGATATATTTCAAAAAGAGACACAGATGAATGTCACATTTCTTGACAAAAGTAAAAAAAAATACACGTAAAATATATTTGATACGAACGAAGCAGATTTGGTGAGACGAGGACTACCAAGATTAGTGTAAAAAGGCAATTTGTTTGGATGCCAAGAAAGAGGAGACACGGAGACGGAGATATGAAAACTGAAGTGAGAATTAATACTCATAAAGCATAAAAGGCAGTTAGTTAATACTAATAACAAGTTGTCGCGAAAACAGGTTTTGTTCATCTTGCAAGAGGATGAGAAGAGTTGAATATCTTGAGACGGGAAATTAAATATTATCTTTTTGGGCGATGGAAATGAGCTTTTGTTGTATTGTGGGTGAAAGAGAGCTTGTCCGTACATATGAAAAAATCACATCTTTATGGCACACAATTATTTACGCTTTTCTCCCTCCCTCTTTACAACCCAAACTGCTGGACACGCAGCTCATGATATGATTACACCAAGTCGATAACTTATTAGGCTTCGAACGCTTATCTAATCTATAGTCGTGCATGGGTCGTCGTGAATACGAGTCTTGGAAAAAAATGTGCACGTAAATAATCAAACATCACTATTCTTTGGCTTTAAACTAACAATTAAGGAACACTTTACAGATGCAGTTCAATCCCAATCAATACATTCAATAAATACTTTAAGCTCGACCCCTGTCATTAATTACAGTCATTATAATGATTGCGATTATTTATAATTAAGTAAATAGCGCTTTGAACAATAAAATCCTGGTTTTCGACTTCTGTAATTACAAATGTATGTACTTACTTGAGTGTGTATTAAGCTATAGCCACATGGACACGTACATGTGTAAATTAAACTCGAAATGACTTAATTGTGTGTCTGTATGTAAACAACGTAATGTACAGAGATCAGAATTAATACATAAAGCTAGGATACCATCCGATACAAAATTGAGTTCTATGCATAAACAACCATGGATTAACATGGGCAACAAACGAAACCATTACGATTATGAATCTATTTTCGTTCATTTTCATGTTGTTTTGAGTATTACACTTTTTGGGTGGTGGTGGATCTAATCCATTTAAATTGATGGTCAGTTCTACCAAACAAATTATCGTTCTCGCCATAATTAAATGGTGCATGGCTGCTAAAAGAGGATGTTAATAGCTGAGCTTGTGCTGCACCGTTGTTCTACAAGCAATTTGCAAATTCTTGTGGGTGGACTTGATTAGATGCATACGATGCTAAAATGTGAATCATCACACAACCACTCTCACAACGCCACCACGTAAGTTACTCGTAAGGTTCTTATAATTTAGTTTCATGCAACTTGTTTTGTCGGCGACTCATGGGATGCGATTTCTTACTGGGCTGTGGAGCTGACGACGAGCTGGTTACAATGGGCACTACATCGTTGCTGCCGTTGAGAACAACATGGTGGATGGATGGGAGGGGGAGAGGGCCCAACGAGCCATAAATTTCAGGATCATCTTCCCCAGAGTCTACATCACCTATACGCAAAAACAATACAAAAAACACTTACATTGTTTGAATGGCATCGGAATTTGAATGAAAACTAGTTTTTATTGCAATTGAATTCAGAATTCGGACAAACTGAGAGCCCATAAACGAGTGGATTTGCTTACCATCACTGGAATTGGTTGATGGGAGGAATTGTTCGTTCTTGATGGGTTTCCGGTACTTTCTCTTGTATTTGAATTCTCGAGGGAGTGTGTACGATCGGGGAAGCGACATTTGACTGTCAATGTCCGAATGCATTCGAACGGATTTGTAAATGCTCTCCTTTGAAACTCGATTCTTGGCGTTGCGTCTCCGCCGCTGAATTCCAGCTCCGCAACCACCACCACCACTGGACTGATCGTGATGAAGGTCGTCATTTTGGTACATTGGTTCCGGGTCTTCATAGCTGTGGATGGGCCAGTCAGGATTTTCATAATAGCCGCACTCAGAACCCTCCAAGGTTGGAGACGCATACACGAGATACTGTGGATCCAAAATGACTTCGTTGGCGTTGGGATCGGAGGTTGTTACAGTGGCATTTGTCGAGCCAGGAACCATGAACGGTGGTCTGGGATAGATGATGAATGGTGGTGGTGGGTCGCCCATCACGGAATCGTCCTGCTGTTGATTGTGTGTTCGAAACCAGGGTTGGTTAATTGGCTTCTTCTTTTCAACCGGGATGGGCTGACAGACTTGAGGTTTGACAGGTTGTGGAATTTCATTAAATTGTGGTCTTTTTAATTTCCCCTGTTTGATTTCCTCCTGAATCTCCTTCAACTCGGCCAACTGCTGCTGCTTCTTTTCTTGCAGTTTCTGCTGGATGTCTACCCGACTCCCGACGCTGCCCTCGTTCTCACTCCCCATTGCGACGGAGAGTGGACGTTTCCAAAATGGATGTGACATCCGTCCCCCTGGGAAAACTATTGGAAGTTTATTATTGTTATTAGAGGTCAATCCTGACGAGTGGAGTTGACGCTCAGCAGTGTCCATTAATCCACCAAAGTCATGAAAGTCGGAATGGTGACTTATTGTTCTCCTGCCACTGCCACTGCCACTGCCTGGAGTGGAGTGGAGTTGTTGGGGAGTTAGGCAGCTGGGACTTGTCCTTTGGCCACGTTGGTTCGAAAAAGTTTCATCTTCCTCTTCATCATCGTCTGGACAAGTTCTGTTGTTGTTATTAGTTGGAGATGCAGCCTGCTGAACGGCGGGCGGTGGCACGAATGAAGACGGCTTTTTCTTCTTTCTCTTCATGGCTGGATGAAATCGGCTGTAAACATAAATGCAAAAAATAAAGATGGATGCTTTTCATGTTCAAAATAAGTAATCGACGAGCGAGGAAGGCGAAAAGAGTGAAGTGCGAAAAGTGCGCAACAAAACACGCATCAATGAAAAATTTGAAAGCATGCAAGACACTTCTGCACAATAACAAGTCGTCACCAAATATTTTTGAACTCTTGACATTTTCTTAATAAGAAGAGAACATGAAAAACAATTCACAACAGAATCACTTCCAATATGAAAATCATACCAAGAGTCAATTCCCTACAATCCAATTTTGATGCAGTGGATGGCAAAGACAATAATCTTCATTATAAAATATAAGGAAAATTGCCTAAAAGCATCCCCAGCAAGACCTTTCTAGATCTATTTATTATTTGGCAGAGAAAATGAAGCTTCTCAGATGAAAGAAATTAGAAAGCTCATTCTAACGTATGTATCCTTCTGTACATAATTTCTTTATTCGTCCTTTAACACTAGGTCCCTGCTCCTATGTTTCTGTTACTCCAATTCTAGCGACATGAACGATTGTTGCATTGCTGAATGACAAGGAGGAAAATCTAATCGCCCACGCCATGGATGCAAATAGAAAGTTGGTTTTAGATACTAAAACTTTCACTTTGTTGTATTTTATTTATAGCATCAGACCAATGATGGAGGAAAACAGTGATTTACGTTGTATGCAAAAACTTTCTGGCATTTTATAGGAAATGTCCGAACAGAACCGAATCAATGTCAGTCAGTGGGCATCGCTCAGCAAAAACATTTTGGTAAATATTTAGAGGTTGAATGTAAGGTCACCACAACCCTCATACATAACCTCTCGTTGGAGTTATGGATATCGAAGCCTGAAAATGACTACGAATGCCCTACACTTGAAATAAATTAGGCGTTGCTTACCAGTTGAAAACTCCTGCTGGAACATTTTGATGGTGGATGTGATGCCCATTTATTTTATTGTACACGCCACCTCTCGCACCCCCAACACTGCTCTTATCTGACTTGAGCCCTTTATCATGATGCGTAGACCCGTTCCGCTTGTGGTATCTCTCGGGAGTCTTTTTCTCCTTCGCACTCGTGCCAATAATGTTATTATCACTGTTGTTTTGATGGTGAGAATTGGGGCCTCCGTTGGAAATTATCATTCCCAAGCCATTAATGGTCCCTCCATTCAGCTCTTTTGCAGAATTTATATTGTTGGCCATGTTTTTATTGCTGTTCTGGTTTGGCAGTTCGGTTACTGTAGATGGCTCTCGTCGTTGTTTCCCTTTCAAACTGGGCGGAGGATAAATTGCTCCGCTGATATTTACGGAGGAACCCCCGTTCAAAACGGAACTGCTTCGGTAAATTGAACTCTCAGTGTCATACACATAACTCAGGCGCTTCAGGTGAAAGTAGCGATAGTAGAGAACCATAAATAATATTCCTCCCCCAAAACAGAGAAACACTGCTGAAATCACTTGATTTTTGTACCTGTGAATGCAACAAACGATAATTAACATTAGCATAAATAGTGGAGCAAGGAATGCTTCCTCAAAAAAATCAGAACATGCATTTATTTCAAGCGTCATAGTTTAAATAGTTCATTAACCACGTACCAAATTTCGTCTTCATATCTTTTTGCTGCAAGATAAAGAGAAAAATATCATAAATGTATTACAGCTATCGACACGTGTGGCAATGATTTATTTACTAGCGACTGACTTACCGATTAGCCATACGGAGAGCAGAAGGGTGTTCTCCAAAATCATTGTCACGTAATAAATTATCACCGTCTGTCGTGAATTGCTCTCTTGGACGTTGACGTAGCAAAACGTGTAGACGACGGCGAGGAGTGTGGAGTACAGCATTTTGCGGAAAGTTGAGATTTTTTCTCCATTGTAGAGATTCTTTGGCGATATGAGCCACAGGAGCATGCAGATCCAGTGGAGGGCGAGGACAAGGAATATCCAAAATTGATACACTGAGGCGTAGAGGGAAAGTGCTACAACTCTGGAGATTATGGTTCCCAAGTGCCAGAAAAATTGAAAAATTACCCCCAACCACGTGAGGACTAATTTGTGGACCTGCAAAAATACATTTCTTGAATATTTATGGAAAGTAGAGTGGATGCATTATCAAATTATTCAGACATGAATAGAAATAAGCCCACTGGAACATATTTACGTTGTAACAAGTCATTGGAACTAAGTACACACATTAGACGGCAATTACTGACAATTGTTATTTTCACGTTTCAGCAAGATTTAAGACCAGGACGAGACTGTCCAGTTTTGAAAATAACGAATATTCAACCACTTAATTAAAATTTAATACAAAATTATCTAATGATTTAACGACTTTCTCTTGACCAATATCAATCAGTTCGTGGTTGATTAAAATGTCTGGAAAAGATTCAAAGGCATTTCAAGAGGATGGATGAGTTTTGCAATGTATGAAATGCTTTGTTATAATTTACGTATTAATCTTCATCTGGTACAACATGCACGTGTTTGTTACATAGTGGGCAACATATTTATAAAATGATATGTACTTCATCTCTTACGTTTTGTTTGCGTATGTTTTTGCTAAAGGAGGCCAGGGCCCAGCAAACACTGAAGAGCGAGAGGGACGTGGAGACAATCGTAAAGTCTGACACTTCCTGCGGTCCCGAACTTCCCCAGATGAGGTACAACTGGATTAGAAGCATAGGAACGGCTTCACAAAACGCGTGCACCAGTCGAAGAAGGCACAAATCTCTCACTTCGTTTTTCACAAATCGAAGATCCACCGGGATAAAAAGCTTAAAGTATCTCCACAGCACGCCACATAGCGAGACGTGCATGACGACCAGAGCACCTGTCGAGCACTGTGTGGGAGGACCCTCCAAATCCATCCCATCTGGTCCAATCTGCCCTCTTTTCACACTCTCCTTGTACCACTTGAAGGACAAGCCTTGGCTGAGCAAGGCCGCCAAAGTGATGAACGATAAGGCGACAAGGGACCATTGGCACATTGCACGTGATTTACTCTGATGGTCTGCGGCTTCTTGTGGGTCGAGTAGGAGAAGGTCGTCAGTCTCATCTTGGCTCATTCGGTACCAAGTGTAAGCAGTCAGCACGTCAAACACAATATCACAAAAATATGCTGCTAGTGATATAATGTTGAACTGCAAATAAAAAATAAAGAACTTTAATAACGTGGAAATATTTGTGGATAAATATTTATTCATAGTTCATAGAACTATGTGTGCAGTTTTCGATGATTTTTTACACTATTTACTTACACGCCGACTGTCTCACACATTTATACGGAATCTGTTTAATAAACTTGTCTAAATCTGTGGATTGTCTCGAATACAAAATTTTGACTTTTAAAAATTCGAATTGTGTATTTGATCGAGTGACTGGAAAATTATCATTGAAATGTATCCCTAAATTCTAGTCGTCCAAACTAGATTAGCATTTGTTGTACCGAGTCGTAAGAATAATGTAAAGAATCAATGCAAAATTATTTTGTCGCAGGTATGAATTTCAAACAAGACGAAGATAAAGTTTATTCAAAATGTACAAAATAAATAACATAGGAATAATACCATTGCATCACAAATGGGGAGAAATTCCTGATTGGGCACCACCCAACTTCGTGCTCCTGACTTTTGCACACATTTCTCAACATTGTTATCATCGTCCTCTTCCAAAATACACTTCTTTGCTTTGGGTCTTGGACTTGTCCTATTATTTCGTAAGTTCTCTAAATCAGTCTGTCGTTGTATGTGATTATTATTGTTGTGATTAAGCGTGGATTTGGGGGTTGTGTGAGGAACCCCAATATTTGCACTTGTACTATTCCCACTTCCACAACTGATTGTTGTATTCGAATTGGAATTTGGGGGAGTAATCGAGTGGGAGCCACTAGAGTTCATCATCATCATCATGTTATCGTCACCAACACAATGCAACACGTGGTGGTGATCGAGTGACAGGTGACCTGGGGGCGAGGGCATGGTCACCATTAAGCCGTTCTCCATGAGTACTCGATTGGACGCCCCGTCCCCAGAGGAAAGGGTGCTAGGTGACTGAGTTTGACTCCGGTTTCTTTGCGCACCACCTCCACCAGAGAAGTTTGTGGGAGTGTACAATCGTGGCGTTGATCTCTTAACTCCACCAACGTGCCCATTATTGTTGAGATAACTGAGCTGACTGTGATTGCTAACTAAGCTGTTGGAGAAACTCTTTTGATGATGTTGATCTTCGCCATTAGAGTTGGAGTAAAAGTGGATGTGGTGTTGTTGTGGTGTGTTGGTCGTGGATCGTTGGAGGTCGTGGATCGTTGGGGACGATGAAGACTCCATGGTCGTCAACATCTTGCATCCCCAGTTTGGATATTTTATTTTTGTGTGTCGTGCAGTGTGTGGATGGATTTGTCTCAATTTCGCATCATTGCAATAACATCTCTCAATCTCATCATCTCAAAAATGTGTGTGGCTGAGGAAACTTGAGATTTGCAGAAACTAGTAGAACCGTTGTGGCTTTAGAAAAGGAAATGATTCACACACACCACAATGTCGAGCAAGCACAAACATTGGAGCCTACCATGCTCTAACTGTGGGACCGAGACCTTCGATTTATGCACCACTCGATTTTCCACTTGTTGCACATTCTTGTAGTTCCATCAAATTACACTTCACGACTACCGACCAACGTGTAAATTGCACCTTTCTGGTTTTGGTTCCATCCCGCAAACCAACCGTGAAATCTCACAATTAAATGGCAAATTCCGTGAAAATTTCTTGTAGATAAAGTAAACACGAAACCACAACACGCCTTCACTTTGCACACTCTTTAATTTAATTTATCTTATCTGCAATTTTTTGTACTAATCTGATCTGTACGAGTTAGTGAAACATGACAATTTTTTGCGATGATGCTGCAATCCTGTTTTCGCTTATTGCTCTCGTGTGTGATTGATTTTGTTGCAGGAATCCCATTTAAATAAGAGCCACACAGGGCAATGATGCCATTCGCGATCCGTATTCTTGGGCAGGATTTTGTGCTCACATATTTCGTTCGATTGACACTATGAATCTCAAAATCAGTCTGAAACACTCAGTCCGAAAGGTTAAATAATTTGGTTAAACGAAATAGCTGCAAAGTAAGTTTGAGTGGTTTTATTTAATTAACACGACGAATTCAAGTCCGAGTTGGATTTTTTATTAATATTAACGAGGAATTGGGGAAGCAAGTGAGCTCGAACTTGCTCTCCTCTTTACTAAACCAGACAATGCAATGCAGCATAATGTTGGATGTTGGTTAACTAAAAAGTTGAAGTCTTGCTTGAATAAGTTGCTCCAAGTAATAAGTTGGCTTGAGCTCCTACCTGCAAAGGTATTTTACCTCAAGGGGGTTTCATCCCTTCCACTCCAACTTCATCTTACCCTCGCCAACGCTGTCGTACTTGTAAATACGTATGCATCCACCAGAAAAGAAAGGTTCCATCCAATCCGATATCCCCTGAAAGGCAGAGGAGAGAGACATTTGCAGCATTGTTGTTATCAAACCACTTCTTCTTCTTCTTAAAGAAATGCCTGGTTGAACGATGATGATGAGTGAGATCGTGCGGTGGTGAACGGATAACTATATAAATGCGTACCGTAGGATGCCAGAGTTACTCAAGGGATGCAGTTCGCCGTATTTGCCTCCAATCCACACATGCCATCGGGTGGAAACAGAATACATGGGAGGACAAATATCTTTTTAATAGAGGAAAGTTCCGATGTGCTCACATCCCACGAGCAACATTACGATAAAACCAAAGGTGCAACAATCTTACATGAGCTTCCTTGTTAAATGGCTTGCTTTCCTGAGCCTCATAATAAAATTTGTAACATTTCAAAAACTAGTCTCATCCTTCTCACGGTCAGCATTCTCCAGAAAGGTGGTGTTAGATTGGGTTGTTTCCTTCCTTGGTGCATTGCAGGGCATTTCATGGGTAGGAGTAATATTGTCCACTAATTCTGTCCACTGGGAAGGTATTGCTCTAGAGAATTGACTCACAATTACACAATAATGATGATGTGCATAAATAGTGTTTACGAAGAAGATTGAACAAAACTAGTTAAGACTTCACAAAATTTGTTTACTTAACAATCTGATAATTCTTGAAAAGTTTTATGCGACGAAATGTAATGGCATGGACTCGAGACAATTCGTATCGCATTTCTTGCAAATAGAAGTATACAACTTTACTAATGTGTCCTCCATTTTAAACTTACGTGATTTAGAATTGAACATTTAGCATAAACAAGAAGGAGCTGGAATGTCATTGTTTAGGTTAAAGTTTGCGTTTATTTTGTCATTTTAGCGTTATAAACTAAACTATTGTCATTTCCCAGTTTGTACATTTCCTTAGTTTTACTCCTATACGATTATTATGTGAATTCTGTCTCCTATTTCTTCCCAGCCTGAAATCGAATCCAAATTCCCCAGCTCAACAAATCATTAATTTTATTACTTGTCCATCTCCCTGCCAAATCCCAACGACTTTAAGCTTTCGAAGGGTTGGTGGGAATGACGAAGGATGATTATACCAATTTCTCAACAACTTTCCCAATGTCCAACTTGTAAAAATTACACCGTTACATTCAAACTCGTCAAATCAAAAAGTCAAAGGTATCACAGAATTTGTCGCATGTCATGCCTTTGCTCCCCGTGGGGCAAGGATGATGGAACCCTTGGTACGAAGGCGACGCTCCACGCTACGACCAAAGAGCCTTGCGAAGAGTGAGCTAGTAGACGAGTAGCCACATCGTAAAGAAATCACCCATATGAAAATATTATCACCCCGACGACCTCTTCGACCAGATTGTATACACTTTTTTAAGGAAAATAATTTGACATATTTTCCTCGACCCTCCCACTGCGTTGACTAGTCTACACTCCTCCGTGTAGCAGAATCTGTACATGCACGCCATGGTCACCTCGCTGATGATGTCAGTTTCAATAAAGCCAGTCCTCGTTGTTTCCATTTTCCCAAACGAGAATCCAAACATTTTTATGAGCTGTCGTTCTATTTTCTTATCATTCCCATCCAATAACAGTGTTATTGATCCATATAATAATCAGTGTATTATGTATGTACACATGTGTATGCATGTAGTTAAGCAATTGCCAAGTCTGAAAAAATGTCTCATCTGCCAGCGTCCGCAAGTCCGTAAATATTGCAAATAACTGTCTTTGCATGGCCATAATTTAAGGTGGATATTAGTTTATGGGCAGATGCAGATGTGAACAAGAAAGCATTGTTTATTATGCACAGGCGTAATGCATGGCTTTGTTGAATTCAATCTCATTAGAAATATTGGTTCAAAGTTGAGCTATTGTAACCGACGTTAAGAATACAGTCAAAAATTCTTTGAGAAAATTTCCGTATTTTCTCACAGCATGAGGTCCTCCTTCCTGTCATAAAGAAAGGGAATGGACGGACGGATGGGACGAAGACGACGACTTTAAGAGGTTTAAAGACTCACAGACCGCTCGCTCACACCGGGAAGGACCCTTTTATTTTTAAACACGAACCCCACCACCACCTAAAGTCTCGTCTGCCTGCTCACTTTTTTCCACGGCTGCATTTCGATAGAGAAATTGTGACCTGCACCAGGAATGGGAAGCAGCCAATGCCTCATCATTGTTCGCCTTCTCCTTGGATGGAAGAGTGTTGGTGGAGGAATTCATTTGAATCACCGTTCAGCTCACCTTTGACCAGAAACTCATAAACGTTCAATCTCAATTCATTTCCATGCCATTCATACTGCTTTTCTTCGTAATAATAATGACGATAATCGCATTATAAGTTCAGCAGCAAAAAAGGCTACACGCAAGAGTCTAAAAATCTTTTACGATTTTTTTCTCCTTTTTACGGTTCTACGATGTGTTGTCGTCAAGTCTGCTGGCACTTTTGTCAGAGACCCACGTTGAATTCAGGCCAGAAGTTCATAAAGGAATGTTGGCATTCGAACTATTCAATCAGTTGGTTTACTATCTAGAGCTCCATACAGCAGAACGAGAAGAAAAATCTTACCTGAACCTTTCCTTTTCAAATGGTAACTGATTCTGCCTCCGGACGATTTCTCAAGGTGTTTAAACACAAGCGAAGCAATCCCAACCATTCCAAGTATTTCAGGGTCCATAGCTCACTCGCATGCTGCATACCTCGGCTAATAATTTGTAAAATCTGTATCAAATTACAAGGAACACGATCCTTTGTTTGTGTTATTTTCTTTCGGTTCTTGTATACATACATAAGTACGTCCAAATTTTCTCAACGGTGAGAAATACTGTTTGGTTATTGCGCATCTAAATTTAATGAATCTAAGAATTTATTTACTTGACAAGTTTATACCTGAAATTCGCAACTGGATTAACAAATTCCATTACCATTAGAATATAAAAAAAACAGAAATCAACTTTTCAAGTAAAATTAGAAACTGTCAAACTTGATAGTTCGTGGGAGTTCTCATTTTTTAGTCGTCTGGAAATATTCTTAATCTCGAAGCCTTTTTATTATTGTTATAAAAGCTTTAACTTTAGACATTAGATGCATAAATACGTCGACGTACCCCTTTACATAGTTGCTATAATCATTTGGCACTGTTCAATTTTCCGCACGGCCGAGCAAAGTTGAGACGACGGGACGACAGTCAATAGGAAAGTCAAGTGGAGATTAACGAATATGGCAAAAATGTAAATCTCACCAAACCCATCCATTACGCAATCTCGTGTCTAATTCGCCTCTAGCCATTCTTGTCTGTCTGGAGCTATGGTAGTTAATCGCTATAATAAATCGTTATTATCTATGTGCATACATACACCCGTAATATATGCGAGTATTATGCTCGGCTTGACTTGAGCGTCGTCCGCGTACCCAACGCCAATAATAATCGTGTCTTCTGTATTCCTCATTATTCTAATTATTCATCATCATCGAGAGGATGGCAATAATTTAAAAGCCAACGAATCTTGTGTTGGGTGAGTTTGGTCGCCTCATCAGCGTTTACTGGCTGGTTTTGTACGTATTTAACATGCTTGGAATAGCTTGAACCTATTGTCCTGTACGTGTTAAATGTGCGCCTCAGGGATCACACGGATTAATTTAATTTTAATTTGTGTTTTTATAGATCAATTGCGTCTCCTCCGCATCTCTTTGATAGTGGTGATCAGCAGGCTTTAAAACACACTGCATTCGTTGTCTGACCATGTGTGCTCGTGTTTGTTAGAGTTTGACTAACATTTGCATATCTTATTCTCCTCTCAGAATTTCATTACGGATTTGAATTATCACGCACGCAACCCAGAAGCAAAAGAAGTCGCCCAAAGATTTATGTGCTCAGTTTTGAATTCGAGTCCATCTATTATGGCGCATTTTTCCGCTATCAGAATTTGAGTGGAAGCAACATAAATCCTTCGCAAAGAATGTGATTGCAAATAATCACGCTGTGGACATGTAACAGTCAAAGCCTGCTCTTCATCAAATGCAAACTTGCCATATAAAAATACATCTTATTTGCATAGCTCTTGCACATACTTGTAACCTACTATTATCGAGTGTAAAATATGTGGGTACAATGAACAGCGTTTCAGCTAGCAAATTTTTATTTTGGAGGACTACTTAATAAAACTAATTTACTTAATATCCTTAATTATTTCTTAATGATTTAGACGGAATTAGGTTTGTGGACTATTCAAACATTCTTGACTTCATCGCTTGAGATTATTTGAAATAATTTAACATGGCTGATAAATACGCTTCAACTATGAATTTAGTTCGGAGAACTTTTCATGCATGGTTTCATCAATTGATTTGAGGTTAAGTGTAGGAGGGAGCAAATGAGCTCGTATGTAAAATAAATGCCAACTCATAAATGCCATTAGAATGAATCCATGTTGGAATGATGGGAAAACGCGATCTATTTGCTAGATATGAGCAGAATCTTTCAAATTGTTTCAGTTCATGACGTGTGTAAAGGATTGTTGTCCACATTGTTGTCCACAACGGAGGCAAAAAATAAATCAATACCATTGCATCACAGCATTCCACACGGGTTAAGAAGCAGGACGAGGAAAATGAGACAAGTGTAATAATAAATATGTTTGTAGCACTGGGTACATAAATGCTGAATAAGTAGTTGTACTATCAAAGTATAATCAATTGCTGTTATCTTATCATAAATTAATTAGCATATGTATAAGTACCACGGCTCTAAGAAGTAAAAGCAATATCGAGAACTCGTCTACCTTGAATCACATACATTTTTACAAGACAATCGGGATGTGCAACAGATTAGGCTGTATTGGAGGAGTGAACCTATTGTCATTGTCTATTACATGAATTTAAATGTGAGAGGTGCTGGTTGAATAACAGAATTTGAACCAAGATTCGTTATCCTTCTTTGATGTTTGAGGTATAATACCTAAAAGATTAAGCAAAGTTCACTCTCTGGTGAAATAGCTTAAAAATGATTCCAAGCTTCAACGACAAACGCCGTGTGCATAACAATTGACAAATGAGTCCAGCAGGGAAGGATGGGACTAAAAACACATCTGTTATTCCTTCGCGATGCATGAGCTCATCGCATTTGGATGATGGCTTCGTTGATGACGATGAGATATTGAGATAGCTGTACGGTTTCCAGCTTTGGTGGACATCCTATCGCGTTTTAGAGCAGTGTGACCACAAAGAACCAGATCAACTAAACTTAAGAGGAGGATCAAGAGTAACCAAGTCAAGTCATTTTTGGCCGTCGTTGTGCATAAAGTACTCAGATTTCTTTTTCAGAACTGATCTCCCATTTGTTGGCACATTCACGAGTAAAAGTTCTGGGACCCACTGTTGTGACGAAGTAATGACGCAAACTTTCAGGTTGACGTTGCTGGAGACAAATGAGAAACTGTTTAATTTTCGTTATGAAATGCAAAGTTTCCTTTCGATTATTAATATTCCTGCGACTCCAAGTACATAATTATGCAGGTGATAGATGGCCCACCTATTAAGCACCTGCTTGCCAATAAAAGGTTATGGTTCATCATGCTCACCTCAACTGGAAATGCAGACTTACATATGCAGACATTTGAAATCGTTATCGGCGAGGCTTTGCGTAACAGCGTAATCGTACAGTAAAAAAGAGACTTCTTTATATTAACTCTCTACACAACAGACAATAAAAATGCTAATTACGTTGCACCTCTTTCATGAACAAGTGCATTTTATGCATCATTAGAGCACTTTAACTCATTCAAGCTTTTAATTTATGCATAATAACAAGATAAACTGTCACTGTTTACCACCATTAAATAGCCATTGTTTCATGTATGCATGCATGAAGAATTGATCACTGCACGGCTAATTTGCATTCACAATGAAACGAGACCACGCATCACTTGCTCCCGGACAAATCAACCTGACATCCGATTTTCACTTTTATCTCTGACAATGTGAGCGTGTGCAGTCGTCCAAAAAAGGCATAAAAATGTGTCTGTTGACCCAAATTCATCTTTTAATATACACGAAACATTCCACTTCATAAACATATAATTAGTCAACTGGAGACTCTTCCAACCACTTCTTCTTCTGTGATTGAGCTCTGATTCTGCCCCCGAGAGTCGGCTTAAACATGGGGAAAATCCTTACAAGTTTTGTGATCTCTTGTTTCAGTAATTTTTTGTTAATTTGTGTAAGTGCAAATTTTTATTTTAATCCTTCAAGACTGAAACGAAGTATTTAATAATAAGGTCTAAACTAATGGTCATACCGGTGTTTGTTGTAAAGGTGTCCAGTAATCCACACGAGCGATATTTTGTCCCCACTCAAGAGCAGTTCGTGGCGCAACAATCTCAGTCCTTGGTCCACCATAACAAAGCCCAAGGAATTTTCCCCACGCAGTCATTTGGCTGGTCAAACTTCCCTTTTGCTGCTAGTGTCAGTTCAGGAGCTGCGTCGTCGGTCCAAGCGAGTGCGAATGCAAATGCAAATGCAAATGCAGTATCTGGAATCTCATTTGGGTTTCCACCAACAAATCCAGGAGGGGGGCTTCAAATTGGCTGGGGTGCAAATCAACCCCAATTCTTTGGAGGAGCATTTGGCCTTGGATTTGGTTTTGGTGGGGGCTGGTACAACCCGTATCCGGCCAACCCGTTCCTCGGCGTTCCTGGAAACATTCAACATTCTCAGCAAAATCTTCAATTCCAGCAACAAATCCAGAGCAGTGCCGGAGGATCTGCTGGGTTTCATTTTAATAAACCCTCAATTGATTTGCTGTTATCCTATCCAGAGATTCCCACCCTTTTGAAGCCATCTCAAACAGGGTGGGATACGTCCTACAGTGCGCAATCACTTTAAGACAATAATATTTTAAGTATGCAAAATCACTTTACACTTTTGACTGGAACATTTTTCCCACAGACATTCCATGCGGCACATACCAGATTCAACCATTTGTGAGAGCAAATCTGCGCCTGGGAACGTCTTCGTCGCCCGTTGGCAATGTCAACGGGAAAAGAAAGCGACGAAGCTCCTTCAACTTTCCCTTCAGAGACGACGACTCACTTGAGAAGCAGACGTGGTCCTCCTCCCAAAGACAGCCGTTCATATCCCAAGATCAACGTGGTTTTCCATCATTCTTTCCTCCTCCCCTTCACCATCCGGTGCATCAGGCTGTTTCCGTCAACGCAGGTCCAGCAGAACCCGGTGGCTCGAAAACGTGCTCGTGGACATTCAATGTAAGCTGCATATTTACATGTACATATACAATAATACGCATGAATACATATTTTGGGGGACAACGTCAGTTACACAAATGCTTTATTTAAGAAATGAAGAGTTAATGTAATCAAACTAATGTTGCGTATTCCGTATGATCTCATGCGACCGAGTTGCATGATTAAGGTGCTCACGTATTTATGTATGTACATCATATTACGTAATGAGAACCTGAGTCATGCCAAAACACTGAACGTTAAAATCTTTTCCGGCAGAGATAATGGGGAGAGAGAGAGAGAGAGCAGTAGGGAGACGTGATGTGGGGTTTTGGTGGATGGTTGAGGTGCGACAAGTAACGAGAAAAAGGGTTGAAGTTGATGATGTGATGTAGTTCAATGATCCAACAGATGAGCATAATTCAAATGAGAACATGACATGACATTAAGGTTGTTGCGTGCTGAACAGGCATCGCAAATGCACAGAGTCAACAACGATAATGCTTCGTTGAATAAGATGTCGTACACAATTTTTGATATAAAATCCTGGTAAGCTTGACGGCATAAATTGAGTACACGACGTGTTTCAAAAGATTTATGGGCTGAGTAACACAGTAAATGACCGATTACAAATGAAAAATGGGCTGTCTGTCTCGAGCAAACTTTCGTCGTTGCTACAAAAATATGACTTACTTTGTTCTTATCTTCTGCTTGTTGCTGACTGTTGATGAGGAATTCGCAAAAAGTTGCATAATTAATTGAACTACTAGAATGTGGGTGATTGTTAAAATGATGGTTGGACATTCTTTCAGTCTGATGGGACGTGCAAGCTAAAGTTCAAATGTGTATGGTTCCAACTACCGGCGCTGGTTAGTTGCACCGAAAATTCGCTGCTTGTGACTGACAATACTCCAAATCTTAATAACACGTAAGCGAATTTAATTCAAAATCATGGTGTATCATTCTGTAAATTGTGTTTTCTCCCAGATTTTGTGGAAATCGTAAACCTCGAAAAGTCTACAGCTCATCGAATGGAAAGCTGATGTTAGGTTTATTTATTTGTCAATTTAATCTCTACTTAATACTTACCTCAAATTGAGCCATAATCTCATTTCGCCCGGTTTACCTTTAATGAACTGTATTGTTATTGTGCAGACTAACATTCCGATCACACGCCACATCGGCGCTTCCTGCAGTATTTGATTGTGCAGTTACTTGTTCACTTGAGTCGTCTCCAGAAAACGGTAAGAGAGTCCGAGACCCGGGTTGAGTTCCGGTAATGCTCAAGTTATTTCTACGTCTCACTCACTTATTTTCTGGCTGCCTTTCTCCCAGTCTCATCATGAACCGATCCGTGTTTAGTCAAGTCAAATGAAAGCTCGATGAAATGAATATGAAAAGTTTGATGATTACTTTTTAAGTATTATTCACTCAATCGCATGGTCATGAACCACTTCTGGAATTTAGCCAATCCTTAATTTTTGCACAGGTTCAATTGTCATTTGCATAAGTCGAGATTTGGCAATGACTAAGCAGTTTACTTTGTGCTTAAACACACCGTCATCATCATCATACTTTTATGCTTGCTTTCACACGCTGAATCAAATTGACATTGCAATAACGATGCACAAAAGTTAATCCATTGCACTTTGTTTCACGTTGCAGGACACAAACCACAAAGCAAGGTGATTTCGGCTCCCTTAAGAAATGAAGCTAATGTCACCACATCCACGGAAAATGACTTCACATTGGCATTGTCATCTGCGACTTCGGGGAAAGATATTCACAAAGAAGCAGCGGGGGGAGTTACGGAGAAGCCACGGATTCGCATTGGAGACTGCAGTAAGTTCTGCATTTGTATACGTGTATAATACATTAATATTAATATACGTAATATATGCAAATGAGGAATCTTGCATTACGAAATCCCCTTTATCTGGAGACACATACAAATATGGGGATCAGTTAATTGTGACACTCAAGTTGACGTACGATGCATTTATTCACATGAAAATATTGCGTTGCATTTTATTTGCCCAGTTCTTAGGACTTTTTCGTTCGTGTCTACCACACCGTGTTCACTTCGTGTGTGGTAATGCGTGGTAGTTTTGTTGTTGGTGCTTTATGGAGATGGGGGTTTTCTTTTTAGGCTGTAGTTAGGCTATTCCAGAGAGTGACTGCATGGAAAAGTTGTGTTGAAGCCAGCAGGGACTTGACAGTCTAAAATCGAAATATTTACCCACGGTGGTCATGCAATAAATAAAAAATCAATGATACAATAGGAGGCAGAAAAACTATCAAGGATTTACATGTTACTTTTTGGTTACGAGTGGACATGTCGAGAGACGGGAGATCTGTATTCCGTGAAGATGAGGACAAGGATCTATAATCGTATGGAATGCAAATAGAAAAATTATTCATAAATATCTCAAGCAATTTTGTTTGCCTAGTGTCTCTCCTCCTCCATGATATTCTGGAGTGGGTACCATTCATTCTTGTTCGTGGGAGAGCCTTTTAAAAAATCCATTGTGGATTAATGTACACCACTGACTGTGGCTTGGTGGTTGGGCCAGCTTTCTCATCCAAATTATGTGATAGACTCAGTCACTTTAATTGAAAAGTAAATATGATCTTGTTCCAGGAAATCAAGTTGTTTAAAAGTTTTCTTCCCATATGCTCCTTCCCAAATTCCTCTTGGTTAAACAAATAGACAGGCAAAACCTCTTTTCTCCTAGTCACTCTTCTCGTCATCTTTGGTGATGACGATGGGAAAACTTTTGGTTAGACAGATAGAGCAGAGGGTATTTAAGACGGTGGACCTTTCGGTGTGATTGCAACAGCAGGTATTTGTTACAAGTCACAGGTTTTATGTTTGTTCACAAAGCAGTTGTTTATGTTTCTTCTTACCTTCATTCATAAAATATGCACTGTTGCATTATGGCTTTTTCGACGGCTTTGTTGGTTTAGCTGCAGTGAGGAATTATACATAAATGCATTCAACTGCGTAGGATGTGGAGTTCGAGATGACCATTACTTGTCAAAAGGACGCATTGTTGGTGGCCACCCCGCCACCCCGGCCGAGTTTGGGTGGACTGTGGCTCTGGTAAGAACGTCATCCTCCCCCAGGTCAACAAATGGACGACCATTCTGTGGGGGTTCTCTCATCTCTGACCGTTATGGTGAGCCTGCATCAATGAATTTCTTTTTGTTTTCACGGCGAGCAGGATAAAATGCTTTCTATTTAATAAGAGGAGAAGGGAGCTAATAATTTAATGGTCTACTTTATTGCAGTGATCACGGCGGCACATTGTGTCTCCAAGTAAGTGAGCCATAAACGAAATTGCTGCTTTTCCATTTTTAATACCCCTTCAAAATTGATAGCAATAGAGCTTAGTCTACCTTCATTTTGCTCTCACCTCCATCATTCGAGCTTTTATGTCCATGCCTGCATCAGCTATGACTTGAGCTTTTCCTCTGCAACTTCTTTCTCTTTCGAACACGTACGTATAAATCGGGCAAGTGAGAATCCCACATTTGCCATCCACGCCTAAAAAGTAATATCCATGCACGCCAACCAACTCAAAGTCGACATGATTTTTCTCCGACGAGCGTTTGGCGCGGTCTTTATTATTAAATACATTCAAAAAGTATTTTTGCATAATAATTTGCGAAAATAAAAATATTTCGTCTACATGCTACGCCAAAAGAGGAAATGTAGAAAATTAATTGTGCAAGACAGAGTGCCACCAGTAGAATAAGCAAAATGGGGTTTTAAAGGCAGGTGATGCATTCTTTGGTGGGTAAAAAATACGAGTAATAAAAGATCCAAATTTGGTCAATATTTTGCATTCCTGGGCATAATTCAACAATAAAAATAAATTGATGTGACCGGTCATAAAAAATGCGGCAGTTTTTGTCAAATAGTGTCACACAAGTTCTTCCAACTAATCAGAAAGACAGTTATAAAACACAATTGGCTACTTTTGTAGTGTATTATCAAGTAGTAATGGTCGCAGTAGTGGTTACACAACAAGTGGGGTTGAAAAGACAGAATCAGAAGAATATGATCAAGCAGTTTCCACCCTAATGCCATAATAATAATACTACAGCATTATAAAATACCTAGTAGTCAGCAATGAGACCTGGGTTATATATATATTTAGTTAGTTCAGCTATGCAGCCAGCCCAACCATGCTTTGCTCCAAGTCAGGTCATATTTGAGAGCAATAAAGATGTCCAAGGTAATTTGTAGCTGAGTTTCATTATCAAAGTCGACATCTCCAACTTTTCTGACGCTTGGTTGTTGGTTGGTTGGCTTTCTTATTGTTCCCACTAGCCTCACAAATAAGTCGCACTTTGGCCAGTAGCTTTATCACGGTGTCACATGCACTACATGCCTGATATCAAAGGGGAAAGAAGCATTAGCTTCAATTCGGGTATAAAATATTCTTCTTTTTGGATAGCAACAAGGTAATCAGGGAGCCGAGGAGCGTTCCTGCTCGCGGTGTGCAGGGTCTGAAAGAATTATTTCAAGTTCTCCTCATCGAGCACGATGTGACCAGATTGGACGACGTGCCTGGAGGGAGTGTGCGCTTCGGTGTCGACAAAATCCTGGTCCATCCGCTCTACAACAATGTCTCATTTGATTACGATGTCGCTCTCCTTCGCCTGGATCGACCAATTGAGTTTACATCGTCCCAGTCAGCCTTCTACCGATATGACACGTTCGACTTTCACTCTGTGAGCAGATCCATACCTACGAACATAATGCTTATCGCGTTAAAATATTATTCCCACCAGCACTCGTCGAACTTGTTGCATTAATTTGATTCATTTTAGAGACGTAGATTTATTCCGGAAGTGGAGGCGCGTCCTCATATTCCGAGACCGACGCCAATTTGTTTGCCTTCAGATAAAAGTGAATCGCTGGTGGACAAATATGCCACCATCACCGGATGGGGACTTCAACAAGAAGGTAAGGATTAGAAGCCCTTATTATTCCTCGCTACGTATAAATATACGTCCACAGAATGGTAAACAAATTCGCATTGGGATGTCCTCAAGCTATAAGTTATGTATTCTTGACACCTGAATTAATGCACGGAATCGGAGCATTAATGCCTTGAAGGACTTTTTGTTGTTAACTATAACAACAAAAATAAAGGGCTTCATATTCGTGTAGACTGTGAACCCTTTAACTTGGTGATGATGGCGTGGTTTAGTTGGGCATAGTTCAAGGCAGCATCATGAGTAATAAAGTCCAACAACGCGTGCATTCCTTGTTCATTACTCTCCTTTTGTAAGCTTTGTAAGTATCTGGAGGGGGGACTGCAGGAGATCACAAGGAGATGTAAATATCCGCAGCATTATTAAAGGACCCACTTTCTCAGGCAGACATCCGACGGCTGGTGTCCAATTCTCTGTTTTTAATGTCGCCCAGTTCACTCAGTGAGGGCCAAAATTGCCATTTATCAACTCTTCATTCTCTTCGCTGATAATCCTTCTTCGGCTTGATTTATCCTTCCCCTTTAAACCCTGTTGTTAAATCGTTCGTGGTCGTAACTTTCTATAATCTGTGAATTACGGCTCTATCTGATCAGCTAGTCAGTCGCATTTCTTGGTCGCTCCGTTGTTGCAGTGCACTTAATTTTATTAAGCCTGATTGTGACGACTGTAGTGCTGGAGTCTCGTGCAATCTTATCACCTATGAGAGAGAGAAGTATCAGTTGGTAGAGTGTAAAATGCCCACAAGGGTTCCCCGAAAAAATCTTTGAAATAGAGACGACGTGGTTTGCACGCAATCTTCCTTCGTCAATTTATATGACAGGCTTGAGAGCAAACAATTGTTTCCGGACGTATCAAAATATGTTATTTGTAGGTGTCTCGCTTGAATGAAGCACAGTTTACGACTTGTATCGTATGATGATAACGTTGGAAATATTTGGGGCTGTCAGTAAAATTAAGTAAATATTTTTCCATGATAAATACTTACTCTCGGAATGTTTCAACTTTGTCAAGGTGGGAATCCATCGGATGAACTGCAGAAGGCGACAGTTCAAGTATTTAACGACTCTTTTTGTAAGGAGCTCTACAAGGAGTACAATTATCCCGTGACGGACTCGATGATGTGTGCTGGATACATGGCTGGAGAAGTTGATGCTTGCGTGGTATTTTTACTCTGTTGGATTTCTTAATTAACTACAAGTCCTAAACATTTCGAATCGTTACACGGATGTTCAGGGCGACAGTGGCGGCGGATTGATTGTGAAGGACAATGAAAAGTACATTCTTGCTGGAATCACGAGCTGGGGCCGAGGTTGCGGAAGAAAAAAACAGCCTGGCGTGTATACAAAAATCCACTTTGGTATGTATCCAAGTTATGCATCATTTGTGAACCGTTATAAAATTGTATTCTTTGTCGTTTTCAGCACTAATTGAGTGGATTCGAAAGGAAGCGAGTGACGGAGTGTGGTGCGTTTAGCGGATATTGTTAATTATTTAACACGTATATTGTTAGAGCGAAATGGGCAACATTGTTGTATCATCTTGAAATTGTACACTATATTTTATTTTGTATTTGGGATGCATGCAAATCAATCCTATTAAAATCTTCGTAAAACCTAAAACTAGATAATTTCACATTGGGGAAACTGTTCATTTCATGACTTTGTTATGTGCCGTATTTTTTACCCTACAGCCGTGGAAAGATTTTTGCGAATGGCTATTAAGAACAGCATCATGGTATGTACGTACACATGTACACAGATATTATTTTCACTCATTTGTTACCTGCTATTATTGCTACGCTCGGTTATGGGGAGCTTATTGAGTGTGGATTTATAAGACAGTTATGGGCAGTATTTCACACCTATTAGTGAGACCATTAGGTGATTGCAGAGTGTGGTCTACTTCACTTTATGATCCTTCGCATTTTCACCTTTGTTCTTTCCATTTCTCAATTTCGGATGTCAGGTACAGTTTCAACAAGCTCATCAAAGGTCGCAATAAACAAAAGAGTAAAAATCATGTGATGAATATAAATCTGCGTCTCTCTAGAGCCGCAGGTTAGTTAAGCATTACTTTTATTACCCTCGAGTAATGAGTCGTATTGTACAAGTGCATTGCTATGCACGGCTGTAAAAGTTGGTAGTGAGATGAACGCGTAAATTCCACTGACCTTACCCATGGACACACAGAGTTCGTGTTGTCTCGAATATTTTACCAGCATTTTTATTGCAAGCAGCAATGGCGACAAAGGACAAATTGGATAAAACAACTAAACTTACAAATGAGGAAATAGATCATGTACAAAAGTGCATTATGCAAAAATATGATGGACTACAACTTGTGGCTAAAGGAAGAGGTCAAAGGTCCACAATATCGTGATTGGGTTTGGTCGCGACGTGAGTTAACGGATTTTTCATTTCCATGATGCTTGTCAATTGCTGCATTCTCACTTTACAATTTATTGCCAATCCAAAATAATTGGACGCTTATGTAGCTCGTCACTCTTGGTTAGTGCACCTATTCTCTCGTATTATATCACGTATGTATTGGTGCATCAATGCATGCAAATCAATCCCAACATATGGAATAAGTACGTAAATGGAGTGCCAGCAAACAAAAACGAGAAACAACGATTACTGTACACTTATTGGAACCCCAAAAAAAGGATTGTAAATTAATTTTATGGTTTCATTTGAAAAGAACTAAAAAGGCAAAGGACGGCTGGAATTATGGCCGATATTACTGAGTAATTGCGGTTTGACAAGAAAATGGACGCAATGCCGATACACCATGATAAGTTGAATAAACGGAAAATTCTCTCGAATCGGCTTGTACCTCTTCTCATTTCGATTTTACGATTACAAGTTTCTATCGATGTCATTTACATGTTTACAACGATCAATAGCATTTTTATGGCTCTTTTGCACGATCAGAGTTGATGGAGGTTAAAAGAAGGTGGTTGGGACAAGCCGATGAAACTCTTCAGTTGTTTGGCTAATCGAGTGGGCATCGTTTAAACCAGAAAATGCAATCACATAATTTAGTGGCACTCACATTTGGGAATAATCATCATCACGAAGCAAAACTGAGCGAGAATTGCTCAAAAACTCAGTTTATTGTACCAAGATGATGATGGAGATGGTAGCAAACCTACGTTTTTTGTCTCAATCTCCAATACCAAATTCTGTAGCAAACTGATCAGGCTGGTCAACAATCATGTTTCTTATCTCACGGACGGATCTTTCAATAGAATTGGAATTAAGCAATTATAACACTCCTCACACATATGTACACAAGTATGTATGTACATACATGCATATGTACATGTGTATATAATCCCCTCAGTTCCATCCACGGCTAATTAAGAATTCCCGTAAAGTGCACACCCAAATGCTTATTAGACGCCCAGAAATCCCACCACGATTTCGAGAATTCTATTTGAACCGACGAAGGTAAAAGCAAACTCTGGAATAAAGCATAACATGCATGACGATCAGAATCACATGAACCACACACGTTTAACTACATATCTATTCGGTTTATTAAAAAATCTCGAGATTCAGCATTTGTTTTGGTTTAGTAAAGTCGTATACGCTAATTAAAGTACTACAAGGTCAATTATGTGGCCTAAGTCTTAGTTTTAGTCTTGGTCCCAGTCCCATTTTTTCAGTCGCTGAATAAATTGAGTCTGCGATGATAGAAGCGGCGGTTGAAGGAGTCGGAGTCCCTCTTTCAAGTTTTGCTTTGATCCAACTACTGCCCAAGCTTGATTTTCCTCTTTGGAAGGTGTATTGCTGCTGCAATTTCGGCGTTGTCGTAGGGGAATTGCCTCGTTGTGTCGTGGTCGTCACTTCGTTTTCGTCATGAAGGAATCGAGTCGTGCTGGACATGTCTGGACGACGAATTCCACTTCCCTCAAAGAATTTAGGAATTGTTCCCAAAAATTGATCTCGAGAAAGTGTTGCATCTTCCAACCCAACTTCGCCTCCAACGTTGTTTTGTTCGTCATCAAGCACCACGGATGGATCCGTACTTATGTAGCCACTAGCAAAAATGTGAGTTGGATCAGAGGGTCCTGAACCTGAACCATATCTGTGATACAACATTGTGGCTGCCACGGTATCTTCTAGATCATCAATAATTTCTTCTCCATCGACTGTGGTTGACTTTGATGTCACAATTTCATATTGGGCAAAGGGTTTTGGTGTGGTTTCGTTGTTGATTATTTTTGCAGAGGTGAAGGTCGAGTTGGAAGGTTTCGCCGCTTTCCCAGTAATGAAGATGGTGGGCCTTTTACTATTAAAAATGGAAGATTCGCTCAATTTGCGAAGTTTGGCCAATCCAGTGCTCAGTGTCGGATTAGTTGACTCTGTAGACGAAGAAGGTCCCCAGAGGTTGTCATGTGTGGCTTTGTTATAAAAAGGTTTTTTTGTGCTAGCAAGAGTTGAGGTCTCTGCAGACAATTTGTACTTGTTGTAAGAATGGGAAGGAATTGGATAAACTGACATCACTGGTCGCAGCATCATTTTTCGTTGAATTTTATTAGATCCGTCGATTCTTCCACTTTCTTCACCTTCAATGTCTGTCGTTAACGTCGTCAATTGTCTACTTTTGCGTTCAGTTGGAATTACATTTTTATTCTGAATTTGTTCACTTGTTGAGTATTGAATGCTGGTTCTGTACACAAAACATAATTGCAATATTATTATAATGTTACACACATATGTATCACAATGTGACTGAAAATTGCTACAGATTCAGAAACGATACATGCCAAGCTGAAAGACGAAACATTGTTATGCATGCATACGTATGTGTGGTAAGCGGATAAAAGCAAAGCCATGCATAAAGTTAAAATAAAATATGTAAGGACAAGTATTGACAAGGTCAGTCGAACCCGCGTTATTAGCATACGAGCGAGAAGAGCGCAGTCAGTTATTAGACAATAAAGCAGACACAAATGGTAATCAAGTCAACAAAAAGGTCTCAATAAGTTACAAAAAAGATGCTAATCTGTGACGAGTTTCTCATCGAATGACATTTGTGGCACTCATGAGAATAAAAAAGTTGAGAAAGAGAATGAAGAAATTAAACTTGCAAAATAAAAATGATATAAATAATAAAACATGTCCATGTCTGTCGTCGTCCTTACCAAGAAAGTCGTCTTACCGCGACTCGGACTCTGATGGACTGACCGAGGTCCCATCGTGATCAATATCAGTTCGAAGTTCACTTGGGTCAGGGAACATCATCACCGGGTAATTATAGTACAAACAGCGCACTTGCTCGCAAATAAAGGGGAAGGCCTAAAGGTAACCAGACATGTATTAGCCAACTTGAAACTAATGCGACCAAATTGACATGTTTATTGTTTATTTGGGTGCAAAATGGATTATCATTATCAGTTCGTAATAGTGGGTTTCTTGCCTTGTTGCACTCCTCTGCCGTGAAAATGGCTCGTTTGGTCATGGGGCTAATTGCTGTAACAATATATACAAATTGTGCATGAATGGCAAGCGATATCTCCGATATGCATGCACACGCTTTCTTATAAAAATACATAACAGTTGGATCATCAGACCGGTTAGATGTAGATCGTTCTGTTGTCTTAAAGTTGAATTTGTTGCCAAACACAATACTCTACAGAACAGACACACCCAATGGAATGCAATAATGTGCATACAACTTACGTGGTTTCATCGACATGCAATGCCTCGGATTTTCAGGAGTCCTAAATCAAAACAAAATAGTGTTATTATTTTTATATATATTTAGTAGTACTAGTATGTCATCAATTCATATTTTTTTCGCAAGTACTTATGCTGAAGATAAAAGTCGGATTTCTTATTAAATGGCAATAATAACAAGGGACTAAATATGTGTTTCTTCAATAACCTATGTGAGACTCCCACGATATTGACTTTCAGCATAATAATATTGAATATATTAATAGCAATTAGTGCTCTCATAAATATGTCTCTGCTGTTTTATTGGATTCTCACGTGTGATAATGCCACGTAAACCTGCACAATGGCAGAAAATGGGGACTATTAACACATTTCATAGTAAAAAGAAATTCAAGTTGAATAAATTTGTTTTTCATGTAATTCTGTCATTCAGTCATTATGCATAGTCTTGTGTCATAAAGTGTGCTATCTTATCTTAATTATAGATGAAAATTCAATGGTTACAGATAATTAATTAACTGTTGTTTAATAAGTTTCGTTGTAACAACGACAAGACCTCCCTAACCTAACCAGGCAGTTGATGCGTCTAACTGTCTAAACCTTTTGCTATTACGCCTTGATTAATTGTACTGCATGCATGCAAGTATAGAGTTGCGAAATTAATGTTAACGTGCTAATTCCTACTTATCTATAGGTTTAAATCCATGCTGGCATATCATACTGAATATAATTTTATTACTTACGCCGCACCCACGCCGTTTTTTAACCAGTAGTCCGCAAAACTGCTGTTGAGTTGTTCTCCAGAACTCATCCAAATCCAGCTTTCTGCCCCAAGCCTATTTCCACTCGTCCAGTACTTTCCATGTGTCATGGGATTTGCTGAAATGCATAATTTAAGGTTCACTTAACAAACTTGGTATAAATATGAAAACTTTAGGGAATACAAATTTTTGGGTACCGTCTCTGTTAAGATATGCAGAAATTGTCTCAACCTCCTCCGTTGTCTCCAGAACTGCTAACTGCAGGCCGAGAGTGCGACAATACTGATAAGCCAGGTGGAAATTGAGGGTGGGTGCATAAGGAGACGATGTGCTAAACCAGTACTGATTTCCATTCATTGCCACAAGTTTTACATTTCCAGCAATCCCTGTGAGAAAAATGAGGTTTTCTTTTTAGGAATCACTCACAGAACTGATGATGACAAATTTTTAATATTCATGTTCCTTTCCTTACCTCTACTATCTACCATGCAGAGAATGAAACTTGCCAATAAGAGTCCAGATTGCTGAAAACGTCCCATTCTTGATTACCGGATGTGAGTACTTACGGCTGAGTATTTAATAATGGCGAGCAACTATGTATGTGTATAGTCCAGCCAGCCTCTAATCGTACAAACTACCTGGTCGACAACGACATTGAGATTGAAGATGTTCGAAGCATTGACCCAGGATTATGAATAATAAGAAATGCACCCTCTCTCAGAGTGGAAATTGATGTTATGTACGTGCGGTGTACGTATCCCACCCATTAAGAATACCACGACGACGACGCTTTGCTTCATCATCATCCCTGGCCTGTCAGTCCAACCAAGATTTGCTCGTCTTTATTTATGCTGCATTGTTGCAAACTCCATCCCATCCCCATTGTGAGAATTTTTCGTGTTGCCAACATTTTCATGAGAGTTTTGTTAGCTCTTTATTCTTTCTTAAAAAAGAAGTGCGATTCAATGCTGCTGGTTTAAAGCTGGGAAACAAGTCAAAAGTTGTATAATATGTATGCAACAGCCAAAGCATGTGTACATAGTTTACTCTATTTTTAACCTCCATAGTGAACTATTCATCAAAAACTGTACTACAAAATGCACTTAACATAAAAGATGTCTGAAAATTTATGCAATGTAAAACAGTAGTTTTGCTGGAAACCCACAGATTTACCCAAGTCTTTTCAATCAGCACTAAGAAAAATACCATCATAATGACAAATAATCCGTATTATTCTTATATAATTAGACGCTTAAGACCATGGTAGAATCAATTTCATATTGATTGCCTTCTAGTTCAATACCCTTACACATTTTTTGCCGATACTGTTGGCATCGTGCGCTTTTGTAGCAAGACAATGTTATGAACTGAGTGCAAGATGACTTGCCTGCCTTTAAACAAAATTTGCATATATAGCGTATGCTCATTATCCAGCTCCATGTTAGCTAACTGCTAAGCATTTGTCTCGTTGAATTGCAACTCGGAATTTAATAAGGCATACTTCGAGCACAGTACTTGTGAATTGTGATCAGCTCAATTTTATTAACCGATAGGATTCATTCATAACGAGACGATGAATAAGTTATTAACCTTTTAAAAAATATTAATATAAGTTTTACAGCTAGACAGTAGATGCATTTATAAAAATCAGTCACGTAAAGTAATATCAAAAATCTCAAGTCAGTCCTTGCCAATATTCGTCTCGTTTTCACTCAACATGGACAAAATCTCCTCCGCTGTTGGTCGATCTTGAGGATTTTCGTTGCTGCACACATAAAAAACGCCAAGGATGGTATTGTAGGACTCGTCAAAAGCAAAATCTGGTAGTGTGGGACGCTTTCCTATGATAATAATATTTTTTTAACAGTTGGCTCGAACACTGATAGACGCGTGTGTGCGCGCGATAGTACAGTTAACAACAACTTTAAAATAAAATAAATTGACAGATTACCCAGTTGTCGACCAAGCGCTTCATCGAAAGCATGCTCATCGTATGAACTTTCTGATTGCGAATTGTCATTGTCGCCCATGCTTTCCCCATAATCTTCCTCTGCAGTATTGAAATGTGGAATTTTCAAACTGATCATTTCATGCAGCGTAAGAGCATACGGGTAAATGTCCACTTTGGCGGTGACGGGATACTTTTTTTGTCCTAAAGATTTAACAATTAATCAGTACATTCATATACCTTTTTTGTCATAAACGTGTTTAACTTTTGGGCAACGGCATGCGAATATACTAGTACATACCTCTATTTGCTAAAACGACTTCCATTGGATTCCAGATTTCGGTTCCCACATATAACCCGTCTACCAAACCATCATCTTTGATTTTTCGAGCAACTCCGAAGTCGCATAATTTAACAGCATCGAAATCCCCAAACACGAGAACATTTCCACTTTTCAAATCTCCATGAATGAGTTTTTTTTCTTCATGTAAATAATGTAATGCTTGAGCAACGTCGACTGCAACTCTGAATATCTTCAAGGCTGGAAATGGACTAACACCGTCAGGTGTCAGTTCTTCAACGCGATCTTCAATCAAATCAAATAAAGATTTTGATGCCTTCTCCATTGCAAGGAAGGTCACGTCAGTGGTGGGATTGCCAAATGCTCGATACCCAATGATATTTGGATGCGTTAGATTCCTGAGTATCTCGGCTTCAAACTCTAGCCTTCTTTCGAACAATTTTGTATCCTTACGAAGTTTTGATATCTTTTTAATAGCCCAAGGGGATCGCACTTCGCCGGAAGCCCTGGGGGATCGTTCCATCAAGTACACACCAACACCTGCCACAAAAAAAAACAAACAGATAAGTTGTATGATACAACTTGCATCATCGCCAATAGTAAACAATTCACTAGTACCAGTTCCATATCCTAAGCGTTTCATTGTCGGGGACGCCGGGACCATGAACGATGGACTTTTAGTCATATCCGTATTTCTTAGAAAGTTTACCTTCTTATGGCGAAATTGTTTAGGAGTCAGAAATTCGTTTTGACTATCGCCAGACGAGGACCCTTGTGACAGTTGGGACCCGGTTTCCTTCTCATCTTGAGACATACCTGAACCAACCAACCAACCTACATTCAACAAAAATACGCAAGAAGGTTTATAAATTTTTAATTACTATGATTATGAGTTATTAAACTTAAAAATGTCTCCACTGGAGGTGGAAGTCTAAGTAATACTACAAAATGACTCAATTAAGGTTTCAATGGATTTGTACCTTATCGGTTTTCGAGAAGAAGGGCTGTCCGTCTTTCGGCTTGAAGCACGACTAGCACGAGATGCAGGAGTGTGGAGAGAGCGAGGAAACGTCGGCCAGTAGCTTGTTCAGCTTGTTAACAGTTATTTTTCCCGGACCAACTTTTGAACTCGAAAGGCGACTCCCACGCTTTGTCTCTTGCACCTCGCATGATGCTCAATATTTGAGTAGTCTTATGCTTCAAATTACATCATTTTATTACCTTTTCAGTAATATTCGCCGATAATTTTTAATTGTTAGTTACGCTATATCGTATATACACTGCTATATTTCACAAATCAATTGTGGTTTTTTATTGTGTCATCTCCAAAACAGATCAAATAAGCAATACATGTGAATGAAAATAAATAATAAATGATCAATAAGTAACCTTATTGACTTTACTTGTACATTTTGAGATTGAATCAAGCAGTGTCACTAGCAAGTAGCTTGACAACATCAGTCGAATCTGGTCGCAAATTTGGATCTTCTTCTGTGCAGCAGTAAAATAATGCTAAAATCAAGTTGTAAGAGTCGTCAAACTCAATATCCGGAAGTACAGGGCGCTTTCCTACATTATTCGAGTGCAGAATAATATTATAATAGTGATAGATATTAAAGAAATACAACTGAAATTACAATTACAATTAAATAATTAATGTTACATACCCAAAGATTTCGTAAGAAGGTTGTCAAAAAATGAATCATCAGCATCCGTCTGCATATCATCCAAGAAAGAGTCTTCCACGGTGGGAAGGTGTGGAGGTTTTAGAGAAATCATTTCGTAAATGGTCAAGGCAAATGGGTAAATGTCGGACTTGCTAGTAATTGGCCATTTGTTGTCTCCTATAATGCAAACCAAATTAGTTTCACTCGACGTACTACACCATAATAAATATGTATATCTTTTGGGAATATGTAGTTCTTTCTTATACTATGGACATCTCCCTAATTCGTACCATTTTTCCGTAAAACAGCTTCCATTGGCATCCACATATCTGTTCCTGCATATCCTTCATCCACCTCTCCATCGTTATTTATTCTTCTGGAAACACCAAAGTCACATAATTTTGCCACAGCAAAGTTATCGAAAATCAAAACGTTGGCGCTTTTAATGTCGCCATGAATAATTTTTGCTTCTTTATGCAAATACTCCATAGCTTTGGCAATGTCCAAAGCGACCTTGTGAATTTGCTGAGGGGGAAATGGGTCAACGAAGCAATCGTTGTCGTCACCATCACCATCACCTCCACCAACGATGGACAGATCCTCCATCCTTTCTACAATAATGTCGCCGAGAGATCGAGGTGCTTTTTCCATGGCCAGGACCGGTTTCCCATCAACCTTGCTGAACCCCCGATATCCAATGATATTGGGGTGAATGAGCGTTTTCAGGATATCAGCCTCAAATTCAATCCTATCCGAGAAGAGCTGTTTAGACGTGTTTCTTAATTTTTGTACTTTTTTGATTGCCCAAGGTGACCGTAACTCTCCTGAGGTTTTTGGAGATCTTTCAAGAACAAATACTCCAACACCTATTTAGAATATGAGTGAATTACAATATGAAGATCGCATTTTTCCATTATTCCACTCCACCCCACAAAAACTTTGATGACGAGTCAAGTTATCAAGTAATGAAAATGCAAATACCTGACCCATATCCCAACATTTTCAACAATGGTGATGCTGGAACTTGAAGGGCTGGAGATTTTCCCCCTTCGGCCCCTTGTAAAATTGCGACACGCTTATGGCGAGCCTGTTTTGGGGTTTGACATTGATCCCCCTCAGTAGGAGAGGAAGCGGCAGTAATGACCTGTTCGTTCTCCATTGTGTCGTATGAAAATATTAAATTAAACTAATAAGAAATTGACGTGGAAATATTTGAAGAAGGCCAAGATCAAAGTAGCAGCAGCAACGGAAAGCAACGGACTAAAACGAAATCATTGATGTAATGTAGTGAGTAAACGAGACGACCGTTACTTCATGAAAACAGAGGGGCAACCGCTGCTGGATTCTTCTACCATTTCCCCATATTTTGGTTGACCAACAACTAGGCTTTGGAAATTGAAAGTTATGAAAATAATAAAAATGAGTGTTTGTTTTATTTTTATTTCCATGAAACAATGCGAATGAGGTGGACATATGATTATGTACTCACAATTTTATTACAAGATTAAGATTTACTTTCCTATACTCGTACACAATTTGAAAACACATGAACTGTTAGGTAGTTATATACTTGACATCAACAGAAATTTTATTGTATCTTTACGTGTGATATATATTAAACAAAATCGTGTATTAAATTCACTCTTTCAAGCTGAGGATGTTTGTTGGGGTGGTTAAAACTAATTATAATAATGATAAGACAACATGAATGTTCACTTGAATCAGTGTCGCACATGACTCTACGTTGCAAGGATAATTTGTATAATGACCACATCCTTGAAGTCTGAAGTTGTAGGTAGGTAGATAATTTTCCAAGAATATTTAAAGAAAATAGTCCGGTGTCCGCCGTGTAACATGAGGTTCACCTCGACGCGGCGCGGGGTCGAATTGTAGACTGGAAGAAAAAAATGTATTGATTAATACATGTACAACAGAAGCTTATTAAACACAAATGAATGCTAAGTATTTTTCTTACAATGAATATTTAAGTTGATCATCAAGTTCCATGATGGCAGCTTGATTACCGCAACGATAGCAGTAATTTGGTGCAGAAAAAATGGTTACAACATTACGATCATGACACCAATTATATCCTTCCATAACCAATTGATGTGCCCTGCAATAAGCAGAATATAAATTAACACATAATTAACTGTAATCAATTATACTTTCTCAATCACATACATAAGGATCAATTCGATAAAATATAAAGCAGTAGATCTTTTAACTAAAGGAATATGCATGTATCAACAGTAATAATCCAAAACAGAATGAACTTCTGCCTCAGAAATAGGACTATTGACTGTTATTTTTGCGGCAGTTAAAAATTGAAACAAAATATGGAATTATTTTGGCACAGAGTGCTGACCGCGGAGAAAATAGATGTCTATTTTAAACTAAACAATAATAGTAAATATATACGCTTCTTACCTAGATACTAAAGTGATTCCGTTAGAATGATTGAATGTTTCAGATATATCCTGTAAAAAAAAGCAAAAATAACGTTAAATTAGTTGACATAAATCAGAAATTGCAACTTTGGTACAATTCAATGGTTCACACTCTCACTAAAATTGAAGTAATTGCTGCTGTATGTGTGTATATGATTTCCACACTGACAGTGATTGGTAAAACAATTTGTTTTAAACAAACGACTTTTGACCACGACGGTCAAAAGTGCACTGATACCCCCCTCTACAAAGGTATCTATCTTTAGGTGTGAGCATGGGAGTTTGAACCACAATAACGTTTCCAATTTAGCCTTACCTGTCCAAAAGTGTATCCAGCTCCACGAGGACTTATTCCCCAGCCACCACGATCATCAGGGTCAGACCATAACAGATCACACATGGGTCCTGGAAAATAATTATATAATTGAAATAAAAAAATGATGAGTCAACATCAACAGTTGATAAAATCAAGATGACGTAATGATGTGCATAAAACGTTCAAATAATTTACCCTCGTGTGGGACTTCTTGTAGCCTATCTAACGCTCTTATATGGTCGAGAGTATCAATTGACGGGCTCAATCCACCATGCAAACAGAATATTTGACTATCCACAAGAGCGGTTAGGGGAAGGTAGTCGAATAAGTCCGTAAAATACTTCCAAACATTGGCATTCCCATACTTCCTTAAACATTCATCATAGAATCCGTAAACCTGAAAACAAAACACAATAAATATTATAAAATAGCTAGTTTATAATGTAACTTATAGGCTATTCACTTTCACACATAAAATACACCAGTTAATTAACCATTTCAACAATTAAAGATTATAATGATTTTATGTCATGAATAATACCTGTGTAATTTGTCTCGATTCGTGATTTCCTCTAAGAATAGTGATTCTATCCTTATATCTGACCTTGAGGGCCACAAGGAGTGTGACTGTTTCCACAGAATAGTACCCTCTATCCACGTAGTCTCCCATAAACAAATAGTTTGTATCCGGACTGCGGCCCCCAATTCGAAACAGCTCCATAAGATCGTGGAATTGACCATGTACATCCCCACAAACGGTCACTGGACATTTTACCTCTTGCACGTTCGACTCGTTGGTTAAAATTTCTTTAGCCTAGAGGGAAAAATAGATTAAAACAAATTAAAATTTTAATTACCATTACCGTACACCATAATTTATAACATCATTTGCACATCACTAAAACATCAATGGAAAAATAGTCAAGTGCGACTCCAATCGTTCGTTATCCAGCTTGACAAAGAATTTACTATTGATTTATTACGTCATCAAAGATAATTGGCTCTTGAGAGAACAGCGACGTATTAAATGAATCACCAACCAAACTAAATACTACTAACTACACAGACTTAAATGGTGACCATCAAGATCGACAAAAATACAATTTTGATGCGTTTCCTTTGTATACTCACTTTTTCACAGAGCGTTTTGACCTGGCTTTCTGTAAGTTGTTTGCACTCGTTAAGTTGTTCAATCCATTGGTCGAGCTCCTTGACGTTGATTCCACACCCACTGCCGCCATTGATGGGCTTATTAACTTCCGGGTTGTTGTTGGGATTGGTGGTGGGGGTGGACGTTGCTGGAGGCGGTGTGGCGACGCCAGGCTCCATGGTGGTCCGTCGTTAGCGAGGTCACAAATTTCTCGGAGGGTGTTTTTTTACTGTCCAACAACGACGAGGAGGATGATGACTTTGGTCTGTGTGGTGGCAATGGAGCAGAAACTAGAAAAGAAGGAGAGAGGATATGAATTGAAAGAGTAGTTGGCCACTCTCCCGTTGGTGCTCTCGCTGTATATACACGTACCACCAGTGCTCCTCCTCCTCCTGGTTCGTTGGCGGCGGAGGAATACACAAACAACAACCTATTTCACAACCAGCTCAACACGCTGGCACGTCCCCTCCAAAACCCGTCTCATCGTCGTCTCACCTCGTCCTTTATAGGAAACACTGACAAATTTAGTCTCCTTTCATTTCATGAGAGGTGAAATCAGTAAAAACTTGAAACTTATCTGCAAAAATAAGATGTCAAGAAATTTGTTGAAAAATAAGGAATGAGGAATGAGAGGTAAAGTGAAGGGAAATGTGAGACGACGAAAATAGACTATTGGGTGCCACCGTGTTCGTATCTAGTTTACCTGCTGGTCTGAAGGATGAGTCCAGTTTAGTTTTTTAGCGCAGATGTATTGCCTCTTTCGTAGATGCCGGAATTGTAGGTAAGTAATGTGATCATCATCATCGAATGACGTAGAGACAAAGTGGTATGCCAAACACTTTATGCATTAGTTTGTGTGTGGTGAAAAAACTATGTGTGAAAGATCCAATCATGCAATTTGACCCTGAAAAAAATCGTACTTTGAATTACTCTGGGCATGCTCAACAAGAATGGTTTTTATCAGCAGCGTGAATTGATGTATCTATCTATATTTATTTGCATACATTTATTATCCAACCAATAATAATGCGAGTCAGTAATAATATTTTATAGCAAAAAGGGACAAAAAAAGTTGTGAAATTTTGCGAAAATCCTATAAATAGATAACGAAATTATAATATTATATTAATTTTTATGCCTTTTGCTTCTTCTTGGACTTTTTATTTGCTTCCTTTTCAATATTTTGCCGTTTATTCGTTAGACGATCAGCCTCTTTTCGCCGTCTTCTTCGACTGTCCATCATTTTTTTGTAGAGTCGCTTATGCTTGTTTCTGATCATCATGCACCGAAGTTTCCACTGTTCCTTGCTCTCGTCGTCTCGTTTTTTCAGTTCGTCTTCAATCTCGGCTTCTCCTTTGGTCACTTTCATTTGCTTCTTTAATGCATTCAAACGCTGTTCGTCCTCATCTAGATCTTCGTCTTCTTCTGCCTCATCCTCTGTGCCGGCATCGTCGTCGTCCTCCTCCTCGTCGTCATCCACACTTCCAATATCTTCATCATCGTCATCGTCGGAGTCATTTTCATCTTCATTATCATTAGTGGTTGCACCAGCATTAACAAAACCTTCGGACGGAGCAATGATTCCTTTCTCCATGTCCAAAAACTTTTTCTTCTCAGGGGGCATGTAATCACCCTCCCGTTCGGTGAGGAAGGGTGACATGTGTGGTGGCAATACGGCACTTGGAAAATATTTCTCTACTGGAAGCACGGCACGGGCGTTGATGCAGTCAAAAATCCATTGAGGTTGAACGTAGTATCGTGACAAGTACTGCTTGGTTTGGTTGTCTCTGTCCACAATTTGATGTGTGATAGATTCATCATACTCACTGAACGTAGCTCCAGGAAATAGCTGAGCGTCCCATGAAACCTCGCCACCAACGGATCTGATGGCGAAAGTAAGTGATTCGCGAGGAGCTTCACGACTCAGAAAAAACTTCATCCCTGAATAAAAACATGAACAAACGAGGTTATATTATTTTTACATTGTATCTCTTCTCTTGACTTGCGAAGCACCCATTTTTCATTACTACACAATAAAGTTAACATGTATTCAATTGTTTATAATACCTGAAAACATGTTCTTCAAAAACTTGACACGTTCAGCGTCTCTCTTCAACTGAGCAACTTTTTCGGCATCCCCAGTAACAGGGAATTCGTCCATTTCTAATTCCGCTTCTTCTACGGGAGGGATTGCCACCTTCAACAAAGACTGGTTCAGTGCGGCCACCCTTTCTCCAACCAAATCTTCTTCATTGTCCCAGTTCAACTTGTTTGTCTCGTTAAGCTCCTCACTTTGTCCTTTGGGATTCACCAGCTTTGGAGGATAGAAAAGATTCAAAGCATTGAAGAGACGAAAGTTGATGAATCCTAACAGTGTAGAGTAGAATTCTACAAATGTAGCCATAATCCGGAAATCTACTGATTCCGATGATTGCGGCTGAAAGGCAAAGTTATGTGGCACGATCCATGTGATTGTTTGACCTTTGATTTCGGCTTGATAATAATATCCCTTGATAGAGACAAAAACTTTGCGTAGAGCCCTAGCTTCAATGACGTAGTGTAGAAACTCCACCGTCAGCCTTCTGCACAAGCGAGACACATGTCCAGGGACGAATCGCAAACTTGGAAAGGTTGAGAAGAGAAAGCACAATGTAAGACAGTCATCAAGATCTCGGATGGCGTCAATGAATGTTGGATATCGTTCTCGAACAATATGATCCAGTTTGTAGGTGGGTTTGTTATCAACGATTCTTTTCAGTCCTTCCTTGTCCCTGAGTGCTTTAGCCCTGGACTTTTTCCGGAGGTATACTTTGTGTTCTCTCAGTTTCCATACGATTGGTTCATGCAGCAGAAACTGAACGTCTTTTTTGAGGTACAGCGTCTTCTTGTCTGTTGCTCCCTTTTGTGCCCGCTTCCGATTCTTGGGTTCACGTGGATAAATTCCTTTCAGAATGCAAAGTTTTCGAAACGCCTTCAAGCTGAGCTGGAGTTTCCTCAGGGCATGTTTCCTCGTGAGGTATTGAGATGCCTCACCGGACTCGTACTACAAACAAAAATACATGAATTACAAATTGTAGCTTACAATTACAGAAGACGTGTGGTGCGTTGTAGACTGAAATGCTAATTTATAATTATTAGACAGTATGAGTATCTACTAATAGATGTTGAATTACAATTTCTTATTCAAAGGATTGTGTGCACAATCAATTATAACTTCATAAAGACAAAAAGAGTGAGGGATAAGTTAATTTCATTATTATTTCACTATTTTCGTTTTCTGTTCACTTACTTTCTTTTTCATTTTTCCCATGATGAAAAACTGCCTTGTCCAATTCAAAGAGACTTAAAAAATCTGTTTAATTCTGCAAATTATTATATTTTAAAAAGCAAATTTCCAGCAGCAGCAACGAAACTTTTTCTTGTTCACTATTGAGCACCACGCACACTGCAACATTCAACACACCGATTTGTGCCATGTGCTCTCCGATTTGAGCAGCATTTAGATTCACATGTAGATTTACACTTTGTTCTGGTTTCATCAGTTGTTTGGTTTTTACTTTTCATGAACTAATTCCAAGTAAGTTTAGGTTTTTCCTGGTTTTTAGGCCTTTTAAGATGGCCTTATAGATTTACCAAGATGTCTGTCTGTCCGTCCGTCTGTGCGTCCGTCTGTGCGCACGATAACTCTCTTTAAACAAAAGCTATCGACTTGAAATTTTGCACACTTCATCTTCGGGTCAAAAGTAAGGATGAGTTCGGAGATGGGCATGATCGGTCAAGTAATTGGCCGGTGGGGGTCATTTCCATCCAAATGCGTTGCCCTTAACTACCAAGAACCTTTAGAGCAGGTTAAATTATTTAAGTGTAAGTAAAATATTTGTAGCTTGAGAAATATCTATAGTAATAATTATAAGTAATTTTAGTATGAAGATTGCGACTGACCTCAAAGCGTTTAAATTGGAGTGGAGTTTCAGAAATTTTAAACCTGGGAGACCCGATAGGGTGACCCGACGGATTTCTAAAATTTGTAGTAGGTAGTTGAAATTTGGAACAAAGGTTGCTAGTGGATTGTAACAGACAAAAATGAATTTAGGTTGGAAAAATTTTAATCTTGATGGACCCTATGGGGTGACCCATACTGATTTTTCAAAATCGTCATATCGAAGTGAAATTTGGGAGAGAGGTTGCAAATGGGTCTTAATGGAACAATATGAAATGAAATTGGTAAAATTTATATCTGATGCGGTTATCCATATCTATTTTTAGAAATTGCGTTAAAAACATGAAATCCGGCACGGTAATACTTACAATTAGTGGCTTCTCATCAAAGAATTTGAAATTAAAAGTTAGCTAACAAGGGATACTTTCGAGGTGATAGTCGTGTCCAGGGTACCACTCATTGGTCTAAATGTTTTTTGATCGAGTGTTTCTCACGGGTTCGGGTTCTTACTTCGGGTTTCGGGTTCGGATCGGGTTTGGGTCCTGCTTCGGATACGAAAATTTTGAACCCGAAACTTTCGGGTTCGGGTCCGAGAAATGTGATCCCAAAATTTCGGGTTCGGGTCGGGTTCGGGTTCCGACTAAGAACCCGAAACCCGAACCAACAAGAACTTTTTGCCACAACGAACACGAAAACATTAAAAAAGAAAATAAAGTGTTAACCAAACTTGCTACGACGGTTATGCTGCAGTAATTCATTAAATAATTCAAATTTTTAATTGTCGTAACTTCTTTTCACAAGTGTCTTCAATTAGTGTTATGGTTTGAATATTAAAATAAAATATATTTTTTATCAAAAATTTGCAAAATATTTAGCTTGAGCTTACTTTAATATTGGAAACTTGAAACTGAAAATCATTTTCAGTTTTCAACTGATTTAAAAATTTCTGAATGTCACGGAAAGCCATTATTCATGGTCGATTTTTTGAGATTGCATTATTATGGTCAAGGAATTAAGAGTTATGTACTTATGCAGAAATGTGCTTAATTATAATTCCTCGGTCATATTTACAGAAGTATTGTTTGTTTGAAACCTTCCAAAGAATTTTTAGCTAAAAAGCCAGTCACCCCTTAAAGTTAAAATATATTCGGGTTTTTCGGGTTCGGGTTTCGGATTTGATCCGCCAGTTCGGGTTCGGATCGTTGCAAACGGGTTTCGGGTTCTTCGGGTTCGGGTTGCCCTCAAGTTTCGGATCAGTGGCATCGGGTTCGGGTTCGGGTTTCGGATTTGCAAGAACCCGACCCGTGAGAAACACTAACCCATCTTCGAACTCGGTCGATGCCCAGATGCATGTCTGTATCAAATTTGGTAAAATTCAGCCTACTCCTTCGAGAGTTATGGAAAGACAGACAGACGGACAGGTCGATTACATAAGCCCTAGTCCGGGCTAAAAATTATATGCCAATCGTTCATTAGAGTCTGGCTTTTATGTAATAATGCCGTCTTAAAAGGCCCCGCAAAGTTGCTTGGAGTAGGTTTTACTAATAAGTAATTAATTCCCAAAGGAAAGTTGCAGTTGCAAAAGCGAGACCTAAAATGAATGAGAGAAACAATGTGGTAAAGTGTTTCATTCTCAAAGCCTGATTGTTCTCACTATTATTCTCGTAATTGTAAAAGTTTTGAAGTTGTTCGTAAAAGTGGGTTCCATTCACACTCGGAGACCATTGCTTGCCATTGCAGATAAAGTAGTCGACAGCATCTTTGGTCCATTTTTGAATCAACCCTGCTTCGAAGCAGGACATTCCAATAAAATTAAAAAGATTTTTAAATGCAAAGTTTTTTCTAAACGCAATGCTTGGGTAGGTGAGCACTATGTATTCCATGCTTTGGTACATTGTGACCTTGTGTTTATATGGAACGCTAAGATTTTTTGCAACAGCGACAGGTAAGCTAATGTCCCACCCAATACAGACGCTCGTGCGATCGTTGAATGAGCTTATGACGCAGTCGGAAGTGCTACTGGTTGGGACAATCCTCTTCCTCAAATCCTTGATCCAAGTCTGCTCACTTTTTCGGAAAAAATCATACCCAGAGATTCCGGATATGTCAAAGTACACGGAATACTGAGTAGCGTTGTGAAGTTGGAGAAATGTTACTGGTTTTCTCAAGGGTTCCGGGGTTGACAAAAATGACGCCAAGTTGCATTTATACCCCGTTCCAATGATAAGCACAAAGGCGACCCAGATGACGGCTATTGACTTTATGTGTTTTGGAAGGGGGAAAGATTGTTCGGTGGAAAGTCCAATCGTCCACAAAACAACGTCGAGGAAGCTTTCGCCATTAGCGTCATCATCTCTCAACTTCAACATGAGATAGATGCCCAAGGTCTGGAAGGTGAAAGCAATCCCGATAAATATCCAAACCTTGTAGTGAAGTGGGGTCAAAAGGGCAACGTTGCTGACGGACTTGAAAGGAACTGTTGATACAAAAATTAAATGGGACACTCCCATGGGAGTTGTGAAATCCGCAGCTTTCATTCGATTTTCAGTCACAGCGATCACAAGAGCAATATCACAAGCACCTTCTGTGATGTCGTTCATCATTCCAGACCAAGAACCATTGCCCAGTTTCACGCCCGTACTCTTCCCTTCTGATATTTCTAAACTGTAGGTAAAGTTGAACCTCAAGGCTCCAGATTCAAGCACTTTGTAATGATTACCACTAATTTCACCGTTGGTTTTCCTAAATGAATGGGGAGCAAAATCGTTGGCTGACACCAGAAAATGCATTCCATTGACATTATCAATTTCCTTGATTAGAATGCTCTCGCTTTGGTGCGATTGTTGTTCTGCCGTACGACCTGTAAAACGCAATAATACAGACGACCACGAGTTGAGAGTATGATCTATGTTCTGGTGGTGAAAATAACAAGGTGATAAAGAGGTGTTACTAATTAAGTTGTTTTGCTTAATCGGTCTAATAAATACCACAAAAATAAGCAAGATTAGCTGCCTCATTTTTGACAGAAAATTTTGATTGTGAAGAAAGAGAGATTTTTTAAAGAACTAACGCAACTTATTCATACAATGCCAAATACAGAGAGGATAAGTTATTCTTGGGGTTTCCGATAGTAGAATGTGCGCAACGCTTGGTTTATTTCTCCATTCATAGGTTTCAAAAGAAGGGTTGTTGCACTCCAATTAGCAGAAAATAATTTAATTCCAACATCGGGCTTTTACTCCTCTGACGGATTCAGAAGACATGATTAACTTCATGTTTTTATTTCCAGCTTTCGTTAGCATACAGCTTATAACTTCGTCAGGCAAGAATTACACTGAAACAAGGTTGGTCATTACGAAAATAAAAATTAATTGCCTTCCTTAATGCCTTGTATTATTGTCTATTATTATCGCAATTAAACTGAGCTGCTGGATTTGCTGTTGTAAGACGATTGTTACTGTTCTTCCAGAAGAAAGTCTTGTACTAAACGGTTGAATTTGTCAGAATATCTCAAATGCAAGTTATGTTTTCCACCTTCCCATTTAACCAGCCTAGGAAGAAATATTTTATTATTTGACATGACACGCACGTCACGTATTTTTATTACACGTACCTCGAGTTTTTAATATTTTTATTCAAGTACTCTCCATGTTTTGGGCTTACGAGACCATCATCAGACCCGTGTAATATTAAGGTTGAGCATTTAATTTTATCAAGACTTTTGGACACAAATTCTCCACCATGATTTGTATAAATCCTGGAAAAGACTTTCATCCATCCACCGAAATGTTTGTCGAAAAACTCGTCCCCATATTCGTCTACCAACATTTCCATCATCTTTCCTCCGCGATTTTTTCGTTGTTGAAAATCTGTGAGTATTATAAAACCAGCATTGTTATACGAATACATATATTTTACTGTAATACTATTTTAACATCATTTCACATTCATAAATTTTGGTGTCATGTTCATCCACATATGCGAATGTTCCCCAAACGACTAATTTTCTAATAGTTTCAGGATGTTTGATGGCAGCCAGTAGCGCACTACAACCACCTCCACTCCATCCCATAACTGAATATTTTGGAAAGCCAAGTTTCTTCGATAATGCAATAAAATACAAATTTATAGCTCGCCAAAAAATGTAAACCATTTTTACACACCTTCATGAATTCAATCATAATTTCTGCATCTTCGACAAGGGAGTTGTCATTCAAATTCCTTTCTGGAGGTGCACTATATGCATATCCAGGCTGGTCCCATGTCACAAAAGTAAATTTTTCCCGATCAAAGTTTTGGATCTGTGAAACCGTGTGGATCTTCATATTTCCTGATGAAATAGTTTCAAGAACAAGTGGAAATGAAACAAGATATTATTTACATGCATACATGGACCAACAACAAGATCAATTACAAACGAATATTTCTGTTCTTACCCAAAATTCCAGGCAAACAGAATACTACATGAGGACCTTGTCCAACTTTTACATATCTTATTGGGTATCCACTCAAGTTTATGGTATTATGTCGTTGATCTGCATTTGTTTGTATTCCTCTAACTTTAGCTAGTAAATATTTATTTCTAATTGTGCAATAATTACCAAATTTCGATTGGGTAATAAATAACTTTTTTAAATGATTGTAACACATGTTGTTAGTTTACTATTTTCCTGTATCTTACTCACGTAACGTAGGATTAGTGCATAAAAAACGGTACAGAATGACATTGAAGGTCATCGGCCCAGTGTGGTATGTGGTGCAGTGCATATCTATGTAACGCAACAAGCTACATAGGTGCAAGTGTCAGATCTATTCAGCGTTGGATAATTGATTTTGCTGATACATTAATGTATCAGCAAAATCATAGGCATCAATGTATTCAATCGGGTATTTCTTTAATGCATACCTGCACACACAAATGTATGCGCATTTTGATTGTATAAGCAGGTTTCAGCTTAATTTACTTGATATGATTTTTTACAAAATAAAACAATGAGAATTTTACTCCAAATTTATATGATCATGCAGAAAATACATAATAATTACATGCGGTGGTTTAACATTCACTTGTACCAAGTTAGTACAAGTAACCCACAATAATACTTTTGACAATTCATGCAGTGGTTCAGATTTGGCAGACTTCGTGTTTCTTTTCCACTTTCTCTTTCCAGACATGTAAATATACATTGTCTAAAACTTTCACCAAATTGGTGGGTCACTTTATGACATGGAAAACACCAATTCCAGAAAATTTTGCACCCAGTTTAGTTGTAACTCTACTTTGTAAATAAACTGCATTTCATGTTTGACTGGCATTTAGCATGATTAGAGTAATTTGGGGCACGCGAAATTCGTTTTATGATTTGACGAGACCAGATACATATGTATTCATATAAATATGCATATCTATATGATTACTTGTATAGCACTGCATTACATAATGCGTATTTGTACTAACTCGTCCAGTATTTACTGGAGACGGGGAAAGTTCACTCAGTCCAAGAGTCTCATGCCACATTTGTACTTGCATAACGATGAACTACATGGGCTCCGTTCTTTGAAAGCAGACATAGTATCACGCTGAATTCCAAGGAAGACAAACGCCAAACTTCATCTCCTTGACGGACCCACATCCATAAATCACTAAACCAGCAAGATCACGTTCCCCACATTCTCAAAATGTCATTGGAAGAGCAATTCAAAGGAAGATCAGTTTTGATCACTGGAGCAGGAAAAGGCAAACTCGATTAATTAAAGTCAATTAAAGCAATTTGAGCTGGTATAATTGTGAGCATCTTTTGGTCGTTCCGTAGGAATCGGAAGGGCTTTGGCAATAAGACTCGGGAATACGTACGGGGCAACCGTATACGCCTTGTCAAGGACTCAGGAAGACCTTGATGCTCTGAAGGAAGAATGCCCCCACGTGAAACCCGTGTGTGTCAATCTGTTGGATTGGAATGCCACCCGAGAAGCCCTCCAGGGACTGGACCCTGTCGACTGTCTCATCAACAATGCTGCCATAGGAGGAATGCAACCATTCTTGGAAATTACTTCGGATGCTTTTGACGAGTAAGTTTTCACCGTTTCCGGAATTCTCGTTCTAGCGTTGTGGATATATTTGTGTATTTACGAGTATGCAGACACGTATTGACCAAGCTATTTCTGATCACATCACATGTCTCAATGCACAAGATTAAGATTAGTCATTGCAATTGGATTATTGTTCTTCAGAGTTATTGGCACAAACTTGAAGGCAGCTGTCAACGTATCGCAAGTCATTTGCAAGAAAATGATTGACGCTGGAAATGGCGGATCTATTGTTAACGTCACTTCAATCGTAAGTGTTCCAAGAATAGTTGCGCCCAACCCCATGACTAGAAATACTTTTCAATGGAATGTGCTGCGTCTGTTACATGTCGTATTATTTTCTAAGTCTGTATCAATGATATGCATGCACTGCATATTTTTAGGCCGGCAAACGGTCCTTGGCAAATTACTCGGTCTTCTGCACCTCTAAAGCTGGCTTGGATATGCTGACAAAAACCATGGCTGTGGAATTAGGGCAGCACAAGATTCGCGTAAACTCGGTAAGTTTGGGCTGTGTGTGGACCCCAGCTTTTGAGAAGTTTGTAAACTTGTTTGGAGGACCTGCAAACTTGGATGCGATTTTGGCAAGTGTAAAAGCACGAACTCCGTTGGGAGATCCAATACTTCCGATGGACGACGTGGTAAATACAATACTTTTCGTCTTGTCAAATGCGAGCAGCATGATGACAGGCGAAAATGTAATAGTTGATGGGGGATTTTGTGCTACATGAGCAAATCATAAGATCAATAATATTCCTACTCTTTTATGCTCTGCTATTTATTTATGTTCCTAAAATGTCTGTGACACTTGCTATCCCGAATTTTGCCGTCAAATGTAATTAACTGTCAACATTGTACACACAGACAGTGACGCTACCACGGAGCTTTTTACTTCCACTTTCACAAATTAAAATATTCTCTCCTAATAAAGTCCAACTTGTGTATGTAACATGCTCCACAATACTCATAGCCGATGCTTTAAAACATCTTTTCACAGAAAAGCCATTTAAGATCAACCAGTTTCACGTGTTTTAAATCACCAAAATAATTAACAATAACTATGAAGCTTGTTAAAATGCTTAAATTACAACATGTTATAATTACAATTATAATGGTGTTGCACCATGCAGCAGCAGATTGTTTTCTGAATAAAAAAACACATTTTGAATCAACCATATTTCAATCTATTCGTGAAATAGAACTTAAAACTCAAACGTTTTGTGAAAATCAAGTTTTAATTCCACAAACCAACAAGAATGGTTCTGATTTAATTGACTGTTGGGCTGTGATTGTTACCGCTTTCTCCGCACCAAAATTCGTTTTCAGCCTTACTCATAAATTAAATTATGGGACCAGAAAAACTGACAAGTTAGTTGCATACCCAGCAAAGACTTTCTCTTTTTGTCGCAACATTCTTGTGCCACTTTCTCCTGGATTCACGCAGAATGGTTTTGAGGAAATCGCGGATCGTGCATCTGATTTCGGAAAAATTAATCGTGACCGGTACATCTTTATTCATATGGGACACAATTTAAGACAAACTCCATTGACTGCCATAAAATCTACTTTAGGAAACATTTTGTTTAAATATATAATCGTTGTGATGAAAAATGAGACATTGTGGGATGTGAAAGCAGGAGGACAGTACATGTCATATTTTCAGAAAATGTTTGACGGACATGTTGTGGCTTCCGCTGTTTCAACTACTGCGCCAGTTTTATCTCTGAAATTATTTAATCTGCAGGGACGTCATTTGACTGTCGTGTCCTCAAACCTTCCTCCATATCTTTGGCGTGACAAGAGGACGGGCCAGTTGCATGGAGCTCATTATCAGCTTTTACGAGCCATCTCTACCACACATAATTGCTCCTTTACTTTCAAAACAGGGGGACACATACCAACTGGGATAAAATTACCAAATGGGAGTTGGACGGGAATGATGGGTGGCATAGTTCATGGAGACGCTGACCTGGCTGCGATGATGGGAATCAATCAAATTCGCTACGAGGCAGCCGAGTTTACCCAATTTTTGCATCAGGACGTCATGAAGTTTGGAATTGCTCATCCAAAGTTGCTGGTGAAATGGGACGCACTGTTTTCTCCATTCAAACTCACCTTGTGGATTTTGATTACATTCACATTCGTAATTTTTGTGCCTTTGTTTTACTTTCACTTATTTTATTATCAAACTATGAACAGCGTAAAAATTGGTTCAATAAGGAAACGAGGAAATTCTGTCAGTTCATTACTGTACATTTCTGTTATGATTCCTTTCGGATTAGCAATCGAACAAGGAGTGGTCGTTCTGAAAAAGCCACAAAATATTCGCTTTATTGCCATTTTATGGTTAATTTTCACTCTAATTACTGGAATTGCATACAAGAGTCATTTGGTTGGGTTTTTATCGTTTCCCAATTCAGAAAATATTCCCAGGTCGTTTCATGATTTGTATCTCAGGACGGGCTACACTCTCGTGTTTAATTATCTGGGGGGAGCAGGTTTCATTCTGTTCAATTATTCAACCTCGGAAGTTTACAAGAGTTTAACACGACGGTTCGTTCACCAGCGATCGTCCGATAAGTGTATCGTTCAGGCTGCAATGGACCAGAAAACCGTGTGCATTGGATGGAATTTAGTGCTGAATAACGCAATGTCAAACAATTTAACCTTATTCCCCCAATTTGATCCCATATTATTCTCCACGGATATTGCAGGTTATGCGTATGTCGGAGTTGCACTGCGAAAAAACTCCATTTACACAGAAACTTTTACTCGGATCACTTCTGAGATGCGAGATGCAGGACTTATGCAAAAGTGGCTGAAAGATATTTCTGACGAGGATAAAAAAGTTGGAAAAGAATGGTTTTCAAATCAGCGTGACAGTCCAGTTTACAAGCACATGAAAAACACTTTGAACGTAATGCAGAACAAGGAAAATCATGCAAATCCCTTGAACCTTCAAAATGTATCCTGTGTGCTGTTAATATTTTTATTTGGAATAATTACTAGCTGCCTCGCTGTCTTGGTGGAATTGTTTTACCCGAAATACATCAAGGATACCAAACTTTTTACTTCACGAATGTAGCATTAACCCAATCACTTATATTTTTATGTATATATGTAGAAATAGGCCAATTAATTAGCATGTTTGTAACACTATTTGTATGTATGCTTGTAACACAGGCTTAGAAATGTTTAGCAATATATTTTAATCATAAAAAATGAATGGAAGTTTGAAGAATACGTAAATCTGGTGACACAATCAACTCAAGTATGCCACGCCCCCGAATCAAAGATATAATTACATATCTCCATAAGTACTGTTCAACAAGATATATTTTTATCTGTAAGCGTTGTTGACCATCCATTATGTAATACACATTACTGATGTGTGTAATACATGATGCATACATCATATTGCTCGTCTCAAATGCATTTATAATTTGATGAAGAAGATAACCTTGAGTGAAACATGTGGGTCAGTCTAACAAATCTCAATTTATGTTTTTAGTAGTGGGTATCTTGTACTGAATGTGTCACAGTGACCGTTGTTTAATTCCTCATTTGTCAAAGGAGTCTAATTAGTTGGTAAATTAAACTAAAGGAATATTCATGAGATGGAGTCATACTGGAATAGGAAGACATTTTGCCTTGTGACCGGTGCGAGTCGGGGAATTGGTCGCTGCATTGCACAGGAATTCGCCAAGAAAGTTGGACCAGGGTCTGTATTCCTTCTGCTTGCAAGGTCTCTCTCAGGCCTGGAAAGCTGTCGAGAGGAAATTCTCAGACATCGGAACAGTGATATTTTTGTGTCAGTGGCTGGAGTTGATTTAGCACAGCCAAATGGAGCCGAATATCAAGTACTTATCAAATCTGCCATGGAACAAGGAGGAAGAACTATGGCTGAATTTGACCATGTCATGATCGTTCAAAACGCAGCGAGTCTGGGAATCATGTCCGGTCTGCAAGTAGCAGAGATGGATGATTTGAAAGAAATTCAGACTTACTATGCCTTCAACTTGGATTCATTCATCATATTGAACTCTTCCTTCCTCAAAGTTTTTCCAGAATCTTCCACCCAGTGCAGAAGTGTGGTCCACATTAGTTCTGATGGCGCCTTGGAGCCATTCAAGACTTGGTACGTTGCATAATTAGATAATGATAAGCACTTTACTGCTGAGCTCTTTTGATGTTCGGCTGACAAAGAGCGATGAATGTGATATTCCATGTCTCAATGTGAAAGCATACTGTTATGCATTATTTATTCAAGGGGATTGTATTGTGCTGCCAAAGCTGCGAGGGACATGTTGCTGAAGTCGCTGGCCTTGGAGTCGGGGGTTCATGCCCTTAATTGGGCCCCTGGTTGTGTCAACACTGACATTTACGAAGAAGCCGTCAAATACACTGCGGATCCCGACTTGGCCAGATTTTTCGAAGAAAGTAGGAAGGCTGGGAAAGTTTTGTCGTGCGAGCAAACTGTGACAAAGTTAATGAAGGTGTTGGCCAGCAAACAGTTCATTAAAGGGGAGCATGTAGGCTATCACGAAATTCCGGATGTATCAAACCTGTGGAATTGATGTTATTAAAAAAATTACTGGGATTAAATAAAATTGGTTGTTTAATATCTGCACGCTGAATCTATGTACAATTCCAATATTTTTTATTAACACATTTAGAAACTATACGCATAAATTATATAGCTTCTGCATAAAGTCATAGTTCTGGTTAAATCACTATTTGCGAAAAAGCATAAATAGAAGTGGTGCATTCAATCATCGATCGTACTTTTTAGTTTGCAAGAATGCAAATTCTTTAAGAGATCCTCGCAACCTATTAAAAATGACTCTGCTTCTGAGGATCGGACTTTCTTGCATTTTACTGCTTCAAAGCTTGGTGAGTTACTCTTTTAAATTTATCACAAGTCATATCTTAAAAATATTCATGAATGTGAAGTCAGTCAACGAATGGTATTTCTCATGAAATAATTGTTAATATAGACCGCTGTTTACGGTGCAGCGGCACTTGACGAAAAATGCCTTGACATGGTTCAGGAATTGATGTCCTCTCAATTGGGACACATTGTCCCCTGCATAAATGAGCTGGGACTCACTACCCCAAAGGAAAGGGGGGCCAACTACAATGTAAATTGATTAATATGTTTAAACCCTTTAATTCTCGCCTGGAAATATTTCTAATGATTGGTATACAAATTTTAAGTGCATCATGAAGTGTGTCCTCGCACGAGCAGAAACGGTACGATCACTGATAATTAGTTTGATACATGTAGTGATTGATTTCATAATTGTTTTCAGCTAACACCTGAAGGTCGGATAAGTGTTATGCGGGCTGTATCATTTATTTTGGAGAAAATTCCGAACGAGTACATTGAGAAAGCTCTCACTGAAATTGCTAAATGCCAAGAATATGCAAGTAAGCTTGTCATTGATTATCAGTTGACGGAATGATTCGCGTATGGTGGATGATTATATGCAACTAATAAATTGCCTGATGATTACAGACATTGACGTTGGAGACCCGAATGACAAAGGGTGCACAAAAATGAGGCCTTTAGTTGCTTGTGGGATTGACTTTATCTTCAATGTAAGTAATAAATAATGCGATTCAAAAGCAATTAACAAGCTACAATTATCCTTGTTTTTCAGATTTGCAAGGTGTAGTGCAATGTATAATGTTTTAAATTTCAACAATTCACTCTCATTCTTCGTGATCACTGTTAAAACTGATGGCAATAAATAAATAAAATATTATTAATATCCGAGTCAAATAAGCATATTATTGTTCAACTCATTGAACTCATTCGCTCAGTCGCTTTAAAGCTTTAAAGGAAATCATGAATTTATTTCTCACGAAAATGCACAAGCTCAATTGTAATTTTTTATTTATTTGTGCATCCCACTTTAAATTTATGTGCAATAACCAACGAGTATGTAATCCAAAAATAAATGAATCGGCGTCCAACTACGGATCTTGCATTTTTAAATGTCATGTACATCTTTTCCTATGGTCGGATATTTATGTATTTATTAATGGTAGCCATCAATTCATCAATACTTTACAAAATGCTTATACATATTCTTCAACAGATCTTCATACCCGCATTTTGCCTACATTTTCAGAAACCAGAGATAATTTCATATGTATGTCCCGAATTTTCGAAATTGTTTGTATAAAATGACTCATAAATTAATAACCCTTACACGCATATTTTGACATTTATTAAGTAATTATAGGAAGAGCGAAAAAAATGCCGTCAAGAATTACTGGAGAATTATAGGCTTCGCATGTTGCACAGATAAGCATTATTATCAGACTACCTATTTGATGTATTATTTATCGCTTTAGTTTTGGGGTAAATACATTTGGGTAATTTGAAAATGATGAATGACTGCGTCCCCTCTCAAATTATGCTCATGCAATCTCGGAAAAGTTATAAATATGACCAAGCTCAACTGTTGAGAGCAAAATTGAACGCAGTCGTGAGAATTTATACATTTTAATATTTTGTCATAGATCAGATAAATCAGATACAATGAATTTTAGGTGTATTTTCACAGCTTTGTTCTTGGTAGCTTCTTCAACTTTGGTGGTGAGTACGTCGCAGCAAATTATTTGCATAAATATCTTTAGCTTAATATTTACAATTGAATTAAAAATCCCGAAATTTTGACAGAGACAAACAAATGCTGACGAATGCAAAGATTTTCTCAAGACGATGCTCATGGATCAAATGAAGCATGTCGTTCCATGCATTACCGGCCTTGGCCTTTCGAAACCTCACGAAAAGAAGGAGAAAGTTTTTGTAAGTTTTTTTTACTAGTCGCTTAATTTTCAAATATTTAATTTGAATGTCATAAAATGTTTTCAGTGTATTATGAAATGCGTTCTGCAAAAGGCACAAATGGTAAAATTTTATACTTAGAACCGTCAGAAACGTAATGACATTCCTTAATTGAAATCGGTCTTTGCGCAGCTTGGAGCTGATGGAAATGTAGATTTCGATTTGGTCAATAAGCTTTTGGATGGAATTCCAGCCTCATTGAAGGACAAAGCCAACAACATTTTTTCAGAGTGTGGACATCTTGCTGGTCAGTTAATTGGCATGAATATTTTTTACCGTTTACCTTTTTAATACATTTTTTTATAAAAATGATTCTAGCTGATCTTGATCCAAATCAACCAAACTGCGACAGTTATGCACCTCTTCTTACTTGTGTCACTGATATTGGGGCAAAGGTAAATTGCGTTATTGATTTTATGATGGTATCGAGGAGGTGTTACATTATACAATTTCGTTTTACAGATGTGCTAAGCCCCCCCCCCCATTTTCCTATTTGCATATAAATTTGGGTCCTGGCTCAATATTGGTCATAAAAATAAAAATAAAATTGTCATATTTCTTCATCCGAAAATAATAAATAAACAAATTGAAACAACAAATAAATAACGTATTTTTACTCATTTCATTCACCAATTTTGTGTTTAAATGCAGAAAGAAAATGAAAGGATATGTAAGTATGGACAATTAGTTAATACAAAGAACAAAAAGATCTATAGTACATTTGTCTAGCTCATATACTTTTACTATTTGCATACTTATTTAAACTGTTTACATATTACCAATATTGCGTTGCGTATCCGAAACATTCATCAGGCATAAATTTCTTTGCACCTTATCCACGCAGTAATAACTCTGTATTCAATGTTTCACTATGTATTTAACTATATTTCTAAATCATGGAATCCTTAATACGTGGCATCACCTCCAGAATTAATACGCTAATTAAGCTTTAAGGAGGCTCAAATGAAGTCATTCCATTTTTCTACGGAAGTAAATAATTTCATTGAGTGATGAAGGAGGATGCCGACACGTGGAGCGTAAATCATCATCTTTTGCAAATTAAACGCCTTATTTCACAATTCCGGAAATTGCCAAAATTAAAAAAATTACAGGTTTCACAAATAACTGCGCATACTTTTCGGCATCATATAATTTTGTACCTCAATTAAAAGCCTGAAAATGCATAAATATAACCCAAACAAGTGCTCAGTTTGCTTTTATATTGCTATTTCGTCCAACGGATTATGAACGTTTTTTTACTTGCGACGAAATGATGAAGTTTTTAAATTACAGTATTTTCATCTTTATTCTAACAGCTATTGTAAGTTCCAATACTTATTCTTAGTCTGTGCATTGAAGCTATTTTTTAATCTCCGTTGCTCAATATATCAATTTGTATTCAATCTCCGCATACTTGGTTTTATGTACAGAAAGATGTTCAAAGTGAAGAGAAAGCCTGCAAGACTGCAGTGTCGGACATGTTGAAGTACCAGATGCAGTCTATCACGAAATGCACCAAGGAACTGGGATTCAAAGGCAAAGAAAAGACCGAGAAGATGAATGTAAGCCATTGTGTCTCACCATTTACCAATTAAGACCGATTTAAGTTATTAATCGTTTTCAGTGCATCATGAAATGCGTCCTCATCGCCAGTGGGGCGATCAAGCCTGATGGGAAGGTTGAGATCGAGAGTGCCTTAGGATTCGTGCTCGAGTACATCCCCGTCGAGTTCTTGGTGAGAAAATTGATCATTTCTTCATTTTCATTTGCTATCCATGATTTTTCCATCACTTTTTATGATGTCGATGTGAATATTTTGTGCCCAATATTTTACAGGAAAAGGCACTTAAAGGTTCCATGAAATGCCAGCGCTTTATGGGTAAAAAATCGCTTTATGAGAAAGTCGATAAAGTTTATCGGATAAACATAGTGCTAAAAAATATTTCTTATTTTTCTGCCAGATTCTTTGGACCCAAATGAGCCCACCTGCAAATCCTATGAGCCCTTGGTAAAATGCCTAACGGGTTTTATAATGAGCGTAAGTACACCCACAGATCCAACCTTAAATAAACATGAGGGTTTATTATACACCACTATTTCATGGATATGTCACTTTATTTGCAGTTATGCAGCAAGTAATGGGAGCAGACTCTGTCCGTCAGAGTAATTAAATCAGCTAGGACTCAACTTGTCAGGCTAAAATTGTTATAAATGCTTTCGGAATGAAATTTGTTATCGAAATAAATCACTCAAAACTTGAGCTACGTATATTTCTTTTATTGCGCTTGGCGTGTTGACAGCATGATTGTGTCTGAAACTCATACGAAATTACATCATCAGCTTTATGTGAAAATATTTAGAGCACGTTATGCGCACGAATATATGTCCATGGTCAAATCAATGAGCATACATAGTTCAGATTAATTTAATAAATTAATCTTAACTACACATGTGCATCGGACGAAATGGAAAGAAAGTCTGTATGCAGTCTAAGATTGATTAATCAGCTTGTGAAATCTTGATTTGTTATGGCTTGGAAAAATCGTAAAATACAGAAATCACAAAATGGATACATACAAGCGTACGTTTCAAAATTCCTTGAAATTTTTTGGAAGGTAAATATTCAAAATACGAAATACTTATTGAGTTTTGTAATTACACAGGGAACAGATTAATGGCTCTTATCCTCGGAACGATGGTAATATTGACCGTGCTGATGGGCATAATTGCAATCATTTATTACATCCACGAGGATTCTTTGCCACCGATTGAAAGGGCGAAATTTATTTTGGAAAGATCTCCACTGATCGATGGGTATTAATTTCAATTCAGGCATATTAGATATTCAATTAGTTTACAGTACATACGTGTAACTTAACGTCCAGACACAATAATTTGGCATACAACATTCGGAGAATGGTGTTCAACGATTTAAGAAAAGTGGATTTGAAAGCCAACTTATCACAAACTGAACCTTGGAAATCATTGAATACTTCTCAGACAGACATACAACGCCTGAAAGACGGACATGTCGGGGGACAGGTGCGATCATCGAATATTCTTTTTAAAAAAATGTGGAGTTTTTGATTACATTTCTGAATCAACAAAATGTTTTAGGTTTGGGTGGCACGGGCCGACTGTGAATCTCAGTACAAAGACGCCGTACCCATTACACTAGAACAGATTGATGTGATAAAACGTTTTCTTGACTCGAACAGTGATGATTTTCAGTTAGTCACTACTGTAGAAGGTGCATACATAAATATGGAAATGGCTTATTTGAAAAAGGGGGTGACAAATGTGCACTATGTTCTACTGAGAGTTACAAAATTTGCTAATTATTGTTAATAGAATTTGAGAAAGCCCGAGATGATGGGAAAATCGCGAGTTTCATTGCAGTGGAAGGAGGTCACAGCATTCAATCGAGTTTATCCGTGCTTCGCCAATACTACGACTTGGGCGTTCGGATTTTTACTTTGGCACATACTTGCAGCACACCATGGTATAAAAAATACATGCATAAATAAATTAAGGAGAAGCTATTTCACTATTGCCATTGAAAAAATATAGGATCGATTATTCGCGAGCAGATCACTCTAATAAAAGCTTGAGAATTGTGTCCTACAGTCACGGGATATCACATTTTGGAGAGGTAAGTTAAGTACGTGCATGTGCATTGCATAAGTATTGCACTTGAGACACCACAACATGTTGAACAACGGGAATAATTTCGCACTTGCAATAATTGCAGGATGTCGTACGGGAAATGAACAGACTCGGAATGATAATTGACATGACACATTCCTCAATTGGGGCTGTTGTTGACGTGATGGCGGTTTCAAAATCGCCCATAATTTTTTCGCATTCTGCAGGTACTTAATACATCTATAAGTATTAATTTAATTGGTACAACCAAGTAATCCTCTCATCTTGATAACTATGCAATAGCAAGAACTTTATGCGATACTGATACGAACGTAGGGGATGCAATTTTAAAAACCGTAGTAAGAATTAAGTAAATTACCAGTTACTTTTGTAAATCTGGGGCAATGAAAATGAATTACAAGTTCACTTTGTGCTTATATAGAGGCAGAAAGATGCGCTGGTGAGTTTCACTATAGAACGGACTTATTAGGTTTGGATCTAAGATAGATTTTGTTCGTAGGTGATGGTTAGTTTTGACTCGAATCAAATAAAATGCGATGGAACTGACGCAACCATCCATGACGTAATTAGTATGTCTCATCATCATCTCCATTTTTATGTATACACGAAAGACAATGATTAATTTACGGCAAAGAATTTTGTAGAGCATATCGAGTACATCAAGAATCGAGCCACTGTTAACAACATTGGGATAGGCAGCAACTTTGATGGAATTGAAAAGTAAGACACCCAATTCTTCCTCACATAAATATTTAGATAAACACCAACATGTCCAGGTCATGACAATCTTACTCGGTTCATTCTAGGACTGTGCGGGGACTGGAGGACCCTTCAAAGTTCCCCGACCTCTTTGCCCTCTTGGTGGAGTCCGGTAAATGGCACTCTTTCGAATTGGAGCAGCTAGCAGGCAAAAACTTTCTCCGCGTTCTTGAGGTACATACGTGTGCATATTTCTTTCTCAAATGCAATACAAACCTAGTGCAGAATATAATACAATTTATTTGTGATAATCCAAAATTCGACCTAATCCAAATTCCAAATACATCAAAAAGGAGGTTGAAAAGGTAGATGCTATTTCCATTATTATTAATTAACTCACTTTAGAATGACTATGTTGAGATAAGTGAATAACATGTTTCTGGGTCTTCGAAGGTGAAGGAAGATTTAAAGAACGAGGAACCAGTTCAGGCATTTCAAAAGAGGTCAGAAATCCGAAAATATTGGGATCGAGGCAATTGTACATCTCCGAGCTCTTTTGTTGATCCGTCGTCAAGCATTCCAACCCTTCCAACCCTGTACACATATCCCCAGAATGAGAATAAAGATCCGTTTGGCCGATGAAATAATAAAAATAATAAAAGACTCCAATTTCAAACGGTATTTTCAAATATTTATTTTACTTCAGCAATAACAATGACACACCAAACTGAGATTTACCACGATCAACGAGACGACTTCGACTCTTACAGAAGCAACTTTTCGACACGATTAGTTAACAATAAATAAATAAAAACGGAGACAGCAGACAAAAAACTTTAGTGGATAAAATATTCAACAAAGATATTTGTAAAACACATACAATTGGCTTTTTACAGAAAATTTTATCAACAATAGAAGCGACATGGTCAGGGAGAACTTGTCATCGTGCAGAAACATCTACCTTAGCAATTAATTTTATCTAGTACATACATACATTCGTTGAGTACTTGAGTATCAGGATTAACTTTAGTATCATCATAATTAATAATACAAATTCAATAATTTAGTGCCATTCGGTTATTAGCTCGTGCAAAAATCTCAAGTCAAAGAAAGCCGTAGTGAATCGTATGTTATTTTTACAAGTCCTATGCTTAAATAGTTAAATATTATAAAGTCAGTACAGGGAGAGGAGCGATTGTTCCGTGCTCATCTCTTGTACAAATAGTTCTTGGCTTCCAAAACGGGATGACCACACTTTCCGTGATGCTTCTTGGATACCTGCAACAGAGGAGTTGAGTTCATATTTCAAAGTTTCAAGTTCTGAGCCGCATACTATTTATGTGTGATGACGATGTTGAGAAAATAATGATGATTGATGTCGAAATAATTGGAGCAGGATTCGCTAACTATCATAAATTTGCCTAGACTATAGTTCTTTGAAGCCACGGAAATATTTTTTAGTCAGACAGCAACCTTGTCTGGTCTGGTGCACTGGCCGTTTCTGGGATATTTTAAACGACGACTTGACCTCTTACATAAACTATTGTTTTGTACATTGTTTACATATTTTCTCTTGTTCTTTTCACTTATGAAGAAGAAAGATTTGATACATAGATTTCGGAAGCTCGAGGAAGTAATGTTTTCTAAAAGCAGAACACATTTCGACCTATTCATACAACCCTCGCTATGAAATCGACATTATGAAATGGAGTAAATATTTACCATTCTTTTGTTACTGACAAAGTTGGGTATTCGTTTGGATGGAGATTTGTAGTACAAAAGATTACATAATAATTGCACCGTGATATTTCCTTACCAAAGCTCTCGAACGACAATTTTCCATCTCGAGGAAGCAACTGTTGGAATAAGTCTTGTTGTCACTGCCGCAGACCGGATCGTACTCATGTGGACACATTTTTGAGCAACCTCGGAATTGGAACGCCGCTAGACATCTAAAATACAGAGTAACAACAAACTGAGTTTAAACAAATGACATAATATTTTCTAATGAGAAATAAGCAACAAAAATTGCATAATGCATGTTATGTGCAAAACATGAAGCGTCAGATCAGTATGATTTGAAAAAATCTGATCGGCACGGATGGACGCGGAGACGTCGAGGAGAACAATGACTCACTCGTGCAACCCATTGAAGTAGATTCTCGTGACGTATGAGTGTTACGTTTTAAATGAACACATTCTACAACGTCGACCCAACCCAAAAGTCGTTTACCCCAAAAAACTCATGAACCGAATTTCCTAATTCGACTTTCTTTATGTCTGCAATGCCAGCCAATGCCGTCATTTTTAATCAATGTACTAGCTCCGATTTGTTTTCAGCATTCAATTATTTCAACACAAGTAGCTAAATTCAAGATTTGATACTCACCTTGACAAAGGTACGACATACATGTGTTTTCTGCAATTCAATTAACAAAAAAAATGTCATCATCATTGTCATCACTCATGCTCACGTTTCTCGTTCTCCCCTCCCTCCGTTTTCTTACATGACCACAGTTCAACGTCACGATGCTATCTTAATTATTACTTTTGTCATTTTATAAGTCTGGTAGGCGCATCCGGGACTCGCGTAAAAAAAGTCCATCAATTAACCTACATTCGCAGTGGTGTCGTTTAATTTTGGCACCAAAGAATAAAACCGTAATCAAAAAATGCTGAATGCATTTTTATTTTTTTAAATACTAGATTGTTGATTGAGGTGTTTAGAGATCAGATTAGAATTGCCTCACACATTGTTTAAATGTGGTCTCTTCTGCTGAGCCTTACTTTATAAGAGTGAATGCACGTTATCATGTCGTTAATCTGATTGAAGTGAGAATAAGGAAAAGTTTTATAAAAGTTGTTAATGAATGAACAAAGTGCTCATTTCGGTAAAAGAAAAAAAGTTACCAAACGTGTCCACAAAACCAACAAGTGCATTAAAGATTCACCTGGTTGCATTTAATTGACAATTAAGCCTGAAAGTGAAGTTTTGTATATTTGGATGAGTATCTTAAACAAGGTTAATCTCTCAACTAAGCACGATGATTGGACTGCGAGGCAATATAAATGTTGTTATATATTTTTTCCACCGGCTCTACATACATACGCGTCACTTCTCTGTCTCAAATTTTAATTGGTATCACAGGTCAGAATTACTTGCAGTTGTTCAAAAATCAGGTTGTCAAAATCTTACCCGCAATTAGTCATATGCATTTCACATTCCTAGCAAATCAAATACACAATTAATTATTTAATTGAATCATTATTACTAACATCAAGTAAGTCATATCTTTTCTCACATTCCTGTAAAATTTGTTATCCGATCCGCAAACAAATTCACGGCGGCTTTCGCACCCAGTGTTGCAATACTTTGTAGTTTGGCATCGTTCCAGTGAGACGGCGACCACTCTTTGGCCGCAAGTTTCCTTCTTCATTTCACATAAACTCCTAAAATCAAGGGTCATTAACTATCTATTCGCATTTTGCACTTAATGCCTCCAAATATTATTGCTATCCGTATAAAGTATTAAACATGAGCTCGCACCTGTACACATTCCCATCCGACCCGCATACGATCCCATCGCTTGCAACGTCGTCGGGACAGCGTTCTTTGAAGTGGGCACAGTTTTCAACCTGGGTTAAGTTCGTGCATGCCCCCCAATGCGCCATTTGAATTCCTTTTCTAAATTATTCATAATTTTTGTAATATCGAAACATCGTCAGTGGTTTGTCAAGTAGGGGCTTAATTAAATAATTAAGGGGAGTACACCGCTAAGGGGAGAGCACTGCTCTCGTGACCTTAATTGAATCAGACTGTTTAAACAGCTGCACCAAAATTCAGTATGATACACTTTGACATTCACAACTTTGAAGTTAAACTTGCATCCATAAATCTGCGCTCTTAAAATTTTAAGTTAATTAACAGCATGTGGGTGCTAACAGAAAATGAGTCACAATGTGCTATCACAAGTGCAAAATGGAGCCGAGTACAAAAGGATATGCACAATTGAACAACCGAGTATTTATGATTTGGGTACAGAATTGATAAAAGTTCTTTGTACATACTTACGGGGTCACATTATGACATTACGAACCTGCAAGTTGCAATTTGTAGCTTGCAAAAATTGTTGTACGTTTTCCCGTCTGTCCCACACACCTCGTCCAGATTGGAACCGCACTTAATGATTTTACAACTGTCTGACTTTTCTCTGCATTTTTCATATGAAACGGCGTCGACACGATATTTTTTAGGTCTGAGTATTCATAAAAATTTGGTATTAATGTGCTATGAAATTATATAATGTGATTTTTAATAGTATAAAGAAAGATGACGTTACCCGCAATGCATTAACCTCAGCTCACATAAATTATCTGTAAGGTGGTTCAGAATGAGAGTCAAAATCGGTGTGAAGCTGTTCACATGTTCAATTTTCCTTTACCATAAATATTGCCATCACTGCCACAGACAGGAACAAAAGGCTCGTTGTCGCAAGTTGCTGATTTTGGACACCCATTTTCAGCTCGTCTGTCCCGGACGCAGTATGACATGGGCACTTCAAATACGTGTTTTCTAAATATCAAAATTGTCGTAATTATCGTTAAACACAAACAGGCGGGCACCGCAATCAGCATTTACCAATATTCATCCATACGTACGTATTAATACCACCCCACACTTATCACAATAGCAAATAATGCATGTGTTTGGGAGATATTTAACCGTGGTGTTTAGATACGCTTAACCCCAATGGATATGCTTGGATAAAATTTGGTATCATTAGCCAAAAGAGGCGTCGGGAGCAGTTACAGAGCTATTGAATTGACATTAAAGAGCTCTACTAAAATCCCTGACGCGGAAAAACATTGGCCGACAAAATGTTTTCATGGGCAAAGATGTGGAACTTGCGCTGCTTTGCTAAACTGCAGTTATTGCGGTAGTTAAGCTGCTTATACACGGTGATAACTACACACATACATCTCTCTGTATCTGATGCACAATGTTGTTGAAATGCAATTAAGCCATATTTTGAAACATTTTTGAAATTTTTAGATTATTCTAAATATGATGAAATTAATCCAAAATCGAGCCTTGCATGCAAGGTAATGCAGGAAAGAGATTTCAAAATACATAGTTCTTACCCACAGTTCTTCTTGAGCATGGCACACCCTAGACAATTTTCAATGTTTAACCGTATTTCTCAGCCTTCTTAATATTGGAGGTCTTCATACGCCGTATAATACACATAATTACCGTTGTTGTACAATCGTCCATCCGATGCACAGGTCGGTTTTGCAATCCGCCAGCACGCGTCACCACAATGTTTTGTGGTTTTACACCGTTTTAATGAGGTTCGGACGACTCCTTGGCTAAAAAGAGACAATGTTGTGCCCTTGGATTCTAACAATTACGACGAGCGAATTGAAAGATGAGCCATGAAAAGGCATACTCACCCACACGTCTTAAATTTCATAGTGCATGTTGACGGCTGCAACAAAAATTATACACTGTGAATCTGCTTTGACGTTGACAGAATCAATTTGGCACGAGTTTAAAATATTATTACATAAACGTTTCCATTGCTTCCGCAAATTGGACCGTCTTTTGGGGCATATTTGCAAGAAAGTGGACAATTTTCCCTGGTGGCAGTAGAATTCATACAAGGTCCGCTGTGAGCCATGTTGATTCCCCTCCTTTTCCGGTGGTATAAAATACACGTTTTTGGTATTAATTAGAGCAACGAGACCATGTCGATACGGATTTGTCGGGTTCCAAATAATTAACTCACATGCATGTTTCCACTTGGAGGGTGCATTTGTTCAGATAAGTTCGACCGTCGGATGCGCAAACAGGATCGTACTCACTGTTGCATTTGCTATCACAACGAGAGCCTGCCGTTCGGGTGCAAAGATCTAAGCTCACGGATATTACACCTGCAAAATAAACTCGTCGCAATTAATTGGTCCGTGATTTAATTTGCATTTGTAAACAAATTGCTTTCATTCGTGCGTTACATGTAGATAAACCTTTGAAAAAATTCTACTCTCATTAATGGATGCTAATTGGGATTGAAATGAACGTGCAGAGTTCCATACATGACCCAACAATTAAGCAATGTAGCCGTTGGCATAATCGGTAATTGATACTTTGATTCATTTGAAACTATGATCTGTTGGCGAGAGTCGTGCGAATGGAATTCAATAATGGCGTAAATATTGGCGTAAATGTCGACCTTATGATTTTCATTCGGGGTCACAGGTGTATAGCCAGATTTTTTCTGAACTTTCTATAAATTCAAATTTTATGCCTAATTTTTTAAATAAAAAACTGTTAATTCTGCACATACTTATTTATTCTGATTTAGTCTTATATGAAACGGAAATGAGAGAGTTAGCATTTAAACTAATTTTCCTCTGGTGCAGAATATTTAAGAATAATACTTGTCACCTCCCATTCATTAAAGTTGGGATAATTCATTTTTCTCGCTAATTAATGGACATGCCCCACTGCATTTTTTAATTAGCGAATCTTGCACCTTATTATCTCCCATGGTTTATGGTCTCCTAATCGAGTATGGTCTCTTAATCTCTGCCTCTATGTACACCAACCCGTAAAACAAGAAACTTGAAAGTGATGGACGGCGTGTTGCGTCTTGAAAAAAGATCAGTGTTTGGAAGAATGCAGACTAATAAACCTTTTTCCGCTCAGTCACTCGCAATCCAAACAAACTTATCGAGCAGAGGAAACTTGAAAGAAATTGTTGTTCAAGATGGTGTGCAGAATCGCCCATGTCACTCATACTCTTCTTCCTAATGATACATAATTATGGGCAAGGGGTGAATGTGTAAGAAATAATCAGAGGAGTCCGTTTAGAATAATACGCATTTGCATTATCCTGTAAAAGCGAAAACAAAAAGTTCACTTGATTTAGTGCAATACGAGCACGAAAGAGAATTTCACATTATGACGTGAGCCTCATTGCAATCTTATTAAATCTTATTTTTCCTTCATTTTACGACAAAGTGAAGGTAAAAGTGACTCGAGTCAATCTTTCTAAAATCTCTAATCCGGACAAGTGAATATCTAATAGCTCATCTACATGCTCACATTATGTGAAAAAAGGCATTGTGGGCTGGGTTTGATTTGCTCTGACAATTTTGCCTCTTCCTTCTTGCCTTTTATTTTTCTTGTGTACGAAGGTAATGATGATGAGAGTATAATAGATGATTACACGCATAAATATGTATGCATTCTCATCCATATGGCTAAAATGCAATGCCAAGGCCGTCTGCCAATTGTAGGGTTACAATAATTTTAGAATTTTAGTTCAATGCACGTTGTCTTATTTCGAGAGTCAATGTTCTCATCTGAAATAATGAGTGGGTTGATGGGTTCGCACAACACCCTTAATTTGGCACTTGATGCATACAATTCCTTATTAGTTAATAAACACCAGCTCAAATATGCATGCACTCACCTTTTAAACACGTTCGTCTCCTCATTTCGCAGTCGTTAGCTGAAATTTAAATACGACATTGATTTGACACGTAAAACTATGAAGACGAACTTAATTATAAACGAGATTTTATGTCCGTGGGCTTTCATACCATAAATAACGCCATCGCTTGCACACACGGGTTCGCTAACTTTAGAACATGATCTTGGACACGATACGGATGACTCGGTCCCTTCCGCGATACCTGCAAATCAAAAATTCGTGTCATTGTCTTTTGTAATCATTGGAATAATTTTTAGCGGTGCAGCATTGCAAATTGTGTCTAATAAAAATTAGCAACTGCAAAATTGACATATTTACCACTATGAAATATCTATGCAAATAATATATCAAGTGTATTTACGTATGCAATTAAAAAATGTAAAAAAATCTCCCGTTTTTTTGTGGAAAATTGTACAGTAGTAAAAAAAATTGTGACAGAAGAGAAAAAATAGGAGAAAATTTCACTGGTTCTACATTTGAAACGAGCTTTATGTCCTCTTTCGTCTATTTTTTATAGAGCTTGAAAATCCAAATTAATTCCCACAATGCAAATAAACTTAATTTCTTCATGTGCTATTAGCATTCTATTGCTAACCGAAATTGCTGGTTTGCATGTTTTTGTAGTATCATTGGGTTTATCGGGATGCGTACGTACGTATGTACGTACATTCCTTTTATTAGCACAGGTCAGTTCAATTTGATGCTTGTGATGCCATGCCAGACGAGCTCTCGAGACTTGCATTGTCCCCTCGAACCGGTGCATTTGGGATGAAGCAACAATCAGACGGATCACATAAGAATAAAATTGAAACCATTCATCCGCCATCGAATACAACGACGAAACATAAATATTTAATTAGTCTTTTCAACGAGGAAAGCCTTAAGAGAGCGATGGTCGTCTAAATCGCAAGTTTTATAAATTGCCACTATTAGCCCACTCTTGCCAATCAAGTGGTGGCTCTCATTTATTCAGCATTTGCATTACAAGTGTACTTAGTTAGCACCCCACGGCGAAATGGATGATTTGTCCTTTTCTTCTCCGCTTGGATTTCTAAATGACACAGTCAGCAGTGGTGTGTACAATAAATAAATAATATGTGCGCATTGTGGAGCGAATGCCTACTCTGAGGATGAGCCTATGACGTGGACTCCCGACCATTTCGCACAAGAACGCTGCGTTCTTCTCAGTGACTCAGCCACTCAACGTGCTTCTTCATTTCGTGGTCAGTTTCACAGAGCTTTAAACTGTTTCCTATTTCAAGCACAAGACACACAGCACACTCGCTAATTTTAGATTTGCACTGAGCAAACTTTGCATTTCGAAAAACATACATATTTGCATACACAATGCATACAATAAGTGCATGCATTTACAACGTGAGGAGTTCGTACCACGCGACATAAAATCCTCAATTTAATTTTCAATCGATTTGACACGGTCTGTGTACACTATCAATCACTCGAACGAGCTGCATCGAATTCATTCCTGTTGGAAAGATTTCCTATTGGACAGATTTTATTTCCTCTCGGGCACTGCCAATCTCACACACTGTTACAGATTATAAGACTTATAAGATTAGTTGTACTTTTAGTAGCTCCGTATTTTTACTTGCACCATATTGACCATCAGAAGAAGCTCCGTAATGTAAAACCTGAAGATTTTCATGCTTCTGTGCTGGGCTGTAAGAATCAAGAACCGTAGAAGCAATATGTACATTTCATTCAGCAGACATAGTGGTTATTTTTACTACCACACGAGTTGCACAAAATTGCATTGAATGTTGCCACACACGTTGCTTGCACTTATGTAGGTTTCGTTCTGGCAAGTTTTCAAGTACAAAGATGCAAGAAAAACATTATCATCCGTATTATCCCGCAGACACAGTGTCCGTTGTAAAAACAGCTCGAATATGTCTCAAAGCCAAATCTATAAGGGGGCTTGGGAACTATGTTTATTATCTAGCTACCAGTCTTAACCTATTTATTTAGTGTCTTATTTATTATTAAGTACTGGAAATCCGCACGCACAAAAAAAATCATCAGTGTGCTATCATAATTTAAATCCTTTCCAACTTTCGGCTTGTCTGTCTGGTCAAGAAAATTAATATTATATTTGATTAAAAAATGCAGTGTTCGATTAAGGTTTCCATATTTATATGTAGTACTTGACTTAAAATATGTATATGCAACTTGTCTAAGATCTGACATGTCACTCATTTTATTTTCTGGTGAGGTATACAGAGCTCGTTTTTATGGAGGACTATTTTTTTAATATGTGCAACAATTTTCGCCATATATTATTTATATACATATTCAAGGAAATATGGAATTTTTAGTTGCAAAAATTGTGAGATTCTAAATTATTATCCTTCGACCTTGAGAAACTTGGGTCTGCAAAAATTCTGTTTTGTTTCGTTTTATTACTTTAAAGTAAGTATCACAAGATGGTAACGAATTAAGATAAATAGTCGTATCTGGTAAAATTTGAAGATCAAAGATATCATAACCTGTAATGACGTGTTTAACATTCATAACGAATTTTGTCGTCCTTCGTCTTTTGTTACATGCATTGTGCAGTTGTGTAAGATCTATTTACGACCAGATTTAAAGTGGACCTTTATGTGCGGCTAAAACAACTAATTGATAGTTTGATAATTCGGAAACGAAGCTTGCAAATCTTGGGGCATAAACCCACTTTGGTTTAATGCCTTAAAGCCTCCCATAAAATAATGGACAGTTATAAGAGCCAATTGCCCATCATCGTCACACACAGAGGAGGATACCTTACTTGTTTATAGACTCGAGGTTTTACTGCAACTCATTTTATACGACTACAATAATCATGAACGCAAGGAATTGTTTACCAGGAGGGTGGTCGCACTGGAAATACTTGAAGCATTGCAAATGTGTTATGGTCCTTACTCTCAAAGTACAGTTATCTTTGCTTGTTTATAGTTTGTGACCCATTCAGACCGCTGTCTTCGAATGTGAGAATGTGTAAAGCAACAACACCCAACCACATTTTTTACCTGAGAAGCAAGGTCATTTCTAAGTAAATTGAAACCCCCATACATATTACGAGGTTAAAAAAAGGCAAAACATTTGACAGGCGGCGGTTGGTTTCTCCCAGACATTTAGCATCGCATTGAATGTTTGATTTACTTTTTAGCAATAATGAAATTTGATGCCATCAATCTCGTATTAATTAGGCGCACCTGTCCGCTACCATGTTGCTTCCGATCCTGTCTCTCTGTGATTCATCGTCCCAACTCGTCGTACTTTGGGCTAGTTGTGAGTTTGTGCACGTATTATTACTGGCTGACTGCATTCCCTTCAAATGAAATCGAAATCCATCAAGATCATAAGCAGTGACTTTCTCAAGTTCAGGTTGATTTCTAACATAAAAACGTTAAATCTGACCACGTTATGGTGTCATGAAAATCTCCCTCATTTTTGCACAGAGATGTGAAACGAGTAAATTGGGATAATAATATGAAGACATTTACTTAGACCCAACTGAGAACTATAATTAACAGACATTTACTGCCACTGATCATAGAGAAACTTGAGGAGCACTATTTGCCGATTATTTCTACCACTATGACTGCCGCCTGTAGGACTGAAATCAAGGAGATAAATTGCAAATGCATGCATTAAGTGCAATCATACCTTATTACAGGAAAAGATATTGTAATTTTCGAAATTGATGGCACGTCTGCTGATTTTTATATACGAGGAGCCAGGAATTGCCGATTGCCAGCCAAATGAGATTCCGATATTCACGTTTAATGGGGATTTAAAATCGACAAGTCTCAAAACTCACAGGCAGAGTTAGCAAGTGTTGATTAAAGTGAGATTTTGTTGTTGATGAATCTAAAACACGTTTTATTACATGTTATAATAAAAAGCAGGTCACCCATCAGGCCATTACATATGGAAAATGTGCATAAGCCATACACAACACATGTAATCACAGCCAACTTCATGTGCACAAATCTTTATCAAACTTTTGAGAAGAAAAGCATTCTTCTTGTTCCTGAATTATTGTTGACTTTTGAAAACAATTCAGAATCATGCAATTTAAGTCAGAACTAAAAACGTGCCAGCAAAATTACATACAAACATAATATTTCAATTCGTGACACTGAGGATGAGACCCATATGAAAGTACGTCTAAATATTAATTGGGTATGAATATGAAATCGCTTAAAAACAGGTCAGATAAATACTTTCTTGGAATCATTCCTATTCAAGAAGACACGTGTATTTACCCAATTCTAATATTGTGTCCAACACATGTGTACATGTATATGTATATGCACATGCTTTTTATTTGTTATAGTTTTTCCTAGCTTGGAAAAATCTTAATTATCTTAATTTAATTATCTCAATTTTACTAAAATTTAATTTAATGTGTGTGTGAGACACAATGGGTTAAATTCATCTCTTTTTTTATTTGTCATTAAATCACAGTTCTTTGATTTGGTGCACTTTTTAAATTACAATGTTTCTGCATTTCTGAATCTGAATCAATAAAATCGTGACAGAACTGAAACTTGAAAATCTAAATATCGCATTTGCACAGCTTGAATTAATTAAAGTTGAGAAATAAAGAATATTACTTGAAACCATAACCGTCTCCAAGACCAAACCATTCAAGAGTCACCGACAAATAAAAACATGATCAACTTTAAAGGTGATGTAGACGAGTCGAGCTTAATGTGTGTCGGGATATAATATTTAGGTATTGATGTGGCATTTTTAATGGTGCATTAAATTCGTTTTCACATTAATAATGATTCACCAGACCAATATATTCAAAAAAGGGATTTACAAGAGTCATTATCTTGCATCCTCCGAGCAGTCCTGATACGTAGTAAGTCACCCTGCATGTGTGTCACTTCTAAACGACTACCTAATAAGACACTTCTAAAAAATTGATTACATTTCTCACGATTGTTTTACAAGCAAACAACGCACGAACCAAGTACAACTACCCATTTTCTGTTTGTTGTGTCAGTGTCAAGTTCACGACCCGTCTTGTAGAATTGTACCATGCGCTAGTTCACAATCAATTGGCACCTCGCTCGGCCGATAATAAAGTAATTTCTGTTGCTTCGTCTACTTTTCAGTTAGCGCACACCAGGAAATTGTGTTGTTCTCAGACGATTATTATAATTCTATTGCATTTTTACTTTAACCGATAAAAATAATGGATGTTTACGCCATTCTCGTGTATTCGTGTCTCACATTGTCACTTCACTGCTGATAAATTAAATACCTCAATACCATCGGATGACAGTTTAATGACAATGCAAATGCACAAATTTTCAACAAACATAGATATGATCATTGTGAACATGATTATTGCATGACATGTAGGTATCAAACTATGCTGATCATCATGGTCCGACACAAACGAGTAACTTTTCCAGTTATGAAATTCATGGAAATTTGCATTTACTGAATGCACTTGACTGGATGGTGTGCTGATGATGATATATATTTATGTCTTATGTATGAGAATAGTTAGCATTATTAGACAGAGTGGAAAGGAGATGAACTTACCTATGAGCAGAAGAACTGTCAAAATGGTAATTTGAGACCAGAATTGTTTTTTCATCGAGGTGCCGGCCACCCACCCAGGGCTCATTTTGACTTTTCAGTTACTTTTGCGTCTTAATTATATTTCAATGCTCCTTTCTTCAAACGAAAAATTCACTGGAAATGTTTAAATTTTTCCAATCCCGAGTTTGATCGATATTGTGTTTATGTAGTGCAAGTTGTACCCAAATCACTGTATATGCACCCAAAGCGATGGTGGCAAAGTGAGACACGGGCTCGATTTTCTAGAGAAACAATGAAAACTGCATCAAATCTCCTCCTAACCCACTCTCGAGCTAAACAATTAAGAAAACTGTATATTTAGTACGTGTAATTGTTTCGAAAAAGATTTTTCTAAATTCTTGGCAAACAATTATTGTAGCGTTAGACCAACTGGACTCATTGTTGGGTTGGACACTTGGTTGAGACAAGTCTACAATGAGCACTCCTTCCTGTTTCACAGTCGATTGTTAAATGCGAGATTGTAAATAAGAAAAGTCTCGTCTTCTGCACCAACGTGGTTCCTGAGAGATTGGATGTTGACTTGTACTCCTCAGATTCAGTTAGAATGCACACACTTCTCGCCATAAATAAGGCTCACTTCTTGGTTCTTATTATTGTTGTGGATGGGGAAGTATGAGGAATTGAAGAGAATCGAATATAAGATGGGGGTGAGACGACTCTTATTATGAAGATGTAACTCCAATGCATTCGTGGCCGTCCGACGCTGGTTCTCTCTCACTGATTGATAAAAGTGATGCACATCATTTTCAAGTACTTTTCGAATTTAATTGATTGAGGGTTAAAGGGATGACGAGCATGAGGATATGTTGGTCAGTTCAAAATTACCAGTCTCACTGAACAATGGGCTGGTAAGATTACCTACATGCTTGGTTTGGTTAAGGTTCTCAATTATACATTTTATTTATACACCATAATATTTATTTATTGGATTGCTACAGTTTTGAGAAGGGTTAGTGATTCTTGTCCTTAATTACACGCCAAAAGTCGCAAGAAGTCATGTCAAGTTCAACCAACTTTGTAACATTTTTCGTGTTCTACAAGATCATTTTGATAGAAATTAAGGTACATATATGTACATATGTACTTTAGAGCAGCGCACATTATGCGTGATTACTGTGGGAAAAGGTTTGATTTACGTCAAATAACTGGAGTTGACAATAAAAGCTGTCGTCTAGTTATTTAAATAAATAAATACAAATTGTTTGGGTTGGTGTGTTCCTGTTATAGCTGGCTCGATTACTCCAATTAATCTGGGTTGAAAAAATCAATTTCGAAAACGCCCATGAAAAACGAACAGTTATTTGCTTATTTACTCTTGAATTTTACTTTGCCATTTTTCTAACATTTTTTGTTCTGCATGAATAATTATTGTTTTAACAACGTGGCGTTTTTTATCCAACAAACAACCTCAGTGCTCACAAAACTTGTCAAAGGACCCGTCGCAAAATTCTGAACCTTACATTCTCGGAATCTTTTTACTACCCTTTTATAATTAAAAAAATAGTCATAGTACAAACCAAACACATGCGTATTAAAGCAGTATAACGTTAATTTGGCAGTATTATTATTACTCTTTTCTGAGTGTGAAAGGCAAAGAATTTTGGTTATTGTTCGTATGTGCACGTTTTTTTACATCTTAAAAAGATCTCTGTTTCTCTGTTTTTTTCCTGTCGTCATTCAGTTCAGTCCGACGACAATTATTGTTTATTTGAGCTAGAATACGTTCAGGAACAGAAAAAATGCATAGAAATATATGCATGCATTTTGATGATGAGAGCAGCCTAACCTACTTCGTTAATGGTGTACATTTTGTCTGAAAATTTTGCTTCGCTTATTTTTATGGAGATGCAGAGAGAAGCGGAAATGCGGTTTTGTTACGAACTTGAAATGGGAGAGAATGGGAGGACTGTTTTATTAAATTATCCAAAAATATTTATGAGACGATTAAATCAACTTTTTACTCTTTTCGAATTTCCTACAGTAGTTTATACACTTTTGTCGACCACAAACAAAGGAAATGAATTTTGATTGCTCTTTCAATTTACCCACAAACCAAGAACTCTCGTATTTAGGATATCACATGCCTGCCACCACGCTTGTACATACCGCTCGTCTCCAAATACTTGTCGTTTAATGCATGAGAAGAAGCTTGTTTGCATGTTGAGTTCGTTTGACACAATTTTTTAATCCTAAATTTTGGCGATTTTGTTTGGATGCAGTTGGAAAATTTTTGTGTTGATGACATGACATTGCAAATACTACGCCTCGTTTGCAAATCCATCATTCTGCCACCACACACTTGACATTATGCACAGGACATGTAAATCAGTTGCCTTATTTAGTAACCCTTGCTTGTGTGACGCGTTGTAGGAAGGGCGTCTAAGATGGATGCTCTTACTCCTAATTCAAATGACAACATTGGCTCATCACATTTTATTAGCCATTTATTTTAGAGGAAGGCGAAGACTGATCTGGTGACGGTAGTTGAAAATATAGAAATATACACCATGCAGAAAATTCCTTAAGATAAATAATTTCGAATTTCTTTAATCATCAGAATTGAGGACAGCACAGGTTCTTAAAAATTCAAGAACAATGCAAATTACAGCAGACAGTAAATTATTCATTAGTTTATCCACATGCATGCATCCGAAGTCGTCTCCGCCTCAGAGTATTAAACCAAAATAGTAGCGGAAAATGAACTAAATGCTGGATGGATCTGTATAATGACGATTGAAAATGGGATCACCATCACATTCGCTGCAAATGAAATTAAAATTTGTTCGTGTTCGTTCACTTCCCGTTGTACTCCTCGTGCCGGTGGCATTCACTCGAGGAATCATTGGTGGTTGGATTGTCGCATCACAATGCAAAATTAAAACAATTTCATCTTCATGATTCCCGTGACAGAGAGAACATCTCTCTCTCATGAAAGAGTGTAATTGCATGTAACAACCACCAATTAAAATTGGTTACCAGCAAAAGTTTGATATCACGCTTTGACAATCGCTCACTTTGCATTGCAATAGAGAGAGAAGGATGATTGACGTGGTTGGTTGAAGGGAAAAGTCGTACCGCAGCGCATAATGATGAACGCTGCGTTGCCCACACAAAATGAATTCAAATTCTAAATGATGGACAAGAAATGGCTTTGTTTAATAATTGAGGTCATGTTTGTGTCATCCTTTAATGTAATTTAACCTGGTGTCACACTACTAGTTCAAACTGTCACTTTTCCTATGGCCATCTCATCTTTTGTAGTTCAATGGTAGAAATAGAAGTAGACTACATTTGTGTTTTGTGTGATACTGTAATGTGAACCGTGGTCATGTGAACCATGATTTGCATCGGTATTATGGTCAACCATTTTAAATTTATTTGTTTGCTTTACTTCTCTGAGGAGGTACTTAATTCAATTCAGGCTAATAACTGCATAAAGACGGTTGTCGATGCCGATTAATAATACTGCACACACAGTGAACAAAAGTAAAAGCAGAAAATCGAGATGAGACCCAAGACCAGTTGCTAATTCATTCATGTAATTTTTTCTCAAAAACATGTTGATTCACGTTCGATATAATAAAAAGCTTCTACATCTGCAAGAAACCACTATGCAGGGACTTGGATTAAAATGGGGTTTAAGAGTATAAAATATTTAATGACAACTGGCTGCATCGGTTCTCATTGGTTCTCATCACTTAAAAATGTCACATCGTAATACTTGGTCGGTCGCCTAATTGTTATTTCACTTAGTGCTCAGGATAAGTGCCTCCTTTTGAAATGAAAAATTGACATGATTTAGGTCAGTGGTTAATAACCCATGTCTGAACTGTTCCTCCTTTTATCAAACTTTCATCGACTCATCTTTTGTCTAACAAATGCCCATATGGTCAGCATTTGATTGTTTTATTGACATTTTAAGTAGACGTCAATATGAGACATGCAAGCGCTTGAGAGAATGGCTGGTTGATAACAATGTTGTGCCACAAGTTTATTGTTCACCTGATTGGCACCAACTTGAGATTTTTTGGCAGCTTCATATTTATGTGTCTCTTCTTACATATGTGCTAAACCTTGTTTAAAATGCACCTCGACAAAGAGGCGATTAATGAGATCAAATTGATAAGCGTGGTCTCAATCATTAAAATATTTTTTATTAAAAGTATAAAAATATTGTTACTCTTTGTCATCGCTCAAGTCTTTTGTTTTTTGCGAGACAATGGACGAGTAGGACGTTTTGAATTCAAATTTTATCTATCTGGTGTCTCAATTCGTTTTGCTTTTGCTCCATCGTGTATGTCCCATTGTGCCTATTTTGTGTATACAGATACCGCAATTGTCAGCTCTAGCCATAACATATGCGTATAATTTATCTGATTAATTTAACTCTACTTTCTTATCAATTTTCTATCTCAATTGAGTAACTGCATTTTCTGCACCCGTATAATTTCATCACGACATCATGTCAGAATCGTCTTTTAGCATTTCCATTCTAACTTTCGCTATATGCTCCTTTCTCGATGCGAAATATCGTAAGCGACGCAACTTTAGCTCGTCGGCCGAACATGGCTCATTATCGTTCACATCAGCTTCTTCGTTCGCGTGTTCTTGTCCAGCAGATTGCTGGAATACATTGTCCAACTCGTATGGATCAAGGCGTTTCGGTATTTCAAATACATGGTGTTCGTCAACAAAACTGCAATTTTCGGGAAGTGACGCCTTGCATGACGATTTTGGGGGGTTTATTTGCTTGGTTCCGAGTGTCCGGTGCTGGACAAGTGTTCCTTTGCCATATTTTGTTTTTCTCTGATCTTGATTTGGGTTACAATTTGCTGAGGATATTTTATGATCCTCTTGTCGAAATGTTTTCTCTAATATGATTTTCTGGGGATTTGATTTACGTGCAGTTAAAAGTTCAGTATTTTGTTCAACAGTGTCGGAATTTCGTGCAACTGTATATATTTACATTTATAAATTAGTACTCATATGCTTTGATTTTAGTATAGACTTGAGAGAAGTGAGCTTGGTTTACTTTTACGGTTTGATTCGAAGGATATCTCTCCTTGTGCAGAGTATTTGCATAAAGGGAATGCCATAAGTTGTTGCTGGGTGTACTTTACGCCATTTTGTGATCTTAGGGGGAGCTGAATTTGAAATATTTTGGAACCACTTGGAAGGCTGATTTCAGACGAAACCACTGCAAAGTCGACAAATCTGTCTGATCGTATGTTTCTTAGGAGCAGCGTTGGACCAATTGCAGTATACGAAGGAGAATCAACAAGTCTGAAAGCCAATACATAAGTATGTACGCACATATTTAGAATAGGTAAATTCTTCATACTCTGATAATTCTGCGAATAATCAATTTGGAGCGCTCATCGCAATACCTCGACTTGTTGCATTTATGGTCGCAGTTGATAATGATTGTATTGTTCATGTCCTTGACAGCAGCTTTAATCAAAGAGTCCACTCTAGGGTTTAAAATGTCTGGAACGAAATCTTTGGCTGGCCAATGGGAAGCGTTAGGAGAAAGTAGAAGCACATTCTCATTCGTGAAGAAAGTGTTGTCCATAGGTTGCAGATCACGAAAGGGAGTGAGATTAAACATTGGGAACTGTAACATTCTGTCAACTTTTCGTGGAGTAAAACTGCAGTTTTTTGTGGGTTCCACAAAGTATTCGTCCTTCTTTGAGTCATATCGCATCCTTTGGTCAATCTCTTTGCGAATGCTTCTCGGAATAAAATTGTCCACGATGGTTTTCTTTAATTTTAACTCTCTAAAAGTTAAAAAAAATTCTTTACCACTTTTGGATTGCTTAAAAATTGTAGTGAGTCGTTTATAAATATATAAATAGGTATGCACTTTTTCATTTCTAGGATACAATTCTTGAGTCTTGTGACGTTTTCAACGTTCTTCTTCTTGTCCATAGCATAGTCGGTTTCAAATGTATCAATTTTACGTGTCAGTTTCATCAACTTTTCAACTTTCACTCTATAATCATTTTCCAATGCATTACAATCCGCAAAAGATTCTTCATTTGTCATTTCTTTTTCAGCCAAAACTTTTCGGAGATGTTCTTGTCTCATTTTATGGCTTTCTAGGGTTTTTGCTTGCAACTCAATTTGTTCCTTTTGAGACTTTGTTTTTTCAATCAGTTTATTCTCCCCAGAGGAGTTGAGAACTTTACTTTCTAACCACTTGATCTGTGCAGTGAGGTTGTTGCACTCATATTTTGCTGATTTCAGCTTATCAGTTGCTTTCTGCAATTGGGTTGATAGTTTTTCGTGATCCTCTTTCACCATTTGTGTGTCCTTCTGCAAACTTTCAGTCTTTTCCTTCAACTTGACCAGTATTGCTTCAATGTCTCCGTCGAACACAATTCCCAAAGGTTCCAACATTTCCCGTAGCTCATTTATTGTACTCGTGTCCATCAATCCTTTCTGCTGCTTATAATAACCATTACTGGTAGTACTTTTGGGTTTTGGTTTACTACTTCGAGTTGTCTCTTTCTCCAAGTTGTCGTCAAAATCTTCAGCAGTAGTTGGTTTGGTCGCCGAGGTCTTTCTAGCCATCTTGTCCTGCACCATGCTTCGCAGGCGGTTAATTTCCTCTTGATATGTTCTGAGCATGGCATCTTTAGGGTTCTCATTGATTCTCGGTTTGTTTTCAATGTTCTTCGCCCTGCTGGCATACCTCAAGGTATTTATGGTCTCCTCATAATTGTATCCCGCAGGACCCACTGTAATATATAATAATAGTATTTAGCATTGTCTCGCAGACCAGAACTGTTGCTAACAAATATAGATATTACCTGTGGCGACCATTACGGTTCTAGAGTTTCCTCCGATCCCATCTTGAAGAATGCGTGTCAATTTGGAGTCTCGGTATGGGATGAAGGCCGCCCCATCCACGAGTGCGGAAATGACATTGCCGAGAGTGGACAAGGACAAGTTTATTTTCCCAGCTTCCTTGAGCCTCATACCCTCTGCCCCAGTTTTGGAGACTCTCTCAGATCCGGCGAGGTCAACCAGATTCAATTTCCCGACTTTGATGTGCTCACCATCAATATCGGTCTGGTCGGACGTCTCAATCGTAACTTGGAAGATGGCATGACTTCTGGAACTGTGTTCATTCATGTTTGTCGCACCTACAACTCGACTCAATTTCCCTTTTGCCAACAGGTCCACGATTTCTTGGAAACTGGAGCATAGATAAGAAGAGAGACCTAATAAATTAATTTAATGTAATGCATGTGTTAAGGAAAAGAAAGAAATAATTATTTAAGTTACCTTTGATGTGAACTCCTCCATTCGGATTTTCATGGATGACACACTTTTTAAAATTGTCACAGTCCAACAGGTCTCGAATTTCCTCTTGATAAATTTCAAAGTATGAAACTCCAATCAAATATCGTTTCTCTCGGTTTAATGAGACTTGATCAAATATTTGCTTAAAAGCATTTGGCATGACGCCATAGTTAGCTTCCGATTCCAATGATCCCTCCATTGTAAATGTTTTCCCTGTGCCAGTTTGCCTTAAATTTTTAGTAATATGTACAATGAACTTAATTGCACTTTTTATTTATCTCCGTGTACCAATATTCATATGAATGGTATCAGGTATCATATATAACAAACCCGTAAGAAAATATGGTCCCATTGAATCCTTCAACCACTGAATTGACCAAGCTTTGAAATACTCTGTCGTACATCTGCCTCTGCGTCAGACTGGAAAATTAAATTGATTTACACTCTCGTTATAAAGAATATTCAACTTAGAAAAACTTGTCACGTGTATTAAATAATACAACCAAAATAAACATCTTACGAATTGTCAATCACGGCATCGAAAGTGAATGGCTTGATTTCTGAAGAGGAATGCATAGGATTAGCTTTTGTGTTTTCATTTCTTCGTTTGGTCACCAGTACTTCGTTACGTTCAATGTCCGTTTCAATAATTCTGAATTGTCAATTACGGGACCAGAATATTATGCAATTTTATAAAGAACTTCGATGTACCAGCATCAATAATTTGATTATTTTTACGCTATTTCACTATTTGCTTTCTCCAAGGCGTTCAAGGGCCGCACTCTTGCTACTACTTTCACAAGTTCATTCGAATCTGACTTGTACGTTGAAAAACTCATGCTAGACAAACTGTATTACAATGCAGGGATAATAACGTCAGTGCCAAAATACAATACAATTTTGTAATGAATTTGAGTTTAGAAGTGGCTATTTTTTTTATTAAACATAAATACTTTAAATACGGTTTGTATCATGGTAACGCGACAAATGCATAATAAAATTGTACAATATCAGTAAAGACGAGAATATACACATGATAAGTAATCCGAAAGCGTTAAATTATTTGTTAGTTTTCATACGAATGGTCTCAATATAAATTTAGTCTGCGTTATAAATATAGCATAATATACATTCTTACAAATTATTTATACTCCATGATTTCACATAATTTTCCTATCATGGAGATGGAGTAGCATATTCAATTGGCGACAAATATTAAACGTCCTTTATCGTTCATATTGTTAAACGTTCATAAAGCCCTTGTCAGGGTTTACTGTATTTATCAAATTTATCAAAGAATAAGTCTTCATTGTGTGTAACCCCCTTCAAATAGACTGACGCTCAGGGCAAAAAAATGTCAAACATGATTTAAATTTAAATTTATATGAAACTTAAAAAAACCGAACCAAGTGCTTTATTTTTCAACATTAACATTTTGAATTTCTATTGTTAGATATTTTACAAATCAACTAATATCATCATGCCAATTTTTTAAACCCAGTTTGAGTCACTAACCCCCAAACAATGATCTGTACCAACCCTACTCACCTCATATGAGTCATGACCCCCCAATTTTGAGCTTTTAAACATATTGCTATATATATATAACTAACTATTAAATTATATTTCTTAATTTTGGGAATCCTCCTCCGTCGTATCGATAATTCCAGACGATATGTCTTGTAATTGACGATGGTCTACCATAATTTGACATATTTCAGTATCACCACTACTAGTTGCATTATTCTCATAAATTATAGTGTGTGTGTCTGCGTCCGTTATGGAGACAATTTGATCCGGTTGCAATCCGTCCGATCGGTGAAATAAGCCTGCAGCTTTCAGGACGGCTTCAATATTAATGACTGCGCCAGGATTTTGTTCCGTTCCAGAAGTTTCGATTTTTCCAAATGCCGAATTGAATTCTGCATCGGGATAAACATCTCCTGTAATCAGCTCTGGCTCGTCTACAATGTTATATCGTTCAGAATGGGCAAGATGAATATGTTCACACATTATGTTTGAGATTGTATTTTCTGTACATGTGCAAGCGTACATGTGTTGACAAACTTTACAATGTCTGCAAATCAGCTTGCAATCACATGGACTGTTGATGTACGATACAGTAAATTTTGAATTTTCTCCAACGGAAACAATCCACGTATCCTCTACACCGGGTTCGATAATCACTGAAGCATTTGGCAATTTACGAGATTTTGTATGATATTCTGTAATTTTGTCAAGATATCGGCTGAATTTTTGATCTCCTTTAAACATTCGTTTTGACCTCAGAAAGCATTTGTCATATCCAATTTTCAATATCTGCTCAAAATTTTCGTCCATATTCTTTGTTCCCTTGAAATGAATAAATTTTCTCAGTTTGTTGAAAGCATTCGATGCTCCCATTAGATTAACGTCAACACCAATGCGGTAATGCAATGTCCATTCTTGAGTTCTGGATAGCCATTCTTTTTCCAATCTCTCCATGAACAGACCAGAATGAGGAAGTTTATCTAACAGAGGCTCAAACTTGTCATCTAAATGACTAATGTCTAAATGGTCGACGCGTTTTTCAATAATTAAGGATTCCACTAGTTCCCAAACCTCACGTCTCCCTCTGTCAGTGCTAAATTCATTCCACACCAGGGCTTTCAGGTCACGTCGGACTTCAACGTCACTTAAAACATTACGGGGTGTGTCAGTGAAAATTGTGCACCAAGTTTTATAAGCCTCTGAAAATCTTGGTGCCATTATGTATTTAGTTGCAAGGTCTCCACATTCTCGTTTCAGTGATCTAAAGAAGCTTGATAATACGCGAGAATCCAAGGAATTCGTCAGCAGCCAGGCAATAGGTATTGGTTCATGAAACTCGTCCAAAACCATCAAAAACGCTAATTTGAGGTGTCGATGGGAGGCTTTTGTGGCTGCGATCGTGTCATACCCGAGGATACTTGGAAACATTTGTAACAATTGTCTCTGCACTGGAGTTTGTAAAACTACACAAAAGTCATTTCTGCGAAGTTCCCGTTTTACTTCTCCATATTTTGACGAGCGACCTAGTGGTTTGTATAGCAGAACTGTGGGGCCAGAATCTCCATGGTCCAATAGTTTTTCAATTGCTTGTTCCAAAACCTCACTAATAATCATCGGAGGTAAGGGAGCTATAGGCTCTTCAACATCTGACGACGATTCAGCCGACTCAATTTTGATATTCTTTTTTAAATTTATTTTAGTAATGCTGCGTTTGGTAGTCTTTGCTGGCAACGCTGGTTTCGCCACTGCGGCTTCTCCATGTCCATCATTACCTTTATCATGTTCGGACGAATTTCGATTACGTTTAGTTTTTTCGTGTTTGTATACTTGTACTTTCCTATTTGGCCTCAATCCATATGAACCTAGGAATAAGAAATATTATATTTGTGACAGCTAAATGAGATAATAATTCCTATTACAAATTCAAATAGTTATTACCCTGGGATTTAGGAGTATCAGGGGTGGCAACAGATGTCGATGGCTGTTGGGAAAGAGGTTTCATCTTGTTTGACCGCATAGATCGAGTTTCTTTTACAGTATTAACTTGAAACTTTTCTTTGATTTCAACAGGGACCAAGACAGGTGGTCCATCATCATCATCATCATCGTTGTTATCATCATCTACTGTACCAGACATTCTTGGCTTAGTTTTTGACAATGGTGACATTTTTGTCTTAATGTTAAGCTTTGGTTTCTTTTCCATTTCATTCATATCAATTTCACTCTCGGACTCGTCATCACGTTTTTCAACAAATTCGTCATTATCAATCGATTCGTCTCGGTCATCATCATTCTTATTTGTTGTTTTTTTCTTTATCATCGATGGGGTGTCAACGGTGTCGGACAGCTCATCAATATCTTTTTGAACTTGTCTGGATCGTCGGCTTGGGTGCTTCCAAGTGTCATATATATTTCTTACAGCTCTGCGATCAACGAGGCGCAAACCTTCTAGACGATCTGGGTTATGGTGAATGTATGCCAACACTTCGGTAAACGAAAGTCCTACAAAATAAACGGTATTTTGTAAATAAGACATTTTATATTTTTTTCGACTACTAAACATTGTTAATCATTACCTGCTTTAAATTTTGTTAGAATGACCTTTCGCAAAGTAGGAGTGACCTGTGAAATATTTCATAGAGAAGATTCTGTAAGCAGATTTGCCTGGGAAGGATTTTGTTGTTTTATAAATCAATCTTACTCTCAAATGTGGTATGGCATCACTATCCAGCGGATGACCATAGTGTGAGTGACAAATTTCCATCTTTACGATTCCAGTTTCTATATTCTTCATGAGCTTAATACCCGCAGTGCAATATCCCCCCATTTTACAACTTCCTTGAGGTTTTAATTTTCTTTTTCTTGGTGTCTCACTGCTCATTGTTGGCTTATAATGTCCAGATCGGTGACAGACTAAATAAGTAACGGCCTGATCTCTCGCAACCTTTTTAGTGCCTCCACGGTATATAAAACTAACCATGCGTTCTCTCTCATACGTCTCGCGCCAAGTTTTAAAATCTGAGAAATTTAAAATATTTCGTCATTAATTTTTCACATCTAAAAAGACATTATTCAATCCTGTAGGACGAGAATATTATAACAATAATTAAAACCTTTGTCGCTGGAGAACTGAACTACTTCTTCATCAAAGTGAAACCCGTGGCTGATGGTCAAATGTTTACGTAATTCTGCTACGTTGTAACATGTCATAAAGCAACCCTTTTCCATACACTTAAGTTCTGTCTGTCCTTTCTTTTTTAAAGGTTGTCCATCCGGTCCGATCATAACTTGTAGCGGTTTTCTGGATTTCTTTTTAGATTTTACAGAGCGTGTGTCAGTCAAGAAGAAACTGGTTGACGTTGTGGAAGAGTCATATACAGAATCATCGTGATAGTATATTGTTCCGTCTTCCATCTGTAAGGGCATACCATTTTCAACCGGAATCAAGTTCCCGTGTTCATCCTCAACCAACTGTTGAAACTAAAAAATAAAAGACCAAATTAGTATTACTGACAATACATCAATACAAATAATGCATGCAGTGTAGAATAAATAATAAATAAAAACCTGATGTTGGTCGTCACCGTCTTGGCAAATTATTATGGTTTGTCCATGTTGTTGAAAATTAGACTCTTGTTGATCATCTTCATTTCGGGTCCCTTCCATGGAGGATAAGTTAACAAAATCAAGGCCACTGTTTGACTCTTTTGGCATACGTTCAACAATATTATACTCGCCGGAATCATTCGCTTGAAGGACAACTACTTCATCAGTAGGTTGGCCATGCTCATCCAAAAGAACTGCATGCTGAAGGTTGTTTTGATTTGACGAATTGGAGGACATTGTGGTTTTAACCTGAATAGAAGACCGTGATGACGAAGTCCTCGATGCTCCAGAAGACGAAGACGGTTTTCCTTTGTTATTGCCGGTGGAGGAATAAGAAACTGTTTTCCCTATATCTGCAGAACAAATTATTGCTAATTAAGATTTTACACTGCATATGTAGAAATGTATAATAAATGCATGTACTTTCATACAATTAACTTGTTCTGCAGTCTGTAGCCGCCTAGAATTTCTCAACAATGCTGGAGCGCTTTTCCCACGAAGCAAGCTTTGTAAATTCATTGAGGTTGTCGTCGGATGTTTAAGGGGTTTCCTGCCTTGGGAGGATGCTGACAATGTCGTGTTTCTAGATGAAATTGGAGCTTCGATTGTGACCACTTCTACCTCTTGGCTGATACCTGAATCACCCAAGTCGATGACTTGGACGTGTCGTCCTTCAGAGTTCATTACAAATTCAGTTCCATCTGCAATTTCAAAAGTGATTTCACCTCCATCCAGGTCACCAACATCCATTGCTGACATTATGAGTCTGTAAAATAAGAAAATTAAAAGATTAAATTCCGGTTCATTGCATGGAACATTTAATGTTCCAATTTTGTTTTTACACATATATTTATTATTCTATTGTCATGCATGGCTCTAAACTCTAATGCTTACTCTAACAATCTCAGCCAACGATGGAGCAATGAGTTTCGGTATATCCATAATAATCGAATAATCAAGATGAAAAAACTAGTTAGCTTCCTTGATTATAGAGCAAACACAAGAATACTTCTTATCATGTCAAATTACAATAGATTACACTTGTTAGCCTCTTTCATGACGCATTTCATACAATAAAATTATACCAGCAAACTCAAAAGAAAAGACATTGGCGAACATATTCACAAGTGCAGACTGCAGACGAACAAAATTAACTTTTTTTCGACAAACCGCTTATTGAGATAACCTCTTACCTCAGAAATTGTGTTGTGTGGGTGTTGAGCGAGCCACGGGGGGTGTCTTCTTGCGAGGGGAGCCCTGTGAGTGTGGGAGTGGTTTTTTTGTCGTGGTCGGTGGGATGCAAAATTTCATGAAATTGGGAAATTTTTGTTGTGAACCTAAAGTTTGAACTGGACCGCAGCGTTTAGCGTCTGTGAATCCCCCGCCCCGCTCAAGCTTCAAATCAGCAGCTCACTCCGCTCTAAACAACTCGACTCCTGATAAATAAAAAACCATAAAATAACAAACCATAAATTTGACAATAGTTAATAATTTGGTGGAAATAGCACAATTATTTTGATTTAATTTAACTGTGACCAAGAAAAGTGGACAGTTGGAAAACTTTGGTATAGCTTTATTTTGACAAACGTGTTTGGAATTTGCAACTGCAAGTGTTACTTTATATATTATATGCAATGTTTTCAAAAATCCGTAATTGTTTAAGTAAATCTCGATTTACTTGAATCATATATATTATTATCTGCTTAAACCGATTTTTGGAGCAGTGTTGACTAACCCGGCGTGGTTGTCACTTAACGGCTTTCAAAATTGAGCCCCGTTCATCTTTTGGGATGGCGTCGCAAACGTCGAAAAGAAAGGAAATATATAAATATGAAGCCCCCTGGCCGGTACGTGCGTTATGAATTATCGAATTATTTAACACGTTGCATCCTAACCAAACCAAAAGAGCTTGAATAATCGCTTATATCGCTTATCGAGACGCGTATATATTTAGATAGAAATTCAATTTATTATTTAAATCGTTAATTTCATAAATTCAATTACTGCTCAGAAAACCATTTGACCACAATCTGTTGTATGTTGTTTTGTCCAGTGGACACAATTTTCCACAATTTTCTTCTGTGTTTGAACTTTGACCACAGTTGACAGTTCTCTCCAATAATTTCCAGAAGATGTTAAGTGTTCCATTAAAAAGTGTATTTAACGATGTCCTCGTCCCAGGCATCATTATCGTAGTGCTTATACTTTTTAGCAGCAGATCGAAACCTATGCATATATATATTTAATATATTATTTTTTTGTAGCTTTATGCCATGAATTGGTCGGTTCGTCCAGACAAGCGATTTCGACTTGCTCTCGGTTCCTTTGTGGAGGAGTACAACAACAAAGTGCAAATCGTTTCTTTGGACGAGGATAGTGCAGAATTTGCTCCCAAAGCCACTCTTGACCATCCATATCCTGCCACAAGGTTCGTGTCAAGTCATTATGTTTTCTAAATTGTATTTTTTGTCTGACACATATGCTACTCCCACTAGGATCATATGGATTCCTGATAACAAGGGGATATATCCCGACTTATTGGCGACTTCTGGAGATTATCTGCGAGTCTGGAGGGCTGGAGATACTGAAATCAAGTTGGAATGCCTGCTCAACAATAACAAGAACTCAGATTTTTGTGCACCCCTGACTTCTTTTGACTGGAATGAAGTTGATCCCAATCTAATTGGAACGTCGAGTATCGGTGAGCATACGAAATTATTCGTACCTTATATGCTTCACGTCTTAAAAATTAACAAATGTAATTAAATTATCTTGTTCTAATTTCCAAGATACGACGTGTACCATTTGGGGCCTGGAAACTAGACAGGTGAGTACGTTGTTTCTCTGATTAGTTCGATCCATGTAGTGAGGACTTACAGGTGCGCAGTATTTGGTTATAAAATTATAAACTGGAGTGATTACATATTCGTTTTTGCGTAAACTAAGTAAAATAACATATCAAACAATTTTGTTGCAAATATTTCACGACGAGCAAAATTGGTTCAACTTTGTTTAAATTTTCAGGCTGTGGGTCGAACAGCAGTTAATGGACACGTCAAAACACAGCTAATCGCTCATGATAAGGTATTATTTATAACAATCATTACCAAGGTCATGAAAACCTCATTTACCCAAATGAAATACTCTGCAGTAGTAAGAGTGATTTATTTGAATGTTGGCTTGGTTTATTTGTAGGAAGTGTATGATATTGCATTCAGTCGAGCAGGTGAGGGTTTTTATTTTAGTTCTCAAATGAGAGACAATGCATAAAGTATATAAATAACATCACTTTGCAGGTGGAGGAAGAGATATGTTTGCATCTGTTGGAGCGGACGGATCTGTTAGAATGTTCGATCTTAGACACTTGGAACACTCGACCATAATTTATGAAGACAGGTTGATAATTAATCTCACTTAATCAACGGCTTGATGCAAACAATCTTGATAATGCGCAATAATCTCTTCTAGTACACACACCCCATTATTGAGACTTGCTTGGAATAAACAGGACCCCAATTTCCTCGCTACCATTGCAATGGATGCTTGTGAAGTCGTTATCCTTGATGTTAGAGTTCCCTGTACGCCTGTTGCAAGGCTAAACAATCACAGAAGGTATGGATTTTAAATTATAACCTGGAGTATTACCTAGTCGTAAATATATTGGACACAAATAAATGTTTAACTATACCACACACTATCAACTTTTTCAGGAATGATAATTTTATTTTTATTTTGGTCTTTGATGAGCTCCTGATCCTTAAAGAACTTTATGCGGTAGCACATATTAAAATTACTAAGAAAATTTGAAATTCATATAGTTCTGCCAACGGACTTGCGTGGGCTCCTCACTCGGCTTGCCATATTTGCACCGCAGGAGATGATCATCAAGCTTTAATTTGGGACATTGCAGGTACTTACTTTTTTGTGGAAATCCTCGTCTAATATTTTTAAAATTATTATTTTACATGTATATTAATTAATTAAACGATTCTAGGAATGCCGCGTGCCATAGAAGACCCTATTTTGGCATATACTGCAGCAGAAGGAGAAATTAACCAAATTCAGTGGGGAGCGACTCAACCAGATTGGATTGCAATTTGTTACAATAAGAACTTGGAAATTTTGAGAGTTTAGAAACAATACCTGGGGTATCGACTGAATTTCTAGATGCGATGAAACAAATTTTTTATTGGTTTAATTTTTGGGAGCCACCAAGTCATTTGACTTTACAAAATGGTTTTAAGTTAATATATTTAAAAAAATTCATTGCTCTGTTACTTTTTGTCTCATTTTAGAATTTTTTCTGTCTGAAGTTGTGTTAATTGTGTAATGTACATAATGATGCTGCACTTGGCAAATTTCTTGTACCCTAAAACTAACTAGTGATATAAGGAAAATGTTTGTTGGTGTTGGTACTAGTCATTAGAATAATTTTGTACTCGCTTTTGAAGCGATCTGATGTTATAATTACGACTTGTGTTGTTGCTCATTTTGACGCGTTTGTATTTCAACAACATTTTGAAAAATAAAAGTGTCTAAATTTTAACCCGAGTACCCAATTCACCGCATGAAATGTTGTCAGTAATAGTAGGTGACGCGAGAGGAAATAATTTGAATCATGCCAGATAATAGTTCAGAATCGATATTGTAATTACAATATTGCACGGTATATAGCACAATATACGTAATATAAAAATAAAATATTAAATTTCAGCGAATTAGCGTGTGATTGAAACATTAGGCTCCTGTATGAAGTGCGGGGTATGTAATCCTTTAACACCAATTCACACCATGTGAATGTAACAACGAGTAAGTGAAAGTAAGTGAAAGTTTGTAAATCTGGGTTTGTGCCATAGAAATCCTTTGTTCACCAAACTTATTATTGCATTGGACTTGGACAACATTCTGAAAAATATTCCAAAAACTCAGGATGACTTAAGATTAAGATTAGTGTAAGAAAAAATGGCAGAAGAAATCCTTGAGGATTCGGCTGATGTATCTCTAGTTTATGAACCTGGGTACGTACGTGATATAAATCCAATACCGTGCACTGTAAATAAATAATTGAAAAAAGAAATCCAATATAAATTACTTTACTGATAGACAAAATATTTTGATGCAGATGGATGCGACGTGTCTGGAACAGGGTCTGGTTTAGAACGTCGTCCGCTAGACTACAAAATGCTGAAACGAGTCTTCTTCAACGTACTTGCATATTAATTCCATGCATATATTTCAAAATGCTATTTACAATTTATTAAAATTAGGAACAAATTATTTTGTCAACTATTTATTCCAGACGTTGGAGCTTCTTATAATGCAAAATATGTCAAAATCGGTCCAATTTTATCCGACAATGACATTTACGTATGGACTTTTAGTAGCAATGAGAACTTGGAAGGTCATCCATTAGTCTTCCTTCATGGGCTTGGATCTGGGTTGGGATTATGGACGCTAAATTTTAAAGGAATGATAGAATCGCAAACGAGACCCGTGTACGCCATCGACATGCCCGGTATACATACTCTCGGTAATTTTGTGCGATACTTTTATTGTTTTATGTCATTTTTTGGTAAACAGGATTCGGACGAAGCTCAAGACCAGATTATAGCTGCATTCCTGAAGAGGCTGAAAACCAACTCGTTCAAGTAATCGAAGCCTGGCGAGCCAAGATGAACCTGGAAAAAATTATACTGCTGGGTCACAGTTTCGGAGGTATTTGTCTTTCGCGTATGGATGTCGACATCCTGAGAGGTTAAACCTGATTGTCTTGTTTTATGTGCTCTGCTTGTTATTACTTTGAAGGCCTTGCAAAATCTAAGATCAGTAATTATTTTCTATAGAATAGTTCATATTATTTTGGCTGATCCATGGGTAAGCCAGAAGTACAGAAGGTTAATAATTAAAGTGTTGTGTGACACAAGAATATTCTAAACACTTCTTCTAGGGATTTAAACGGCCTCCAACTAGGTTGCTGGATGCAAAACACAGTCCATTTAAAAATCGTTATATCGCCAATGCTTTGCATGCTTTGCCCATAAATCCATTGTGGTCACTTAGGGTTGCAGGACCATTAGGTGAGTACTTTAACTTTCAGCTATAACAGTCAATTTGATTTATTTATTGTCAATTAAATTGACATTGTTGGTTCGCCAGGACCTCGAGTCTTGAAAATGATAAGGGCTGATATCATAAAAAACTTTTCGACCCAAATTGACGATGCAGAGACGAAGATTTCGAATTACGTATATCATAGTAACGTGCAAAACTCAACGTAAGAACTTCAGTAATAACTTGAGTGAAGAGTGAACTGTACTGACTGTACTCAACTCGATTGAATGCATCAAAGTCATTTTTGTACTGTTTAAATTATATTGATCATTTTCAGGGGCGAATCCGCATTTTATACTTTAATGAATATGTTTGGGTGGGCCAAGAACCCAATGGAGATGAGGCTGGAGACTCTTGACGATAAAATCCCGTTGACATTAATTTATGGAAGTAAATCATGGGTGGATCACTATCCGGCAGAGGAAATCGTGAATCGAAGACCAGGTTCTTACGTCAATTTTCATGTAATATCATAATTAATTAGACAAGAAAAGAAACTATTTACAACAAAATATTATTGGCTGAATATTTATTTATATTGAAATGTGTGCAGGTGTTGGACGCTGGTCATCACGTTTACGCCGACAAGTTCGAAAGTTTTAACCAAATCGTGATAGACGCTTGTCAAGTGGGCGTAGGTGATGCGGGACAACGTCAACAGGAGAGCTGAAACTTCGCCTTTCATTGGTTGGAGAAAACCTCGTTTAAGCGAAAAATTAATAATTCATGAAAATCGACATTGTAAAGAAAGAACGACTAAATAAAATTTGTTAGTATATTAATATCACATTTATTTTGGAACTTACTATGCATTTATGAGGAGAGGTGGCACAAAATAATTAAGCATTACCTGTATTTAATGCTGCCATCATCAAGGACTAATATTCTATTATTGACTCCGCACAATATTTATTAGGACTACTCGATACGGACAATTACTTAGCAAATCTGGGCACGCAGTCAAGCAAAACGAAAAACGTTGCCATGAAAGTCAGTTATCCCGATAAACGTAAGCGTTATCGTCCAAGATTGCTTGACAATTTATCATAATACAAGGTTACGATAGTTGCTTCGATAGCCTCAAAAACCTCTGAAATTGCCAATTTCACATTTACAACTGCACTGATTTTTATTAACATAAACATTGATAAACTATTTAGTTGGCTTGGGGAGTAGACTGCACTGATTCTTGTATCAATGGTTAAAAAATTAATTCGTGGGAACGAAATGTGAGTGCACACTGGTTCCAAAAGGTACCAGGGTTTTCGAAAATTGAAGTTTTTTCATCGTCGAAGTAAGCATCGTGAAGACTGTGAAGAGACGAAGTTGCAGTTGGCATCTGGCATGTAGATTATTACAAAAATTATCACATAGTGGCAGTAGTGATGGGTTCCCAAACGTTTCACTCTCTGATTGACAAGAGTTACATGAATTTATGTCAACTTTTAATTTATTCATAAATTGCTACCAAACCCAGCCTTATATTTGCAGCTTTATAGTTTTACGTGTTATTTTAACATAATTAATTGGCCCTGTGTCCCTTCCCATGATGTCGCAATCAAAAAACTGACCTCAGATTCGAAATCAGCGACCAAAAAACTATAAGAATCGATATTTTCCCACCCCCAACAACGTTGATATAATTAATTGAATTATTTGTAACAATTGTAAACACGGAACATGTGGACCTGTAGATATTGGCATATCAGCCATAAGCCACCCCTCCTTTTGAAAACCTCCACTGACCTTTTTGAACGTTTTAATGCACAAAATGCAAGATCATACTGCCCTACAACTAAAAAATAGGCTGATTTGACCAGTTTCAAGTCAGGTCATTGAAACTTTTCGTTGCAAAAGTGACCACAGTTTGTGGTTAGGGGGGCAAAGTTGCCTAGTACAAGTTCCGTTCCGTAATTTTTTTAGTCTGCGGGAGGCGCTCGTGGGGGGCTCGTGTCCCTGGGTGAGCTCCCCATTGCAGCTGCGCCCCTGAACCGCCCTGCCTCTCTGGGGAGTCGGGTCCACCCGTGGTTTGTCCCACAGCCCCGACTCTCTTCCCGTTGGAGGGGTGGTCCGGGGGAGCAACGCTGCAAGGGGAGAGCCTTACGGGAAGGTCCCCCCTCCAATGCTCCTCCCACCAAGCAGGCTCACCGGGTGGGGAGCCGGCGGGGCTTGCCAAAAGTGCGGGTGGCGCTTGGCAAGTGAGAGGGGCTCTCTACCTCCAACCCTTGGGTGACGCCGCTCTTTAGCGATACCTCCCCTTGGGGCCGGCCGGGTTCCCGGGTTCGAAACCTTAATGGCGGGTCGATTTACGGGGACCTCCCACCTCGTAAGACGAGACCCTCCGGGGGAACGCGGTCGCGGAGGCGGTGACGTGGATAGGGCTTTCCCGGCCGGTGGAGGTAGACCCCCGCGGACGCATTCAGGCGTCCGCGGGGGCCGACCCGCGTGGAGCACAAGGGAGCGACGTCCTCGTCGTGTGCTCTGGAAACGCCCTTCTCAGGGCGGCCAACAGCTCCCCCCCTTATAAATGCATGGCATGGCGACAACCTTTGTCGCCATGCCATAATTTCGCCATTTCTCGTCCGATTTGCATGAAATTTCGACAGAGACTTCTTATTGGTATTGTCGACATGTCGCAATGCTCCACCTACCGCCACCACCTTGTTTTCGCCAGATTTCGTCGCCATGCCATAATTTCGCCATTTCTCGTCCGAATCCCATCTAATTTCGACAGAGACTTCTTATAGGTGTAGTCGACATGTCGCAATGCTCCACCTACCGCCACCACCTTGTTTTCGCCAGATTTCGTCGCCATGCCATAATTTCGCCATTTCTCGTCCGAATCCCATCTAATTTCGACAGAGACTTCTTATAGGTGTAGTCGACATGTCGCAATGCTCCACCTACCGCCACCACCTTGTTTTCGCCAGATTTCGTCGCCATGCCATAATTTCGCCATTTCTCGTCCGAATCCCATCTAATTTCGACAGAGACTTCTTATAGGTGTAGTCGACATGTCGCAAGGTCCCACCCGTCACCACCACCTTGTTTTCGACAAATTTCGTCGCCACGCCATAATTTCGCCATTTCTCGGCCGATTTGCATGAAATTGAGCACAATGCTTCTTATTGGTCTTGTCAACATGTCGCAAGGTCCCACGTGTCGCCACCACCTTGTTTTCGCCAAATATCGTCGCCATGCCATAATTTCGCCATTTCTCGTCCGATATACATGAAATTTGGCAAAACACTTCTTTTTGGTGTTATCAACATGTCGCAAGGTCCCACCCGTTGCCACCACCTTGTTTTCGACAAATTTCGTCGCCACGCCATAATTTCGCCATTTCTCGGCCGATTTGCATGAAATTGAGCACAATGCTTCTTATTGGTCTTATCGACATGTCGCAAGGTCCCACGTGTCGCCACCACCTTGTTTTCGCCAAATATCGTCGCCATGCCATAATTTCGCCATTTCTCGTCCGATATACATGAAATTTGGCAAAACACTTCTTTTTGGTGTTATCAACATGTCGCAAGGTCCCACCCGTTGCCACCACCTTGTTTTCGACAAATTTCGTCGCCACGCCATAATTTCGCCATTTCTCGGCCGATTTGCATGAAATTGAGCACAATGCTTCTTATTGGTCTTATCGACATGTCGCAAGGTCCCACCCGTCGCCACCCCCTTGTTTTCGCCAAATTTCGTCGCCATGCCATAATTTCGCCATTCCTCGTCCGATTTGCATGAAATTTGGCACAATGCTTCTTATTGGTGTTGTTGACATGTCACAAGGTCCCATTCATGATCATACCCATCCTCAAATTTGACAGGTACAGGAAGTCTATCCTTCAGACAAGCAACGTCAACCGGTGCACAACCGGCAATGTTGTGCAGATAAAGATCCATTGCCTCCTTAATCTGCCTTTGAATCACCACGGAAGTCTGATCCACCACGATGATTGAAAAATTGTCTGGGCTGTGCATATTGAGCAATTTGTACTAGTACTTCTTATTGATCATCAATGGACGATCCGGATAGCACCAAATCATCAAGCAACATTTCAGTAATCAGTCGTCGTTCCTAAACCAAGAAAAAAAGAAATGGTGATGTTTAACTCCAGTTACAAACTGAAGAATTATTTTTTAGCATTATGATAAAGTGTTAAAGTTAAATTATCAAAGACAACTTGACCTTTTGACCCACCTACCGCGTATTATTTTCTTCCTTCCCTAACAAATCAAGTTTTATGTTCCTTCAATTTTTTGTCGACAGGCTTGTAAAAACCCTTCGATAATCATTTTTTTAATTAGAAAAGGTAGTTTTCTTATTTTCTTCCAGCAGTCTTTCAGTGAGGAGAAAAGACATTTTGGTCTTTTCTCCTCACTAACTTGGAGTGCAAGATTGCTTGACAATTTATCATAATACATCCATGATTAAAAGATTAATTCGAGAATTGAGAGCACGAAATGTGAGTGTTGACAATTTGTGTGCGGTTTGTTTCTGGGAGACAGTTTGTGCGACACACACTGGTTCCAAAAGGTACCAGGGTTTTCGAAAATTGAAGTTTTTTAGGCATCGAAGCAATTGTCGTAACCTTGTAATTATTACTAAAGTTGTCAAGCAAGATTATTTGACACTTTATCAATCTATAAGGTTACGACAAATGGCCGAGTTACAAAATAAATTTTCATTTTTAGAAAACTAAAATTTTTTGAAAATATGTCATTGGTTACAATGGGAAATTTGGAAATGTGATTTTTAGTCAAAGTGCTTATGAAACCGTCATGTCCGTCTGTCTGTCCGTCCGATCATTTTACGATAACTTTCCTTAAACTCGTCCTAGCGACTTTAAATTTGGTATACATGTAGTATGTGACAAATGAGGAGTTAAGTTTGAAGATGGGCGAAATCGATTAAGTGGTTGACCGGTGGTGGTCATCTGGGTGGGTGGAGTATTTCAAAATCCTCGTTGAAAGTTGTAATTTGGCATCGAGATTGCTAATGGTGTCTAATTGAAGAATATGAATTTAAATTGGGAAAATTTTCGACTGGAGGGACCCGATACCATACCGATTTTTGGAAATTATCCAATCGAGCTGAAATTAGTGCAGAGATTGCTAATGGCCCCTGATGAAAGAATATGCGAATTGAAATTGGTAACATTTTTATGTGGAGACACCTTTAAGGGGGTGACTCACATCGATTTTTAAAAATTGTATTAAAAAGATGAAATTCGCTCCTGACACTCGTAGAAGACTGAAATTTGGCATGACCCCGTGGGGGTAGACTAGATTCAAAAATATGAAGTAAATATTAAGATTTTTCCACAGAGATTTAACAAGGTGACACACTGCTTTTTATATTGGTAGAATAAAAATGATGCACATCGGACTAAAGAACATGAATAATATTCATATTCATTGAATATGAATATTTTTGTGGGCCCAGCCCAGAAGACTGAGACCCGTAATGGTTTTAAAATTGGTCAAGGAGCTGAAATTTTGCATGCTGGATTATGGGAACATTTTTGCCGATTACGAATAGTAGTTGGTGCAGGTCGTCTGACTAAAGTTTAGAAGCTGACACTGACCCTGACTCGGGCTAAACAAACGCTGCACACTGGGATTTCAAATTTAATTTTCGAAATAGTACCCTCGAGATTTTGATCTTAAAAAATCAAGCTAAAAATTACGATGATTTCATCTTAACGAATTAAATCTCTATGTCTGCCCATTCAAAAGTTATTAAAGGTCAAAGTCGTTGGTACACAGGCCCAGGGGACGTGTACCAACGATTTAAAAAATAATTATTTTATTTGTAACTCCACCATTTGTCGCAACCGTTAAAAGACACAAGAGTTACCTAGATACTAAATGTCAAGCAATCGTGGTTGTCAAGCAACCTTGGTTATCGTCAAAAGATTGTCAAAATAGTTGGCACCAAATTAATATTACCGGCGTGCCGTGATTCATGAGAAGAATCTATAGTCGAATTTTGATAATTTGATTTGATCCTATGATGGATCGTTCTACTAATATCATGGACCAAAGCATGGCAGTTTCCAAAACCACAATTCCTGCCACATCTGCCTCCCACCTTGACGAGTACATTTACGACCCTAAGCGAACCCTGTACCGTCATTTGAGCATGGAAGGGAAGCTGGCCACCATTTTCGATGTTGAAGACTCGAGAAGTTACTACAACTGGCAACTCGTGGTAATCAATCCAACACTGCCATTTGCATACATTATGTAGAACAAAATGACAAAAACAGAGTGCATTTTTACACAAAAAAAGATGGGAAATATACGAGTTCATCGACGATGGCTTGTCCCCAACCCAAGATTTCGAGAGTTGATTGATCACGAGCTGGGAATGGAATCGTTTGAGGTGACGGGAGATTTTGATGGATCAGTTTCCATGATATGCCCTTCAGCCGAAGGAAATCGCTCCATGGCCGAAGACCTTCCTGTAATCAATTTCATTCTGAATGACATGGAATGCTACTCATCCGTAGAAATCACAGTGGTCACAATTAATACTGCATCCATTGAGGTGTGGCTTTTATACTAATGATTTACAGCGACTCACTTAATAAGTAACATTTTCTTAAAACAATTATTGTGATATTGTGACTGTCATTTTTACAGAGTGGAGAATATGAAACAAAAGTTCGGAAAATTATAGCAAGAAATTTTAGGTCTCGTACTGTAATTACGGACAACCTTTTGAAAGTGCATTTTAAGCTCAGATCTTCTTGGAACAACGTACCTGAATACATACATATAAATTTGTAATAATCTGAGACATGAAGGCATATCAAAATCTTTCACGATTACAGGCGTATTTGAACCTGGAAGAACTAGTTCGAGATGCATGGGGAGATAATTACTTGGTGACCAAGATGGTGAAAATAAATGCAAACACTCGAGTTCGACGAGTATGTTCATATTTAATATCCATATATTTACATATTCACAACGCTAGATCAAATGTATTGCCTCCATGCGCATAATGTGTACATATTTTAACGGTACTATTACTGTTGTTAGGTTTACTTCAGCGATCAAGTGTATGGCGTTGAAGATCTGCCCAAGGAATTTGTCGTAGATAATAATCCGTTCATCACGACTGCAGAATTCTTTACTCCATCACAGCAATACCCACCAGATCGTAAACCAAAGTTAAGAAGGCTGTATAAAAACTTACGCGAGATTGACCATCAAGTCCTGACACAAGCAGAGTATGCAAAAATGATGAAGTTGCAACTTGCATCACCGTCGGAGATCCTAAAAAATAATTCAGATCGCCAGCACGAGCATATTCGAGGTTTATTACTGTCGTTAACTTCCAAGGATGGTGATGCTCCAGGTTCCACAGTTAATAAGGCAATAAGGTCTGTCGGAATGACAGGAGAACAACTTCCTGTTAAAAGCACGGCAAACTCCAGCATTGATCTCCTGCCAGGAAATTTGGACGAGGTTGGAAAGGTTGACTTTTGTAAACGAGTGTGGAACGAAAATCAAGAGCCCTCCTCGTCTGGAGGTGTTGAGTGGGATTTGATTGAGAATTTTGACTTGAAGCCGCAAACATTGGCACAAATCCATCGTCAACGTCGCGGAGAAGGTTTCTATGATGTGTACAACGCTAGAATGCTAAAATCAGGGGATGACGAGTTTGAGGAATTAGATGCCATAAATGTCACTCCTCTGCACAATCAGCAAGACTTGAGTCAGAAGTTTCGAGAGCTTTTAGGAGACAGATCTCTGGAGACGTATATGAAACCAAAACCCATTATGAGAAACTCATTTGCAGACCCTGATGCGGATTTGGACTATTTCAAAGATAAAGGGCCAGACTCGTCGGATGGGGACATTTGTAAAAATGTTGGCCAAGCAGCACACAAATGTGGTGGAAATGAGGGCGGCGAAGACGACGGGTCGGACTCTGGAGAAAGTATGTGTTCGGAGGATACGTGGTTGCTTACTTGGACTTTTGACGGAATGGATGCCTGTCGAATGAAGGAGGGAGACTTATTTGATTCTGAAAATATTCCACATTCATCTTTATGCCATTCTCACAAGGCTGCGTTGCATCCTAATATAACACCTCACCGAACGTTCGAAAATGAAAATTTGAAGAGTTAAATAGCTTAACATTTGCACCATCACTTTTGTCAAAACACATTTTATTCAATAAAATCCATACACACTTTCATAAATCATTTGTTATATCACCAGCCCGTATTTTAAGAATGTCGGAAAAAGTAATACAATACTCTTACATATTTGTTTTTTGTTTTCAAAAATAATTAAATACGTGTTAATTTGGTTCGGAATTTTTTCATTGTGTGAATATTACATAATTGCATACATTCATAATACTCTGTTATAAATCCTTTTGGAAAAAATCATGAAGCATAGTGGTCAGGAACATAATTTTTCAACTTATTAATACTGATTATCGCACAACTCCAGTGCAATTTTACAAATGGATTTTTCTGATCGTGACAATGTTCACCCTTAGCTGGATTTTGGACAATAGGAATTTAGCTCCAAAGACATCGTGGGAGAAAGCGGCGAAAGGACTGCAGAGGGAATTCCAGTTCATAAGAAGGGAAAACAAATGCTAATACTGATCCAAGGAAATTCTGGTATTTACATAATCGCGTAGCACCTGGTGGCCTCACTCACTACGTCTCGATGCAACTCCTTTTAAGAGGAAATATTTTCGCCAAGGAAGTATTGGAAGGATTAAAATTAAAAGTCTAATTCTGCACATTTCATTTTCCTCTGAGGCTCAAGGTCTAACGTGGCATACTTAACGAGGACAAGCAATTAAACTCACTGTTCCTTGTGAGTGACATTGTTGTTGCTGCTGCAATGAGGAAAACTACCGGGGATCAAACCTTTGCTTTTCATGAAGCTTGTTAGCTGTTCTGGTATTTCGGCGAGGACTTCCTGGGCAAGCCTTATTTTCGCCAATCGGCCTGTGCTGCCGTAGCTGCTGCTCCACTTGGAGGCAACATCCGGGCAGATGGAAGCCATCCAGGAATAAGCGTCGCGATATGGGACAAATTGGACAATGTCTGGAACATTAAAAAAGTTGTTTGTACAGTGATTCCAGAAGTTGAAGTCTTTTATTAGCCACATTTGGTTGTAACTTTTCTATCCAATTAGAGCGCACAACCTTGTACGTGAAATTATATATGCACAGCATCGTCAAAATATCAAATTATAATTTCTCCCTCATAAACATAGAAGTTCGTATAACGTGTTCAGAAAAAAATTGAACCGGAACCATGAAGTCATCATGCATATGTATGTCGTGAGTTAGAAATTACCTCGTTCCGCATATTTCCCATTGTACGAAAGTCGAACCGTGTCTCCATCCAGTTCTTGCATTGCTGCAAAATTTGCATTTCCAACTCCCGCAATGATAATTGACAAGGGCAGCTTAGCAGCTTCGACGATAATCTGCAAAAATCAAAGATAGATAAGTCAATGTAATCCCCTACAGACTTATGGCTTCTGAGGTGCTTACTTCTTTCGTCATGCCCATGTCCGTGATAATCCCATCTGTTAAATCAAGTTTTCACACGTCACAAAATTCATTAATACAGATTACTACTCGTCCTCCAGTAATTATTATTAATCAGGTTTATAAGAGGATAGGGAATTAAGAATACATTGTGGGAGAAAAATATATGAGGAGAGAGTAGGACATGTAGTTTGGCAGATGCAATGCAACTATATATAGAAGTGTCTTCGTAGTTTAATGGTAAGGGCTCGATACCCGTCAAGGGAACTGTCAACTGTATTTTTGCAAATATCTGTCATTCTAACTGGTCCGCAACATCGTAAATTCCTACACAGGAGTTATTAAATATTAGCTGTACGTACCGGTGATGATAAGCAGAACGTGGTAATGCCTGTATTAACCAAAATGTTTTTCATTGCGTGATGTATTAAAATTTCATTTTTTAATATTTTACAATTGATCAGTCTGGTAAATAGATACGCAGTTATAATTTTCACTATGTGACTTACCTTCCATCCATTTGCTTTCTCGCCGCTGCTGCTACATCTCGGATAATTGGTGCGAAATTGCTGTGATCAATAAATTATTATTCAAATTAATAAGCCTATGTATGTACGTTTAATGTTTTATGCAAAATGAAGTCAGAAATTGTTAAAAATTTGGCTTCTTACGTAGGCCCCTGTAAAAAATATTATGAAAAATGCTTAGATCAAAAATTTGTACAATGTGAAAGCAACATATAAAATGGGAATTCTTACGTATAGCTGGACTTGTCGTATACAATTCCTGCAAACCACACAATCGCCATAATCAGTACAAACGGTATAGTTACATAATTTTCTTTCTTTGATCCATTATCATAGTCATGGCTTTGAACTGAATTGAGGGGTATTGATTGATTGACCGATTAGAGTGGACTACCAACCTGTATGCCTCAATAACGCTGTCAATCCCAGCACAATCTGGAGAGTCGGTCAGAGTCACTGGGAAATTGTGACACACGTTGCCCGACGGAGGCACCCTCGCTCCGAAGCCATAGACCGGAAATTGTTTGGCATGGTCATATTCTTGAATTATCTCTCCGACGGCCTGAATTGCCTGCTCGTAGGGGTTCAGTCGAGCTCCACAAGTTGAGAAATGGTGCAGGGAATTCGGATCACTGAAAACATTGCATTAAATCATTTGTTTAGTGTCGAGCATATTTATTAACTAGATTATGCACAAGTATTTTTTATCTGGGGGGTAGTCACCCACATCTCCCTTAATAACTGGTTAAGGTTGGAGTTTAAAAGTGGTGCAAATCTTGGGGTGAATTATGTAAGTTTGAGAATTATTAAAAATTAGGTACATACCTTGGATCACCATTGCCTGCAAGAATTTAAAAGATTAAAATCACATTGCCTTATCTCTTAAACCTTTAAACTACGGTTGAAGAAATATGGACGTTGGTTGGGGATATTATTATGTCGTATATCACCAAAATTCCATGAAAAGTGTTTGGGTCAGCAAACTCTGCCGTTACCAAAAGTACATGGTACTAGTCGTTTCCTTGAGCTTCTACTATTTATCACAAAGCGTGGCATCGTCTACTCTAAGCATCCAAAGTCTGACTTCTACGGCTTTCTCTGTCCGTCCCCGTTCTCTGAATGGGAACTTCTCCCCATAATAAATACAGTAGTGATGCGAGATGAGATGGTGGTACGGAATTCTGGGGGGCATTAGTTGGAACAATTTGCTGCATTATTTCATTTCACATTTCTTACTGGCAGTAAAGTCGATGGCGAAGCAACAGTGGATTTGTGTTCCGTTGGAAATGTAGTCCATGAAAGTGTACACGGGCGCTATCATTACTTGTATAAACCTCAGAGAACTCTCCTTTTCCTACGGGATCATAAAAATTAAAAATAAATATTTCAGAAAAATCACAAAAGCTCAGAAAAGCATGAAAATGCTGACTTGCAAAAACAGAATGACTTTCGTGGTAAGCTAGCAAGCCAGGAAATGTCGAACAATAAACAACAGTTGTTGCCGAACACGCCGCCGTACAAGCCATTCTTAAATCAATGATAAGGAAATCAGCAGAGAAATATATGAAAAGATCATATTTTTTCATCCTTGAAACATTTTTCGGCCACTGCACTAATAGTTGGAGCAACCCACGCAGCATGTGCATATGTATTTCTCTCGACTTTCTCCAACTCGTTGACTTTGCAAACGCCGTGCGTTATGAGTGAGAACAATATTAAATTCTGATGGCGGAGGAGAGAGCTTATGACTCTTCTTATGAGCCCTCGGAACTTTTGGTTCTATTTTAGTTTTTGGACCATGTCATCACATTCTCCGTTCAGCAGTAAGTAATTCCCTTCTTCTTTCCTTCGTCTTGGTGGTTTCCTCCTCCTCCAACCCCTCCTGCCTTCTGCATCTCTCAGTCAGCCGAACAAATAAAGTCCATGAGTCACAGGATCCAAGATTTGTTGATGTCCATGGTGCTGAAGCATATATTGAACTGGAGGACGCATAAATCAGTCTAATGACTACATTAATATATCTCTCTCCCCAAATACAGGTTTCTTCTGCAGACAACCCACATAACGTTGCAGTTGCTGCTGTAGAATCGAGCTTCATAAATCTTGTTCCAAAGTCTAATAAGGTCCCCTCTTCAAAAATATGTAGTCTGAATAAAATAAACGCTTTGATGTAGGACAGATTATGAGGATGAGTGAAAGTTGATAGTATTTCGTCTCATTTGTTTCGTACGAGCACAGAGTTTTTTGTACAAGTTGTAAAGTAAATGGAGAGACAGTGACGGGTAGACAACGACCAATTTTTCTTATCCTTGGCGTCACCACACTGCGTTAGGCCTGGCACAAAAAGAACGCTGTGGTGGGAGCAAGAGAAAGCGAGAGAGAGAGAGAGCGAGTTCATGTATCTGACAGAGAAGGATGAGTCTTGTCCGAGATAAAGTTGCAGTCCATCCATCCGTCCGATATATGCTTATAGCTCAGCCCTGGGTATTAAGTAGTCGGCATTAGATGGAAACCAAATCGGAAGACTCACAAAAGTTTGATATTTACGACGAAGCTGCAGTAAGTGGTTCTCCGCAACTCCAAACTTACTCATGTTTTGTATTTATTTAATGAGCAACATGCATTACGATCTACATCAGCACATCGGAGACTCATGAATCCATGCATGTATGGGGAACCACTTTCTCTCATCGCCTTTGGTAGTTTCGCTGAAACACGATAAATATTTGACTTGCCTAACGAAGAGCAGTTACATGTACATACAGCACCATTAAGCAAACGAGGCTGGGCTGTCTGTCTGCATACCTTGTGTAAACAATCATACGTGCAAATAAGATATTTTAGGAAGCCAATGCCAATAAAAGTGGGAGCAAGAAAGCTGGAGGAAAGAAGAGTGGGTGTGTGATTAGAGGAAATAAAGCCACTGACCAATCCATTCTTCCCAGCTAATTTGACACCCTCCTTCCCAATGAGAGATTGCATCTTGTTCACTGTTGTGTAGTAGAAACCCAAACTTTTGTGATACCCGTTGAAGCCCACTTGCCAAACCTGTAGTTGCAAACAACGGTCTTTGTCACCAGCTAAGGATCGCATCGAGATTGTGGCACTGGCCCAAATGGGGCTCGTTCCGGGTGCTTCTTCGCTTCGGTAGACGATCGTATAGTTCCCGTTTTCGTTTATTTTAGACAAAACGTAAAAAAACTTGGGTTGAAATACACAGCAAACGGCTCTCCCCATGTTGACTCCTTGCAGCTTCAGCGTGGCCTGGAAAAAATGGAACACGTCGCACAATTTGCACGTTTTAAGACAAATCAGATAGCAATGTTTACTAAATGTCGTTGACTTGAATAGGTTATTGTGCTTCTTGGCGCGACACATTTATTTCAAGTTGAGTGCGTTCGTACATAAATATCCAAATAGAGTAGTTTGGCTTATTATGCAAACATCCCCTTCTCATCTACGAATTATGTATGCGAACGCCACTGGGCATGAATTTATTTATTTACAATTTCAGAAAAGTAAGTAGGAAGACGAAAAGTAAGTACTCTGAGCAGCATCTTGTGAGATGGGAACCAAGCGGACGAGGTTGTGTGAGAACGAGGACATCATCATTAAAAAGAATGAAAGGAAAATGATTGATGACAAAGAAAGAGGGATTTTCCTGATCTTTTCTGCACCCCAATCACACTAACAAGTGGCTGGGATTCATCCTATTATTCCGACGGTAGGCAATAGGCTTCAGATTGAAGTTGGGATTCATCCTCCTCTCTCAAACTAAATACAGACACGTACAGGCCATCGACCAAAGTATGGATAGTGAATGGAGCCGAGGTCAACTTTCTCCAAACGAAAGGAGTAGTCTCAGCTTGATTAAACATGTCAGCAGAGCAAAAGTGGGGTAGCAAATTCTTTCTGCAAAAGTCGTGGTGGTTGTGGATGGAACAAGTGAAAGCCTAAAATCCTAAACTTCTTTGGCACAAGTTACTTGATTGAGGCCTGTGAGACTGGTTTTGGTACCTTCGTTCAGTGCTTTCACCAGAATCAATAGGTTCCACTCCTGTGGTTAAGTCTTGCATTTAAAGTCTCTCGTATGCATGTATTTCTCATATGCACGTACGTAGTATGCGGTTGTGAGCTTGGTGATGAATGGTCAATAATACATTAATTATTCTTATTTCAATTATCCGGTCATTCATGCTGGAATGCTGACAAAGGTAGTTAAGTCACGGAAACGAATACGTATTAGCGTGTTACTTATGTACGCAAACAACAAGCACATCAAGTTTTCTAACATTTTGAAAACCCTTATTGCAGATTTCCTTCAATTCCAGAGATATATTGCCTTATATTTTATGCGGTCAATTGAACCTACGCCACCGCCAGTACCCACTAAAGTGAAAGTCATACTTTGTTTTGGGTGGATTTTGCATATAGATACTTGTACAGCAGAGGATATATTTAATATTTATACTCAAGATCCCAAATTAATAATTTTATGAAATTTGATTCTACGCATAGAGTTTACTTGTGAAAGTGAAAGCGGGTGTATTTTACTGTTATCTTTTTACGGGCCCAATTACTGGCGGGACTTTGATTAAGCGGATGCTTAATACTACTCGACGTTCTCCACTTGTGGAGAGAGAGAGAGAAAAACGATCCTCCCTGTCCTCTCCACGACCACAAAGACTTCAGTCCCTCCGACCGACCAGACCACAACGCTTTCAACTTTCTAGTTTACACACATAGATATCGAACAGATCCGAAATTCTTTCTCGCCTACACTTTCTCCAGCCACCAGATTACCTCCACCACACGCACGCAAATCCTGCAGGTTGTTGCTTCCCAGTTCCTTGCGAACTTGAAAGTTTAATGGCAACATGTCCACGTATATAGCGCATCCTGTAATACATGGTTTCGGTGTCCACTACAAGCACAAATTGATAGTTACATAGACTGGGAACCCTCCTGGGAAGATTTCCTAGCTTCAGGTGAATAATTCATTGCTGTGTCCAGATTTTTATCAAAGGCGACCTCATTGAAATCCTGATGTGCATCCAATATGCTTGTGTCTGCTGCGTACGTATGTGTGCACGTCTTCATGAGAACAAACCTCGTTGTAATGTATTTTACTGGTATTCTAGTGAAATAAATGAGGCTCATTTCAAACCGAAGACAATTGAATTGTACTCTCTGTTGTCGAGTGCATGGCGGCGACACACACGCCAGGAACACTTTCTCTTTTTGCTTTCGATGGGGAAGTGCGATAAGAAGAAGTGGGAGCACGACCATGAGTGGGTGGACAATCGCAGGATGTGAAACGAAGGGAAATGTAACATTTCCAGGCGGACCCAATGGAGCGGATGGAAAACGCCAACTTTTGCTATTTATTCCGATAGCCTCGTTTAAGACAAGGAGGAATCCTTATCGACCTCGATGTGAAATGGCGGCCAACCATCTTTGTCGCTAGATATGGATATATTCAACATGGGGAAACTCAAAATACCACTAAAAGTCGCAAATTGAGCGTTCACATCGTGACATGTAATAGTTTAGAGGTTTAGAAATTTCCAGCAGCGAGACTTTGCCTGCGCATATATTAATACACAACCAGTAAACCTAACTACATCCTACATACATCTGCCTATAGCACAACAATGAATATTCCAAATGGATCGTAAAGTCAAAGACAGCCAGTCGAACCAAAAGCACATCAGAGAGAAAGAAAGGGAGAGGTGCAAGGAAGTACGGAGTTAAGTTAAGTCTTTCCCAGAAAATGCCATCATTCTTTTCCAAAATCGTCGTTTTCTGCCTGCTGGGTGTCGTAACAAGGCTGTGTCATGGCAAAGCTGCTGCGAGAGATAGAGTAATTCCATCTTAAACGAGTGAGATGAGAAATGGGGGATTCAATCATATCTACGCCCATAATCTTTTCCATGCAGATTCAACAGTTCAATTACAGAATTGATTGGTTTCCTTGAACTTTGTCGAATCTCGCGTAATATCCCATCAATCATTAAGTGTCAGTCAACATGAGGAAATTGCTGAGGAGGAACAACCAACGCGTGTGAAAATGGCGTGCTTAATTTCAGCCTTTCATGTTTGCTTTTGAGGTTTATATAAGTGTAAAAAGTGTCAAATTTGATTGGAATGTTCCCCTCAAAAGTTTCTCTATCTTCTTCTTCATGACCTCAATTTGAAGAGAACTTTATTTTCACTTTATTTCTGAGGAGTAGGACCAATTTCCTCTCGAAATCATGGAACTTTTCGCCATGGTCATTTCCGCTTTTCTCAGTGGCTTTCGAAACGAGTACCTTTCTCACTGGGCTGGACACCGAATCAGTCACAATGATTGATTTCTTGAGGATTATTTTAAGAAAGGAGGATTGATGAGTGTATGAAATGAGCGAAGAGAAAAGTGAGAAAAGTGCAGTCCAGCCATTTTGATCGGATAACAAGAGTGAAAGTTGGGCAGAAGACACCACTCGTTCACAAGCACTCGGAGTTTTTGACGATGTGATCGATTGAGCAAATAGCACAACCAATTTCGCTCGGTTGAGCAAATTTTCTTTCATGCATCAAATAAATGTTTGTATTAAGACGGGTGGGAAGAATAGGCAGGTAGGTATGTAAAATATGATGGTGCTGATGATGATGTTTTGTCCTGTACACAATGCATACGCCACTGGAGAAGGATTCGATGGAGCGCGAGGTGAGTTGGAAACTTGGAAGCAGCGAGAAAGTAACAATTTGGCTTTTATGCCCTATAAAACTTTCCCTGGACAAAAATGTGGGCTGCTTTCCTCTCCTGCCTTGTCTCTCGTTGACACGTACATGCCTCTTTCTCGCCGGAATCTAATTTGTGCCGTCGCACATTCCAACCCATGATTGGTCTTGAAGAACTTTGATAAAAACAAGCAGGCCTTGTTTCCTGCCCCCTCTCTCATCCTCACCAACAATACATGGTCTCATGGCTAACGGCCAAACCTGGTTTCCTACTTTCCTATCTACGTACTTCTTTGTGAGATTTCACTAAAGAAGGGCCTGTTTTTTGCCGATAGAAATTAGGCGTCTATTCATGAGCATGAATTTTGGGGGTGCAGGAGGGGCAAAGCTTTTAAGGGGAATAATGTTTCTCGAAGGATTTTATGTCGTGTTTCTTACAAAGCCTGGAGCGGATTGTAGGCTAATGGAGGGTGCTTACTTACTCCGTGGAGCGATAAAATTTGGGAGAAAGGTAGTCCGCGACTGCTTGTTTAACTATATATGAGGGTTTGTGTATACGTAGGGTCAAGTAAACATTCGATGGCGGGGCACACACTTACCTCCTCTTTGTATTGTATTAATTCTTCCGCGAGTAGGATAATGGTTCCCTTGGATTGCTTGGCTTGTTTTGGCAGAATGGGATAGTACTTGCTCTTGTTTTGTTGGAGTTGGAGAGTGCAGCCATTGTGCCCTGTGGACACCACTTGCGCGAGGTTGGTCTCCGCGTACCCCAAAAAGTCATGCGTCTCCAAATTCACACTTGGCGAGTCTGCCATCCAAGGATATTCTCATTAGTATGCTTATCTCCCTCTTAATAACTTGTTGTGAACAGCTCCCATCGTTAACCTACTTACTCACCTATATCGTATATTTCAAAGCGGAGTTGTTGCTCCTCCTCAAATCTGTAGTCCATAATTATCTGGAAATATAGTATAAATAATGTATGCCGGGCAAAACATGAGCTGATAAATTGTGCTTTGAGGAAATGTCAACGTCTTGTAATTTTCTCGTAGACTTTAGTGTTACACAATATCAATTGCATGATTGCAATCTAAGAAATGTAAGCTCCAAGCACAACATCCGACTGCATATTCACAGTGTGTACATGTTGTCGTGCAACTGCGGGGAAAGCACCACACCACAATAAGTGTGCAGTATGTAGTGTTACATGTCGGTTGACATAGGTGTTCTTGTATTAAAATTGCCAGCATGTGCACATTATTCAATTTTGACACCGTCTTTACTTACTTTGGTCACGAAGTCTGGATTGAGACAATCATACAGCGTCTCGGTCCGTAGCAATTCCACCCAATGTGCAGTTCCGAGGGGGTGGTGATACACGACGCACATTGGGTCAGACCTTGAGAAGACGTCCATGTCCAAAAGATTCCTGAGAAGGGGTTTGAAATAGAGATGCACAATAATCTGGCTGTATTTTTATGTCAAAAGGAATGGGGAAACGAAAACAGGATTTATTGAGGGACTCAATGGGACAAAAATATACATTCAAAGCATGCCCGGTTTAGGAAATATCTCTCCCACGTAGAAAATACACACTCATAAACAGCTTACAGGCCTTAATATCCTTTTTGAATGAGTGTACAAAATAGGAAGCTCACGTAACCATGCAGCACCCGGTGGATCGGTATATTTTGGGTGAAAGAAGCACACACACACGTCTTGGACAATTCCTTTATGCCATGTTCCTTTCCCCTTGGGCGCACAAAGAGTGAATTACTTGACGTTATTCTTCCACCTCAGCCTACGTCATAACGGTTTGTTGTTTAAAAGTGGAGGCCCGAATAATGGAATCAACCAAACATCCTCAACACTTGGCAATGGAAATCTCGTTAATTCAGTTACCAGCACTGTTTTGTTTTAAATATAAGGATTTCATTAGGCCAAGTGCTATCCAAGTGGAATGGAATTAGACTCGTCAGGAGTGTATTTCGCGTTACTCGAGCAATGCGGGGAGAAAGGCCAACGAGGCGGATGGAAATATCCAGCATGCGAAAGACAACGACATGATGGTCCGACGACGACGACTATCAAAACAGAACGCTGTCTCCTATCCGCGCTCATTGACAATTGTTGGGGATCTTCTAAAGCATTATTTGTTTGCATTTAATTAGAGCGTGGCTTTTGTGGCTGTATCTCTCCTCTCATTGAAATTCCATGTTTTCATTAAATTTTAGCTCGACTCCTCAGTTACAAGCTGCAGTGGACCCCTATCTCAGTACGAGTAGGTATATTGTGTGGTGTCTGCTTTAGTGGTAAGTATTTTGACTGATAGTCAGAATAAGTGACTTTCTATATTTCAAATAGGATCAAATTTATGCGGTGTGTAAACATTTCGAAGCAAAGTAATTCTTTGATTTCAGCTTCTGCAATTATCAAAGTTTTACTTTCTATGTTTGAAAACCAGATTCTCCACAAACAAATGAGGGATTCTGATCTTGTATATGTATTAAATGCTTACTAGTCTGGTGCATTCCGCACTATGCCCATTTTGAGGATCATTTATACTAATTGCTAAATTTAGCTGGCTGGGTTCGAAACTAACCAGATATTGGTTAGTTTCGCTCAGTTATCTTGGAAATTTGGAGTGGATCATTTATTTCCAGACGGAATTTTGGGCTTTATGAACTTGGAGAATCTGGAATATTTTGTACCCAATAGGAAAGCCGCAAGGCCAAAGTCATCAGGCAGAAATGGCCAGTGGCACAAAGGAAAACATGTGCAGTTCAATACTTCGTACGAACATACATGCACCACCGCAACAACAGTATCAATTTTAATTGAGGTAATCAAACAGACACGGCAAATAGGTTGGGTAAGTAGCCTTTGTAATTGTTCCCTTGCATTGGTGTCGTGCTATGCACTTTCCCATACAAACGTGTAAACTGAGTCGCAGCCACTGCACAAAACTTCGCAACGTGTAAATGAGACATGAGACAAAATTCAATCAATAAAAGCCCAAGAACATTAGGAATTTTGTGCTTGATAAAATTAACCAAGACTTTATACATGTAAATGTGCCAATATTGTGCCACGGGTTCAGACATTCTAATTTTTTATGGTGTTGCACGAAAATGTCGTGTGCATATATTTACATTGACCCAGAACTGGGCAATTTCCGACAGCAATATAAATCCGAAAGATTGAGAATTGTGCCTTTATAGTTTTGCAATTTGTCTATGAAACAGTTGTTCATGCGGGTGCAATAAGCAGATAAATCCAGAATTCTGTCACCTCTCGAAATTTTGCAAATATTTCTACTGAAGAATTCCTTCTTTTATGTTATGCTGACCAAGTTTGTTTCTAGTTACAGAGAGGTGAACCAGGCGTATGCAAAATATTGATCCTCTCGTCACTTTAAATAAAACGGTGGGTGAATTCTATCCAATAAATTTCTGAAATTGCTCAAACATCTTTTGTTTCCATCTTTTTTATGTATCTAGAAGAGCTGATTTTATTGCCATTGTCTATATTTTTTGAACATATTGGATTGGTCGCATTTCATGAATGAGTAACTCGAGTGTGGAGCTTTACGGCGAGAGGCCAGAGTACAAAAACGTGTCACGGGAAATGTTTTCTGCCGGAATTTTCTCTCCTCCACGAAATCAACTAAGGAAAGCAGAGACAGGCTTGTTTTCCTTCTTCCTTCGACGAGAATGCGACCTTAGGACGACTCCCTGCCAGCCACACCACTCGAGGCATACTAATGCCACGCGTCCTCACCGTATGCCCTCCCAAGCCTCGGAGAGTATGAAGCCTTAATCCATAAGTAATGAGTGTGAAAGGAAGAAATTATGCCATGTATGTATTGTATGCACGAGCTCGTGGCTCGATACGCCGTGTGTGTGGAAAGCATGCAGTGTCAGTTGTGACAGTTGCTCCGTCCTCTGGAATGAAATGACACAGGAGGCCAAGAAAGCGAGAGATTGTATAATTGAGTTAAAATTCCAAAGGAGAGAGAGTCCCTTGCGAAAAGTGGCTGGTTCGTAGGACGGGACGAGGAGATGCTGGGGGGAAGGGAGAAAGGAGAGAAATTGACTGAGTGGCACCTGCAAGAGATGGAAATTTCCACCGTGCTCGTCGGCTCCACAGATGTTCCGGGGGCGAATTGACTTGTCATTTTTAAATCTGGGTCTTCTTCCTTCCTTTCCCGAATTGTTTGAAATGTTTTATTTATTTGCGAACGGGATGGATCCTTAAGGTGAACATCCGCCGCGACATTTGCCGTTGCCTCTGCCCCACTTGTGTCACAAGTTCATGAGAACTTTATGTAGTAGCAACTTCAAACTTTTCCCCAAAGAGTAGAAATGGTAAAATAAATCCGAGACAAGCACTTTGTCCAACGACGACGCACCACTTCTACCACCGCACTCGACACTTTTTTAACTTCCCTTCGTTACAACGGAGTAGATAACGGCTCCTCCTGTCAATGTCTTATTATTTTCCTTACATTGTCAACCTCCAAATGCTCCTTTTTTCCTGGTTTAATTCGAAGTTCAATCATTTTTTCAAGTCTTTCGACTGTCAGGGGTCTAGTAAAATTTGAAATGTGATGTAAGTAGGTGATGACCAAACTAAGCTGGGTAGCCCAGACTAGAGTCGTAAAGTTTTTTAAAAGTTGTGCTAATGACAACTACTTTGCAGTTGGAAGTCGTTTTGACAAGTTTCTGAATCAAAGTGAGTAATGTGCACTCGAAACCATTGGACAGCGCGGTGATGACAACACAGAAAAGTGATGTACTAACCAGCAATAAATTATTAATTGTCACTGTTTCTCAATTTCCTGTCAATCCGGAGTGGAAGTTCATAACAGAACAGGAAACGAGCTTGAAAAGTGCCTTGGATTCTGCAAGTGGTTGTTGACTGAGTTTCCCCCTGCGATGGTTTGAGGTGGAGAGAAGAAGAGGACTTTCCCGAGAGTGAAAGAACTTGTGAGAGAGGATAAATGAGACTGGGCTGCCGGATGAGATGGGATGAGGAGAGAGAGAGTCCGAGGCTCAGAAACTATTACGACGAGGACGCGTCTCTTTGTAAGCAAGGATTTTCATTCCTCCAAAAACTCCCATTCCCACATCCCACTTCCTCCGCACCGAATTCGGATTCTGCCAGAGAGATCCAAGTCAAGATTCATATTCAGCCAACCAACCCATCCAACCAATTGTGCGCTGAGTCAGGTCACATACGAAACACAAACCTCATGTCTGCCTCCTTGCTCACCATCATAACATTGCATTGTGAGGCAACGTGGAGACCACCGACTTCCTGAACGCATAGAATGTAGATACGAGAATCAAACAGGAAGTTCCTTTTTGTGAGGAGCGATCTTGAAATTGGTGGGACTGTGGGACTCTGGGCCATGTATGTACATGTGCGCTGGCTTTTTTGAGATCGATTTTACTAGGCATTTACATAACCAAGGCGGAGGCGGAGGGAAAAGTGGCGGAGATGATGCGAGCAGAGGGAGAGCACTTCCGCCACCGAGAGGAGATCCAAGATATTCGCTCCTCACAGCGTTTCCCGTGCACACTTTCTCCTCGAGATGCCCAGAGTTTGAGGAAGTCGAAGAGCGAGGTCGGATGTAGTAGCGTTCATCTCCTTACTATTGGGCTCAGAGGAAGATCTGCTCCCAAAAATGTGTCAATTAGTAGCTGTGCATTTACATGCGTATGTAGTCCACGGGGTCTGAAAAATAGACTCGGCGTGAGAAAAGCCAATGCACTAACTACTTTTTATTACAAACATATCTATGACTGTGTCCTGAGGAATGGCTAGCACACAATCCTGGTAAATAAACAGTGTTATAAAGAATCCCCAAATTTAATAATGTAACGTAATTGACTCTGGTCTCATTTTTTCATGTTTTTTCCGGTCTAATGCCACAAATTGCTCACATTTAAAACAGATTTTCATTGGTCGCGGTTGTAATGAAAGTAATAATTTAAGATCATGTAATATGCAAATTAGAATAAATTATGGTAACGGGACGCTGGATACGAAGTGGAGTTAAGCTCTGGTTCATTGAAGTCAGAAAGGTTGCCACTACCGCTGCCGCCCAACTTATGAATAAAATCTTATTTCCTTTGCGGCCTGGTGTATGTTCATGTAAAGGACTAATGAAATTTGCTGAGACGTAATTGATGGCTCCTCGGCTGGAGGGAGGGAACATTGTAATAATCGTCCGTAGTAATTGAAACTTTCTGGTCTGACAGACTCCTCCATTTTTCTAGTCCAGTCCAGGAGGAGAAAGGCTTTCGTTCCATAAATAGTACAAATTTGGACAAACACAATGGTTGTGTAGTGGTGGCCACTTAATTTGACATGGCCAAATAAATTCCAGTGCCAGGACGTCACTCACTGTTTTCCGCGACGTTTAATTTAAGAGTCGATCCAATATCAAAATTTATGTTAACGATTTTGTGTAAACGAAACACAACATGTCAGAACCGCAGTAATTGCATTTGTGTACCAGTCAAGTTGTCCAATTCCTACATAGCTTCTGGGATAATACTGGGACACGAATGTTTTTTCGTACCCCGAATTAAAGGCGTCTTATAGATTGCACTTCTAATTACTAATGTTCGCTCACCCCGAACCAGATTGGCTCAAATACGCAGTAAAGGATAATTCGTCCCCATAAATATCACTGGGTCTTGTCCTTTCGTGTGACAAGAGACTGTGGTTTCCTAGAAGAAAACTTTGCAGTTCAATTTCCACAAGTGTCCCAAAGTCGTAAACCCTTTCTGCCCATTTTTCCCATCACTGTCTTTTGCTGCTAAAAGTTCGGCTTGGGTTCATCAAAATTTATCATTTATTATTTAAATAATGATCCTGATAGAATTTGTATTATTTAATTTAATTGTTAGGAAGTATTTTAAAGGTTAAGTATATATTCGCACAGTAGAAATGCCAATACATAATTTAGTACCTCCTTCTTTTTCGTAAATTCATTACTTTTTGTTGTTATAGATTGTTATAGAACTTGTGCATGAGTAAAACTTTTACAGGATTCAACTTTTTTGAAACTTTTATAAAGAACCCCCCACAAAAAAATGTCTGCATACATACGTAGCATGCAATTTGTATCTGACACAATAGAAATTGAATCCCATTCTCTACACTTTGCTTTTCGATAGCAATAAAAAATGTGCTTTCGAAGTTTAGTCGTACGAACGTACGTACAACTACATGCATGTCCGGCAACTATGCAATTTCAAGAAATCAAAACTCAAAGGCAATAAAAATGTAAATACAAAATTGTCCAGATTCTCAATATCCACTTCAGAATCCTCTCAGTTTTCTTCCTGGGCAAACCAAAATTCAAACGAGGATGACAAAGATTTGGAAAATCGATTTAAGGAAATCAATGGAGCAGGAAACGTTCTAAAATCGACATTTTGCAATAAAACTTAGAAACGATGAGGTGTCGAATAAAAATGATTGGTGAGAGCAAAAGTCAACCCATGCAGAGGTTGAAAATCCATGAATTGGGCGGACGAATTGTATGGCGATAGCGCTCTTTCGACGCTTTATTAAAATTACACATTATAAATGAGACGTTTTTACGAGCCAGAGTAAGATTACAGACATTCAGGACTTTCAAAAGTACGGCATCGTCAGCTGAATGGGTTTGGCTCTCGTCATGTGAAATTCAAACAATTTGAAACGTGATAACTTCATTATCAAGCCGTATATTCATATTCATGTTCGATTGGTTGGTGTGAATCGCAGCTTTCCTCGCCCAATGTCATTAGTCCTGCTCGTGTAACGCCATAACGATACACATACGCGATTTTGGCATGAATACTAGAAATAAATTGAATTGAGCTTATTATTATTTTGAAGATTCGAACGCTCTTCTATTAACTTTTCCATTCATTCATTCACTCATAATTCCGCAATGTTGAAGCGTACGAGTGTGTCGAGAGACATGGCAAGAGGTGTGTCTCACTTGGAATGAATTTTGCGAAATTCTGCTTTTTGCTGTCCTGGCCCGGATGATGATGGTAGAGATCTTCCGGCTCATTCAGCGTATGAATAAATGCAGAACAAGTAGCGCAGAACAAAGGATAAATTGAATTCGTGAGAATCAGAATGTTAGGAAATGTGATTGGAGTTAACCTTGAGCTCAATTCGAGTGAGTCTTCGATTCCCCACACACACTATCTCCCCTGGTCTCCTTTTTGCAATAGTTATCTTGTAATTCAACCAACATAGGCGATCACCTCTCACCAACCGCAACTGCCACCACGACTCCACGTCAACTCATTCCTGAACACAAAGGAGAAAGATGAAGAAAGAGACAAAGAGAGAGAGAGAGAGAGAGAGGGCTAGTAGTGAGAGTGTGAGAGAGAGGTGTGCAGTGTGTCTGCCATCATCTTTTCCGTTCCCGAGGGATCGGCAAGACATTGATCGGGACTTTGGAACCTGAGGAATTGAGCGAGACTTTATCCACCCAGCCAAAGGTCTTATTTATTCCCTTTGAGATTTAACAAGATCTCCTCGTCGAGTTTACTGGAGGATTTTCGACAGCCACGCATGAGATCCTCCTTATCGCTCTTTAACCAGACTGGTTTCCGTCGATGCGTACTCGGAGATCATTTATCAGTGATAATTCTATAATGTGGCCACCCCGCGCTACTACTTATTCCCTTCAAACACCGAATATTTGATTTGCTTGAATACATGTCCCGATCCTGTAAATTATTTTCAAAGGAGTAAGTTTGTCTGGTATCTCGTTTGATTAATATTTAATTTAACTGGGGGCTAAAATTGGACGTCAGATAGAAAATGTGTTTCAGGTTTGCGGATGGGATGAAAGCGAGGAGGTTGGGCCGAGAATATTTGTAAGAGGTCCATATTTCAATTAGAGATTAATTTCAGTGGAACTGCGACGCAGAGGAGGAAAGGATTTCTTCTTAATAGTCTTATCTGCTCAAATCATTAATTTTTTAAAACATCTTTGGGCCGTGACTATACGTACATCACGACTCTCTCCTCAGTCAGTGGTAAAAGACTTGGAAATTGAGTTCTCATTTAGCTGGCCCGGGGACAGATAGAATCCTTTGAAGAAACTTTCAGTCTTATACTCGTGCCTGGCAATAGCAAAATGGAATTTCCAGACTTATGTGACTACGAGAGAAAGACTGTTGGAAGAACTCCTTTAGAAAATTACGACTCCATACTATGTAATTCCTCTGTAGCTTTTTTCTTATATAATTTCCAACTGAGAATTTGACAAATATGTGTCCGGCCGTCTTTCGGTCTACATTTTTATACATGTATTCATGTATGGGTCACGTTTGTACTGGAAGTACGTGAGGCACAATCAACCTGAAAGCTAAGAATTCTAATTAGGAATACTCTTCTAAACATTTTTCATGCTTGACAAATCTGCCCAATTCACGACCCATACATGAAAGGTGAACATGGGAATGCGCGACTCCTTTCAATTGCCCATGGGTAACCGTGCATGGATTGAATGAGGAGTAAAGAATGAGACAAATGACTGTTTTGAAGTAGAAATCACGAAGAAGCTCCACTTGTTGCCAGTCAAACATAAATCATTTTAATCGATTTTAATTCAGCGAACCTTGCCCCCTGCTCTTCTCCAGGGAGCAATTTCTTCCAATAATTTCATATCCTGCCCGAAGCTCTTGTATCAGATTCGTCAGGCACTCAAGTTAACAGCAATTAAGCACTTGTCATTTATTTGCTTCTCGTGCGGATTGATTCCCTCGTGCGAAGCGAGTTTGTCTCCTCGAGAGTTGGTGGAGATGCTCTCCTTGCCTCGCGCAGGTAAACATATGCAGCCTCACCTGAGATCCTTGTGTATTAAAATCTCCCTGAACTCTTCTCATGGTTTTGCAGGATCTAATTTAGTTTCGAGATTCTGTCCAATTATATTTTTATTCGCAATCCGCCATCACAATAGAAGCAGATGTTTCTCTCGCCTTGTATTTCCCTCTGTGTGAGCAGAGAGGCGTGTAGCATACTTTCCTTTGGAGAAAGCTCGATCTGCTGCGGTTCTAATCTATTTTTTGATGCCGGCAAAGTTTCCAGTTGGAGTGATTGTTTCGGATTTGGGGAACAGAGTTGTTTAATATTTCGTATTTTTCCATCTCAACTGCTCGCGTGGTTGGTGGACTCGGAATTGTGTGCTCTGTGGGATGGAGTGAAAGTGAGCATGGAAAAAAGCGGAGAATGTGGCGAACATGGTGTGCATAGTTTTGCGACGGCTGTCATTCTTTGGATTTTGCCGTGCACTGCTGCTGCTGCTGCTGCTAAAACAAATCTATTTACTCATGTCTGAAGATGACATATTTGCTTGCATAATGTATTATCGGAGAAAATTATTGTGTCAAGACGACGACTAAGTAAAATGTTTTTCGGTTGGAAAATGCCTCAGAGGAGCTGTTGTAAGTATTCAACAATGTACACACTCCTTACGAAATGATTGATTTCGTGGGTTGGGATATTTAAATTAAGGGAATTTGAGGGGGAGAGAAGGCGGCATCATGTGTGACCTAAATATTTCAAAGGAAGAGGAAACCCAGGGAGATTTATCGACTTTAATTACATCTGCGTGAATCTATTGCACAATTTGTCCCACTTTGACAAGCACATAAATTGTTATTGACGGAAGAAAGCTATTCCACTTGCTTTGTTATCTGCTATGTATGTATATAATATATGTACATAGGGCATAAAATTAGGATGTGTGTGTGTGAAATTGAGGACTTTCACTGGAAATCCCAGTATGTTTTTGGAAATGATCTTATCGTGTCAATAAAGAAGAAGACATCATACATTTAGATATATGCAAGTTAAGCGGAATCAATACTCGTATAAATTTTGTAGACATTTTATTGAGTGCAAAGTGGAGTTCTCTTTATATACTCGTGCAATTTAACAACTAACAATGTCCTCATATTTCCATTTAGTTGACACATAGGTTTCCCTTATACTCTACGAAGAGACGTAATTGTTCTCACAATGTAATTTGAGTTTCTCTACATGTTTAGATCTCAATTACAGGTTTGTAACATCACAGTAAGCTTTATTCTAAATAATATACATTTTACACGCATACCCATCATCGTCGTGGCGTCGCTGTAAAATAAATTTTCTGTTTTCCTAGTCAAGTATTGCTTCTCAACGTATTTGAACTGTTGTGAACTCTTGTGTATAAATATCTCTGTCTCTCACACGGCTCCCAGTAAGCGTTCTTGGTACGAATCATCACCTCCCACTCTGACTTTCACTCACTCTTCGCAACCACTCCAGCAGCCCGTGCAGAGGAGTCGGCTTTGGTTTGATTGTCGTGGTGAAAACAATAATTACTCGTTTTTTGCACATGTATTATGCTACTTAGGTAATTAGGGTAATATTACTGCAGTGAAGTACTGCACCCAATCCTTCTTTATCTCTAGAGACGTGACGTATATATGGATTCATGCACGGTACGAGGAGTGATTGGGGCAATTGGAGAAGTGCTGTGACCCGTCTAATTTCTAGATTTCTTAATCAAGGAAAAGTCTAATTTGGAGAAATCAGTCGACTGAGGAGTGGAATTACACACGGGTGGCTGGATGTGTGCGTTATGGCGATCGACTCGGCGGAGAAAGAAATCGCGTAGTAAAATATAACACAGGAGCTGCCTGCAGGGAAATTTAGAGATTCCAAAAAGTTGGAAAATGCCTCAAGCTCTAGCTCTCAGTCGTCGTCTTCTTTCTCCTTCTCGCTTGGCTACAAAGAATTCTTGGCTGTATTTGGCTTTGAGGAAATACTTGCATTGCCATTGGAGGTGGATGGAACGGGAGACGTTTGGGATGTGGGCGACTTTATTGGGGACGATGTCGTCGCACTCGGTTGTCGCTTTTTTGGAATTATGTTACGACTTTTCATGAAACCAGTTAATTGGTCTGGTATTTCTGCCAAAACTTCCTGTGCTAACTTTACTTTGGCCAGACGTCTTGTGATGTCACTGCATCATGTGAATGCGTAATACATACATCAATCCATAATAAATCATACATCGCTCACTTATAAATTAATAACTTAAAAATCACGACAAAATATAGCTTACAAGCTGCTCGACCATTTCCCAGCAATTTCAGGACAAATAGTTGCCATCCAAGAGTGATGATCTCGATAAGGAACGAATTGCACGATGTCTCTCTCAGCAAAAACACCGTTTGCAGACAACCTGACGATGTCTCCGTCCAAAATATCCATTTGCTGAAAGTTGGCCGACCCGACGCCCACAATGACTGGAATTGCAGATATAAATAAGCACATGACCGACCAGTCAAATTACATTAGTAGAGGGTGGAAGTTTCGAGGACATCATTCGTCCACTTACTTATTGACAACGGAAATCGCGAGGCTTCCACGATTGCCTGAAGGAAAGTTCATTACTTAAAACAGTACATAACTTTGAAACAGTATTTGGGTACGAAAAGCATGAAAATGTAAATAAATAAATGTGCGGAACTCATGACGAAGAAAGCAGGATTGAACTTAATTACCTCGGTTGTTTCTTTCATGTCGGTTATGATACCATCTAAGTAAATAGCAGTGCATAGTCGCCTTGTAATGACTCCCAACCATATTTTATTGCTTATATTAATTACTGGGTGATACCTGTTATTATGAGTAACACGTAGTATGAGCCTCCTTCCAGGTCCTGCTTGGCAAGAGCCGCCACATTTTTTATTATTGGAGCAAAATTTCTACAAACACACGCAAATAGAATTAGCACAGCACCGATCCCACTATATTTAACACTTCTCATTATGTTTAGAGACATTATAATTCACGGTGAGCGTGTAAATTAGGCTTGTACTTACGTCGGCCCTGAAATGTAATAATAACAATGCAGTTAGTTAGTGCGGAAACGCTGTCGGAATCAAATAAGACAATTAATAAAATGTACCGTATAGCTGGACTTGTCGAATACAATTTCTAAAACAAAGGAGAAAAAAGAGATATATCCTGAATTATATCGAGTTTGATTGTTGTAGCGTGTCTTGGATTCGGGATTCGCTAACTTGTTCGGAGCCTATTCTTTCTAAAAGGAAAGTTTTTGTGTGTCGCAAACTTCGAGTTACATTAACCGTTTCAAATAAGCAGCACTTGATGTGATGTGTCGTAAAGCACTCAAAACACTTTTTGTATGAGCTTTAGCCGTAAATCAAGATCGACGAATGAGAAACGGCGGAAACTATTCGCATTAAATTGCATAGATCCAATAACCCCCACTGAAAAATTAATATCCTTTCATACACTCGCCTCTTCTGATTCAAAGGAGAATGGCAAACTAAAATGTATGTGTTTGAGAAAATTTCATAATTTGGGAGACCAGGATCATCTGGGACGGGGTGGGTTATCGTGGATCAGAAAAATGTAATAAAAATCCCCGCTGACTTAATATATATCCAGGACGAGGAGACTGGCTGACCTGTAGGCGTCTAAAACCCCGTCGATTCCCTTGCAGTACGGAGAATCCTCGAGAGTGACGGCAAAATTGTTGGATACTTCCCCGGTCGGGGGAATTCTAAACTCAAAACCGTAGTTTATAGTTTATAAACCATAGTTTAGTTATATATATAATAGTCATAGTTATAATCATACCTTGCTCCGAAACCGTAGACGGGAAACATTTTCGAAGGATCATAATCCTGCATGATTTCCCCCACTGCTTGAATCGCCTGCTCGTAGGGATTGGTTTTATCTGCGACTTGTGAAATATGGTGCAGGGAACTGGTTCAAAAAACAAATTTAAGGAAATGTTTAAGCCATCTTTTATACCGTAGGTGCACCTTAAATAAATTTATCTGCCAAGTTATTGTTTTTATACTCTGAATGTCATGGAACAATTGAATTTGAAGCAAAATATTAAAATGTTGTGTTTATATTAAAGAAAAGCTGACTTATATAATTTGAAACAAAATTAAAATTCATGATAGGAAAGAGAATGCAGCTTGAAGCATCTTACGTCAGCATTTAATAATTCCAAACGAAATTTCCGTCGAATGCACAATATTTATTTGGTTGACAGACTTTTCAACGTTGGAGTTCTCCAAATTTATAAACGTTGACTCAAGTGTAATGGAAGCATGAGGGAAGATATTTTGGAATGTGTGCAAGTAATTACCTGGGATCTGCTGGATCACCATTTGAAGCGGTGTAATCAATCGCGAAGCAGCAGTGGATTTGAGTCCCACCTCCAATGTACTCAAAGAAAGTGTAAATTGGGGAGATGTCCAATGGGAGGATTTCCAACGTGGCTTTAGCTTTCTCCTGATAAAGAAAGGAATATATTGTGAGGATGAAACTCTTTAAACTCTTTTGGCAAGTGTATTCCACTTGTTTACAAAGTTGTGCTAAAAAGCAGAGGATGAAACTTGTTACTCTCTTCATAACCTTATCATTGCGCCTCTGTGCAGTGATTTTGGTTCTCACTCCCTCTGCGGAGGCGACTTTTTGATTTCTTGAGCCTGACTGCTAAAGACAGCAGTAGCACAAACTTTCTTATCGTTCTATGTATGAAGTAAAACTTATGTTTTATGGAACAAAAGTCCTGAAAGCAAAGTCATGGAGACATGGGAATGATGCACGTCCTGGCGACTTTCCCCTAGATAAATACTTTCACTTGAAGAGAGGAGACTGACAATTGACTTACGGTGCCGTTCTTGCCCACAAGTTTGATTCCCTGTCTCTCAGCCAGCGCCTTCATCTTATTGAATGTTGTGTAAACAAATCCGATGGTGGTGTGATATCCATTAAATCCCACTCGACAGAACTGGAACTGAACTCCTCGATCTTTATCACCGTTCTGCATGGGGATAGAAAGAATGCACAGTGTGTGAAACAGGGCTGTGTGGCAGGCAGGATAAAAGTAGCAATCACTTTTCCATCCCACCGCGTCCTCCTCGTTCACTTTCTCTCCCCAGTAATTTCTCTTCATTCACTCCTGAGCAGACAGCAGATGTGCAAACTCTTTGTCGGCAATTTAGAATCAAGTAGCTTTAGTCTGCTCAACTGAGGAAGGGACGACCCGATGTACAAGAGATCAGACTGAGAAAAGCTGAATGACTTACACAAAGACTGCGAATTGAGATTGTCATTGGTGACCAAATAGGATTTTCTCCTTCAGAGACTTCGCTCCTATAGACGACCGTGAAGGAGCCCGCCTCTGTCGCCTTCGACAGCGTGTAGAAAACGGATGGAGTGAGAATACAGCATCGAGAGCTTCCCATGGCGTGACCTTTCAGAGTCAATGTCACCTGCAACACAGAACGACGCCACCGTCTCGTTCATCTCGAGTTGATGGAAAAAGAAACTCCTCAGCAACTCCTCATCCTCCTCCTCAGCAACTTGTCAACCAAAGTGTCACATGTCAAAAATTTATATATGTACGTCCACCAGCAGAATACGTGTTGTTGTAGTATTTTTATTTTATAAACTGCCTCCTGGTCTCTTATGCTGTTGATTGTATTTCAGTGTCTCTTCCTGCCATCACATACCATACGCCATGGATAAGTACGTCGTGGTAGACGATAACAGGAGGGAAATCTTTGATCTTGCTTCATATCAAGTTTTCTAATACATACGAAATTTCCAATACGCTAACTTCATCTTGAGGCGGGATTGAAATGAAAATCAATCATGAAATTCTATACTGTAAACGGTCATGCTGGAAATGCTTGATGGCATGTATAGGACCCTGAAGAATAGAAAAGCCACCCGAATGCAGCAGAGAGCAAGTACATATGATCTTCTTCAGAAGCTACAACGCATACAATCCGTGTGTAGTATATACGCTCCTCGCGTCCGTTAGTTCGTCCAAACAATCTACTGTTGACTGTAAGCTATTGAGTATAATAACTCCGTGTCTGCAGGTTTATGTCAAAAGTGAACAGTAAAGAGCTTTTTTATTATCAAATAGGAGATAGAATTTTACGCATTTTCTGGAATAAAATTTTCAAAAGATGGAAAATGGAATTTTACGCTGCAAGGTAATTGTCGCAAATAATATGAGAAAGGTATAAGGTGGGACCGATAAAGGGGAAAAATTGGAAAATGAAAAGCGCTTGTGAGCCTGTGTCTTGTCTACTTTTAGCCTCCACATCTTTGTAACTGTTGGTTTTCTTTTGCAAAAAAATTCGCACGAAGAGATCAGCATCAACATCTTAGAGTTAGGTGATGGGAGACTGTTCATATTTTATTTATTAAAGTCACAATATGAGTGGAATTTTAATATCAGTGGGGACCACTTTCACCCTAATCGTTTTCGTGTCAAAATAAAATGACATTTATTCCCCACAATGCAAAGTGGAATTGCTGGAAAAAGTCTGAATTATGAAGGAGCCTTTTGTCCAACATTTTGCTCCCTTAGAATAAAAAATAAGCCCATTTTTCTTTGTCTAATTCAATTTCGAGACAAATTTTGTTGTCCGCCCACAAAGTGACTAAATTTCCTTAAGCAACCGACCATTTTATTAAGCAAAAACTTTCACCTATTTAGATCAACATCTAACATAATCATGAATGGCAGCACTCTTACGGAAGAACTGTGCGTATCTTTACATGTAATGACTCATAATTGTTTACCAAACTTTATGCAATTTTGCTAGCACGAGGCCAATACTGCAGCACAGGCAGCGCAGAGAGTGGAAAGTAAAAGTTTCTGCCCAACGAACCTTTCCAAAAGAGATAAGCATGTTAATCTCTCCTTTTATTATTAGTTGAGGGCACTTTTTCCCTCAGAATTTAATTTACCTGAAGCTAACTTCTTGCGCTTCATCATTTAGTCTTAATCAGGGGAATTTTGCATGCCACAAGTTCATATCGTTGCGGGTTTGAGTATTAGTTATTGCTTTCCCTTTAACTCCACCAGGCAAATCTGACTAGGTCTCTGAAAGAGACTTTCTGAAGGAGTGCTTCGCATGACTTTCTATCATTTCACTAAACTAGTAAACGTTGTAGGAATAACAGTATCATGAAAATAAATGTCGTTCTAGAAAGGAAAACACAGACATGTCGCTTATCCATCCAGAAAACTGACTATACAAGTATTTATGTGCATAGTGGCTCACTATTGGTGAATGGAGATTGTGATCACAAACAAAACATACTTAATTCGATAACATGTCTGATGTGCATGTAGCTTTATGTATGCAATGCAGTTGAAGATAAGCATTTGGTTGTGTAAAGAAAATAAAGAAAACGTCGGTCGGATGTTTTGGTTGGTCGCGTGAAAAAGAAATCGTGTCATGTTCTTATGTAGAGGATGAAAACGGATGAAATTGCAGGCTTCACCACGAAGGCGGCTTTGATGATATATTGTGTGGAACTGAATGAAAAACGTTCCAGTTTAGTCCTGGTCAGCAGCAGTCGTTCAAACCAGGACCACCACGGCAACAATTTTTCACCACTCTCCGTCCACACAGCTCACAAAACAAGAACAATGCATGTCACGGAGAAAGTCAAGCAAAAGTAATGTCTGGGAGATAATGGAAAGAGGAGGAGGCTTGGGTTACCTCTTCCTTGAATTGGACGAGCTCTTCAGCCACCAGGACGATTTTCCCATTGGACTGCTTCGGAGGCTGCTTAGGAACTTTGTGAGGATTATACCGAGTCTTCTTTTGTATCAGAGGCTGGCTCAGTCCGTTGTAACCTGCCGCCACGATCTGCCCAAGAGTGCCTGCACCAAATATTTCTGCTACATTGCGTCACCCTTTATCCCATACATAGCTACACACATATACTTAAATGCGACCCTAATTCCCGACAGGTCACCCCCTTCTGATTTCTGCTTAATTCAATTATTAGAATACAGTGAGCAAGCAAACCACTTACACTCCGCGTAGCCGATGAAGTCGTGCAAGTCTAAACTTGCGGACGGGTTGTCAATGTCGTACACCTAAAATCAATTAATGTTTTTATTCCTTGTAAAAAAAACTTTGAAACTTGGTACTTTGAGGCAACATAAAATGTGTTTGAATTGAAGTGGTCGGAGTAAAGGAAGAAAGTGGGATTACTTCAAATCTAAGGGCTTGTTCCTCCTCAAAGTGGTAGTCGATTTGCACCTGTAGAAAATGAGATAAAACATTAAAACCAATCAGGCCCGTCATTCACATGACCATGTTCGTTTCTCAAGTTAATAGTGAAGCGAGCTAGGGCTGGATGGATGAACTTTTATAACTTGTTCATATGCGTATGAATGTATAGCCTGTATTGGCTTCGGTTGGTGCAGTTACCATGCCATGAAGGTTGTTAAACTGATTGCCGAATTTAATTCTCTAGAAAGCACTAATGCGTAACGGATGAGTTTCACGGGTATCTCTTCCCAGCAAAGTTGTTGATGCAATACATAGCACTGGGAATTTGGGACTCGAAATGGCTTGGATGTTAAGTAACTCAATAAATATGTGTGCCATTAGGAAGCCCATATTTCTCACACCTCTCCAGCTCGAAAATGACAAAGGAGGTGAGGAAATTGGCTGTTAATTTTGGGCGAAAAAAGCAATGGTGAGCTTCGCCAGAAATAAAATTGCAATCTGATCTCCCAATTTGCAGTCCATTGTCAACGCTCAAGATTGAGTTTTACAAAATTTCCAGTATGGAGAAGTCTTTCTCGTAAGACTCTCATTGTTCCAGATCGGGGAGAGTTATGAGACTTTCTTCTTGCACCTGCTTTTCAATTTCAATTGAATCGCTTCAATCGCCCCCGTTGCCAGGAGCACACGAGAGGAAGACGTACAAAAGTTGCGGTTAGAGTTTTGAAGCGAAATGGCACAAAGATTGGTTTGCGAATGGTGTGGATGGTCGACTTGTAACCTTTCGAATCATCTTTTTTGTGAATTTCCTCCTCTTGTGAAGAAAATATTTTTTTCGTGATATTTTATCAGATCATTCAGACCCAAAATTGAGCCATATTTTCCCACATGCTTTCATGCTTCCGTGCATAACGAAATATATATACAGAGACCAAGGCTTTGGTTACAAGCAAAGGAAAACCAGCAAGATAAATTTATTTTAAAAAGAAAAATGTTTACCTTGGTGACGAAATCCGGATTCAGGCAGTCGAAAATGACCTCCGTCCGTTGAAACTCGACCCACTGGGAAGTGGTACCCCCCATTGGCTGATGATAAACTACTGCCATTGGGTCTGAGCGAGAAAAAACGTCCAAATCCAGCAGATCTCTGTGGGCAAGAGAGAAAACAGCTTTATTTTTATGAAAAGAATGAACAAAATGATAAAATTGACTTTCTTGAAGCCAGAAATGTTTTCCTGTGATTACAACGTTTTCATTCTTATCAAATTTACCACTCTGAGTGAAATTAAATTACTATTCCGTGGTCGGCAATTATGAAGTCAGAAAACAAGATTGAGGACCACTCAAACCTTATATTACGAGCAAATAAGCCCATTGTCAATTTCTCTAAAATAGTGCCCACGTAGACTTGCTAACTTTTGCATGTAATCAAGTTTTCATCCTTGAGCCACATAAAGTAATTTGGTTGAGAAAAGTCTTCATGAGAACTTTGGTTGACGAATTTCCCAAGGAATGATGGACTATTGTACATATATCACAAAGTTTTGAAAGTAACGACGAGGTAGAATGTGTTGTACGTACACATCATCAAATCCATGAAATTAGTCTCCGCAGTGGGTGTGATGAAAGTGGAAATAAGTGGATGCACGCAACCAGCCGCCCAAGCTGCCTATACGCATTATGTTCTAAAGCAGTGTTCGAAATGGCAGTCCAAACATGTGGCGGATGATACGACCCTCTTATTTTTGGGGATTGATGATGCTGGTGAATGAGAGTTTAAGCTAGTAAAACTTTTGGGCTCAGGAAATGAGATGAGATGAGATGACGGAGCAATGTCGAACGCCTAGGCTGGTGATGAAACATGGGATCCCGTCTCTCAAAAGATGTTGTTGTTCATTTGCCGTGTACCCCACTTTCGGCTGATGATAAAATCTGTGAACATGGTGGCCAAGCAATAAATATCCGCAAGTGTCAGAAGTAAGCTTGTACTCATTTACATTCCATTACCAAGCCGAATTTTGTAAGCAACTATTTTTTCCTGTTTTACGATCACCTTACTCCGATTACCTGTTGTTGCCTGCTAAAGATAAGGCACGATTCCTTGTACCACTATATAAATACTAACCATCTTTCAGTGAGGTGTGTGAATATGTACATCTTGCCCGTTGAAATGATTTTCTTCATGTACGGAAGTATGTATAAGTATTTACAGTTAGGTCCTAATTCTTAAAAATACTGTGTCGAACTCCAGGTGTACTAAATAAGCTTGTATATAAATGTGTACTTGTGGAGTCTGCTACGAATTGTGCACTCTGGCAGCCGTGCCTTGTTGCTCGTCTTGACCTTATTCCAGACTTTACTGCATCACTCCTTGTCACCTTGTGATGGTGCAGCCTGACACTGGAAGGGACACACTTGGGACAAACATGGTTGGGTTTTAGGACTGAGTCAAAGACTACATACTTGGGACCGTTTTATTGCAGGAGCTGCACCAGCCTGCTCACGTTACTTATTGTTGTTTAGAGATTCATTTCATTGCGATTTTAAATCTTTCTCTCACCTGCAGGAAATTGAAACCTCGACGGTTGCCGTCGGATCGAGGGCTGTTCCAGGAGAGAATTGGTTATCCATACTCATGTTGGACGACGTTTCCTTCCGGAAGCTGTGTACGTGAGGCCTCTTTCTGCTTGCTGTTCAATTTGTTTTCAGTTTTCACTGAAACATGTCATTGTTCTCCTCTACTTGTGTCGTGTTGGTTGGTTGGTTGTAGCGTAGTAAGTAGCTGACCTTGCTTTCCACCCACCCAACCAACCAGTATACATACACACCGCGTATAAATGTAACTAAAAACCCATACAGAGCACACGGCTTCTCACTGATTGTGGTTGGCAGTTTCAATATTTTACGGGAGGAAGAGAGATTAACTGTCAGTGTCAAGTTGTCGGGTAAGAGAGTTTTATCAGTGGCAAAAATAACACAAAAGAGAAATGACTTTAGCAAAAGATCAGATCACAAGGATAAGTGGGCACGCTGTCTCAATTGCATTTCAAATGATTCAACTCCAACGAGGCATGTCACAAAGCCAGGTAAATTGAAATTGTCCCAAGGGAGGGTAGGTCGAGGGAGTGAATGCATATAAATTAATGGAAGGTCCCATTCGAAACTCTGTAGTTTATTTGCCAAAGTCAAAAGACATAATAATTTATCCCGTCGGAAAATTATTCATGTAAATTGTTAATGTGACATTTCAATGTAAGTAAGTTTTCAATTTTGGCGAGGGGAGTCCCAAACGGAGACAGGAGAAGGGTTTATAAAGATGGAGATGAAGATTTCCGATATGGCTGATTGCGTTCGTCTACACCACCAACGGCACCAACCACGAGAACCATCGGTAACAAATCACCATCACGGAATTCTCCCTGATCTCTTCTTGACCAGACTGACCGATGTTCAATCAGACTAAATCACATCACTCACTTTCTCTTAAGTATTCGCCAAAGTTGTTCTGGATGTGGTTTGGATGACCAAACCGCACTAATCTGCTTTCCATTCAATTATTCCGTTTTGTGTATTGCTGTATTGGAAAGTTCCTTGTGGGGCTGGATGAAATGAAATGGAATTCGCTGGAGAACAGTTGTGCTCTCACAGGACTGGCAATTCTAATAACGAATCAAAGGTTGTGGAAAACTTATTGGATTGTCTGGTTGGTACGAGAACGAAGTATTTGTGTTCCTGCTCTCTACCCGTCCTTTTAAACACTGTTCCATGGAGTAGCAAAGCAATAAGGAGTCTTGGCTTTGGTGTCTCACAAAGCCTCCTGTTGAACATCCGCACAAAACCACAAGTTTGCATGTATGATTGGCAAGCTAGTTGTGATTCCCAATAAGAGTCTGATGAAAATGAGCCTTGTTTTCTCTAGGACCCGAGTTTTTAGTCTTGGTCTTTGGTGGCAGGGAGAAGAACGACGACAGCACGGCTTTGTAATGGCCAACTTACTGGACCCAGCACCGACAGGTTGCAGCCAGGAGAGAAAGTCGGAACCCACGACAGAACTGTTCCCCGCTCCACTCGCCTTCCTCCCAAGTTGAGCTCAGAGGAGAGAAAGAAGAAAGAAAGGCAGGGGTACAATAATCAGGCGGCTGGCTGCTGCTGCTGCTGGGGAAACGGGGTAGCAGACTTGCTTAGCGTCGTCGGAAAGGCTGGGAGACGAGAATATTCGCTACTTCGTCTCTACATTTCTCGTAGCATGGGGAAGGTGGTAAGCAGAGCGATGGGAAAACTTTCTCTCTTCCGCCGTAACCAGGAATTGGCATCTATCAGTCCTCTCGCAAAGGACCTTGCTTGTCGTGGAGCGCATGAACCATGATGAATGTGGCGAGCGACGAAGGCTCCCATCCCATTCACCGGGTTGTTGGTCACGTTGGATGAGCCTGGTTTTCCTCCCTTTGAAGGAACTCACGGAGGAGGAGGAGGAGGAGGAGGAAACGAGAAGAAGTTGGCCAAGTTACTTGGTTGGAGGGACCAACTTTGTCCCATGTCGAGATGAATGAATGAATGAATGAATGGTCGAGAGAGACCAAGTTCTCTCCAGTTGTACGTACATAAAACTATAATATTGCATTAAGAAAGTCTACATTATTTATGCTTGTACACACTTTCGTTCGTTAGTATGGAGCTCGCAGAAGAGATCCCTCACTTTGTTAGACAGTTGATCACCAGCTCCCAGGATGCAACTCGTCCTATTTATTTAAAGTTGAGCCTTGGGACTGCTCTGGTGAGGAAAGGGGGAGCCGAGGACGAGGAAAAAAACAGGTTTTTGTTGAACGTTTCTCTGTGGAGTTGATTCTCTGGGTCCCAGCAGGGCGTTTTACGGATGGGAAGAGTGAGACTAAAGCGACGGCCGGTGATGTGATGAGATGAGATAAGAGTGATGAGAACGAGTGTGACGTGAATGAGAAGAACTGCTGCTGCGACTGGATGAGGAGAAGTGAGTTAAGAATTGAATGTTATTATTCGGAATCCCTGTTGTAACTCCAATCTGGAAGTCGGGGAGAAAAAGATTCTGCTCAAAATCTAGATGGAAAACGAACCAGGGAGAAAAGAGAAAGTAGCTGATGTTTCATTTCCAGGCAGACTCATCATTTTCCACCACTGAGCCCAGCGACAAAGAAATTGTACTGCAAATGCAAATGCTTCCCTCGCCCAGACACTGAGCCAGTTCCTTCCTTTTGCCTCCTCAGGAAAATCTGTTAACCAAGTGAAAATAGCCTATTATCGATACTTGCTCACGGGAAAAAAACTTATGCAGTGTCGGCAATATTCAACTTGTTTTGGGTAAACTCAAGTGAAACGAGGCGACAAATAACAAATTGTTGTGAATCTCTGCAAACTTTAAAAACTTTAACAGCATAAAAGTGTCCATAAAAAGGACCAACTTTGTTCCTAATAACGTCAAGATTTGGACTAGCAAAAAACACTTGGCTGAACATCGTCCTTGCATAATAATAGTTTTGGGATAAACTCCCACCAGAGGAAAACAGCACTTTCTCTTCATATCGTAAAACCACATATGTATCTGTATCTGTAGGCATATACATATATAAATACTCACATGTGTATACACATATAGAGACGATCATCCACTTTCATTTCCTTTCTTTGCCCTAAAGGTCGATGATTATAATTTCAGTCGGAAATGTTGTGGCATTTCTCCACACACCAAACCATCTCAGACTCCCCACTGGATGGATCAAGTGAGATGCGTTGGCTGGCTTGTTGCAGTTATATAAGAACGAATACAACTATGTACAGAGGACAGCAATATCACGCCAGTCATCATTGTGAGATTCGTCTCGTCAGCATCATCATGACAAGAGATTGTTTAAAACCCATATTGTAATACACGTATAAAACGCTACGTATATCACGCCACGAACTTGAGTAAGCTGAGTAGCTCGGACGTCACCGAGGAGGGAGTTGGATTATGGTTCCGTCAAAAGAGAGTGAAACAATGAGACATCACTCGGTCACCTACATACCTAAATTGCTAACAAGTAAAACACTTGACAAACTGCGATCGGATCTCAGCTCCGTAATTATTCCGCTGGAATAAGTTCCAACAATCCACATGGCCAATTCCTGAGCTCGTATACATAGATATTTAGCAAAAGGTCTTTAGCGTCTGTTCTGCCTTGCTACCCCTGTCTCTTCAAATTCAGTTCTCTGTTTCCCACCCAAATACGATAACCACTCTGTCCCAGCTTCCGTCACTTTCATTCAGGGCTCGGCTATCTGATAATCAGATCCGTCATTGTAGGAGAGACGCAGAAATTGAAACCATTCCTCTCCTGCTGCCTTTCATCTCTCTAATCCAATCTTGATCCTCATTTGCATAAATTTGCACAACCATGTTTGTTAATAGTGTGAAGTAATTTCCACGATATGAATAATAATAACTTTTTCGCCTGCCTTACATCCTGCACATACTGAAACATTTCTCGTCTTTTAGCTCGATTTTAGTGGGTAAAGCACAAGTTATAAATTCAACGTTTGGATTTGTATTTGTTGTCTCGTTGAGTTTATTTTCAAAATTCATCAGATTTGCAATGTGTGAAATAGTGTTAAACAAATTTGAGTGCTGAGCAATAAGCGTTACACAGTTTACTCCTGCAAATATAGATTTATAGATTGAATAGCAAACACATTATGAAATACGCTGGCTGCGTCCATCCACTTCTCGTGAATGAGCTTAGAAAGTTAGTTTGGAACAACGCCACCCAAGTCCTGAGTAAATATTTACACCTCTTCTACTACAGTTTGATGGAGGAGGAGGAGGACAAGCTATCATCCATTTATTCGCTGCCTGCTGCTGCTGCTTGTTTAGACTTTTGTTGGGCCATTTGCAACAAAAATTTGGTGGAAAGTTCATTGTGCCAATCGTAACGGCCAAGCGAACATGCTGCGTTCTTCATTTATCAAAGTGCAACTCTTGACAATTACAAACAAACGTGTGTCTCATATAGTTCAAGAGTTCCCAGCTTTTGTTATGACATGCTACACATTAAGGCTCCTATAGCCCACAAGTGGGGAATCTATTGTTCTCAAATTAAGTAAATGGACAGTTTGTATGTAGCCAAGTGTCCAAAAACTATTTATCCGTTTAGTTAAGTAGTAAGTACATACTACCGTAAATCCGAAGAATGAGTTGGCAGACGAAGGAGTAGACAAAATTTCTATTTCATTGCAATTCTGCTGTCTAACTGAAAATTTGATAAGGGGAGTGTCGTTTCTGAGGCTGCGTTGTATTTCAGTTTGACGATTGCACGAGTGAAGATTGTTTTGTGGTGTGGGAAATTTAGTAGAAAATAAAGCGTGATAAATAATACGATCAAAGCGTTGGGGACGCGTCCCTTCATCTGAGAGACACACTCGGAGAATTATATAAAAAAAATCAAATTATGTAAATATTTGTTTCATATTTGCTACACGAGGATGAGGTGCACAACTGAACTTGTGTGCTTATTGCTTAATAATTCTGTTCTAGAATGACGATTTCCTTGGTGTAATTTTTCTTTCTGTTGTGTTTTGACCTACACGAAGATTGAACGAATGCCAAAACTTGCTCTTAGTAATAATCACCAAAGAAGTCTGAAGCTCTTTAAAAATGCATTAAAAATGTCCCAGAAGACCCCACGACTGGTCCTGTATCTATGCACGCGAGATATGTAGTACAACTTAGTTTTCTTCATCTGCAAACGAGGGAGAAAATTTACATAACCGAATAATTTAAATAACTGTGTGGTACATATTTGTACCGTTATTTAAATTATGTTATTCCCAAGTTGGTTTTTCCACTGCTACATAACGCTGTTTGCTCCTTCATCTCTCTCCCATGCTCCTCCGACGCTCGCGAGATATACTAAAATACATGTACAACGTGAAAGAAAAGCCTACATCAAAGAACCCAGAATCGCATTTCAAATGAGGTAACATTACGTATGCAAATAATAACAATTTGGTTTCTTATTCACCACGTTTTCGAGCGTTAAAACGTTATCCGTGACACAAACCCTTAAAACAAACGCCAACACTCACAAAGCCAAGCTACTGGCCCGTCTGGATTTGGATGGTAATCCATCCATCCATCCATCCACTCTGCAAAACCTACAAAGTCGGCTAGATTCACATGCAGCATCAAGCAATTAAATTGGCCCAGCATCATCCACAACTTTGAGCACTGGCAAACCCCGTTTCATTCATTTTAATACAAAATCAAGAGAATTTGTAATTTCCATCCTGTTCCCAATGTCAATCAACCAGCCAGGAGGGAAAAGGTCCGGCCGCAGGAGTGAAAGTCAAACCCAAACGTGGATACCACCCATGACGACGGCATTAGTGCCACCACTATGTGCATACGTAATATTCAGCATGGGATATGTAAGCCTGGCTGTTGAGGAATATTCCTGAGTGGAATATTATTATGCAGCTCAACCTGACGCCAATTACGCTTGCTTGCCACATTAGGTATTAACGAGTCGTCCGTCTGCTGCTGCCTGATGTGATGGAACACGGACGATATACGGCCAGACACATATTTACAAGCACTCAGATCTTTGCTTTCACTCCTTTCATGGTTCCACCAACCACCCAACCAACCATGACCACAAGGCCGATACATATGTGCACACCGTGTAACGTCCCCATGCAGCCACCAATACAGAAGTGTGTTTACCATTGCACTTGGTTCCAGGCTGAAAACCATTTGCTCGGGGAGACAATTAGAAATGACAGAGAGGAGTGAAGGCAAAACATGTTACGAGAACATTGCAACGCTCAATACTTCCCATTGCAAAGCAGGACTTGTAGTATTTACTCGTGTATAATACGACCATTTCTCATTCCTAATAGGAAATTGTGAGCCAATAAATCATATTAGTGCACAACAACAACTAACAACTCGGATCAAATCCCCTTTGTTTTCGTCGACCGTTACCTATGTACCCCATACAAAGCGAGACTTATCCATCTTTATGAATGGGCTTGATACTTGGCAGACGCAACAACAAATTCGAACGGGGACAAATGTCCTCTAAATATTGTGCAGCGAACGCATTATATTGTTATTATTGCTTTCATGATTCGTGTCCATTCACT